GAATTCAGTAACAATCACAACAGAGAAAATCTTCTCAAAAGTCAGATTGAAATATGTAGCAGTCTGGCTTGATTCAAACCTCTCTTTCTAACCCCACATCAAAGAAACTCTCTCTAAAGGCCTAACAGCCCTGGAAAAAATCAGAAATATAGCATACCTCTACGGAACTACCGTTATAGACATGCACAACCTCATAGTACAAGACTTCATCCCAAGAATACTATGGGAATCAGAAGCCTGGTGGACAGGAGCTGACCATATCATCCCTTCATTCTCCACATTTTACTATCATGCCACCCGAATCATCAATGGGCTTCAAGTTCCCCGTTGTACCGAAACGGAAAGACTGCTGAAAGAGGCAGCACTACTCCCTCTCGGAAACCTCCTCATTCAAAAATCTAGGAAATATCGTAAAAGAATTCTATGCTACCCTGCCAACCTTCCTCTAAATTGAGCACTAATACAACTCCTCCCAGCCAAAACAATGAATATTAAAACAATCAGTCCAAACTGAATCACATCATTCCTGCTTCCCTTCTAAGGACTTGATACCCACAGAGAAAGATGGATACAAAATGACCTCCTCACCAAATTAATTTTGGAGGAATCGAAAACTCGAACCACTGTCAGCTATCACCACTCGGGATAACTCAAACCCCATCCAAAACTGTTAAAACTCATACTATCCAAAGTGAAAATCATACACCAGATACGCTGTCAAGCTACCATTTTAGACAAACACGCAATATACATCAACCCTGAATAATGTCAATACGGGATGGACTAATCGGTCAAATACACCATACTTGAATGCCCTCAATCGACATAAGTACGGAGTCCACTCAATGACAAGATTCCAGGACCGGCCACCTAGGAAAACTGGTTCATTACTTACCTAAAAGTATACCTGATTCTACAATTTGTGGGAAAACAATTCTACTAGACTGGTATGAGATTGACGATGAGGATACGGAGGAATAAGGCTTTTTTCTTTCATTTATTTTCTTCTCTTTATTTACGTACCTTATTTTTCTCTGAGTTGTTCGGGCTTTCCTTTGTCTTGTCTTCTCCTTTTCTTTTCTCTCATTTGTTCCCTTTTGTTTCCCATATGTGGAGTTCGTTGACGTACTATAAGTCCTGTACTTCAAAACAACTTAAATATAAAACGTACCCACCCACCTACCTTCTGTATGTACACTGTCTTTTGCTCTATTAATATTTTTCTCTCATCTCTTTCGACGAGACTACTGTGATACTATCCCCATAAACCTGTTGACCCTCACCAACACTTGGACTTTTCCTCGAGTCCTTACCGCAACCTAACTTGCCATCCTCTACTAACACCCCACGTACCGCATGGAACACTCGCTACTCTCTCACTTGGGAATCAGTCACTGTTTTATCTTAGGAAAGGTCCTCATTTCCTCGTGTTCTCGCAAGCAACGATCTGTCACTACATCAGCAAACCTGTAGCCTTCGCCAGACGCCTGGGGCGCTCAGGGCGCTCAGGGCGCTCGGTAGGTAAACTACCTCTCCAGAGATACCGCCAGTGCTCCTGGCGAGGTCTGGCGCACATTATTCCACCCCGGCGCACACTAGTCCGCACAACGGGCCCTGACACTAAATAATAGCGCCCGGTGTAACTAGGACATCACTCTACCCGACAGAGAACGCCAGTTGCACGGTTGGATATCCTGACTGCTCCTGGAGCACTCTTCACTGCTCCAGCGGGCTCTGGGGATAGAATCATTGCCCTGACTCCCCTTGACGTTGCCGGATGGGGTGCTTTGAAATCTGGCTCATGCCCGACGTACCGATTCCTAAATGTCGGCGCCCCGTTCTCTCTAGGCATACACCTCTCCGCCGTTCCCGCCTCTGGTATTCACAATTCCCACATGAGATTACAAAAACATCACTCGCACGACGATCTCTACTGTCTCCAGAGCACTCGCGACTGCACTTTGAGAATTGGTGTATTCAACACCGTGATCCTCCACCTAATACTGAATACAATACGCCATTTGACACCCTAACTCACCCTAATACAATATACGAATCAGAAGAAATCCCCTACTATCTCCCTTAGCACTCGTGATTGTTCTACACATCCTCCTCCCCCCCCACTTCGTAATCCCCCGCTACAGGTAATTCCAGCTCTTCTTCTTCCTCCCCCCTCTTCTTCGGTGTCAATGCCGCGAAGTCGGGCATTAATCACTTCGTCCTTGGCGCTGTCGGAATCAACCGGACCTCCTGGAGCACTCGTGGGTGTTCTCCGAACATCTCGGAATGCGGCAAGATCCGCAGCCAGAGCTTCATCGTCCTCGCTAAAACACTCCTGCGGTATAATCTCAATCATTACCCCTTTTTTATCTTGTATCTATTAGGGTTAGCATTTAGAATACCACTCGCATTACCGGCATCTAGAAGTATCATGCCTTTTCTCGAAGGTTATCTTTGATTACCTCCAAGGTTGCCTCCTGGTTCTGTTTACTTCTCCCCTTCCAAGTGTTGCTCATCCTGTTGAACGTTTCTACTCGTGTTTGGATGTCAGCTTGGCAATCCCGTATAGCCCTAGGAGCATCCGTCAATGCTCCCAAGGCACTCGCCATATCAATGAGGGCATCGGGCCATACTTACTCACAACACTCTCATTCTGCGACTGAAAATTATCAGGCTTCACGTAACTCCCTGTTGACCACACCCGAATGCCGTGCCAGATCGCCGTCGATATCAGGCAAATAAGGGTAGGGGTTATCCGCTCTAGAAATTCGGGATCCCTAACCCCTCGCATTCTTACCCAAATCGAAGTATTTAAAATACAATATATCCATAATTTCCGGAGCCAGGAAGCGCAGTCGGTAGGTCTAGAATCTGTTACCGGCTATCCCGAGTGCTCTCTGGGCATCCACCGGCATCATAGCTCGTAATGCTGTTGGGGGCTCAAGAAACGATCATTCTTCAAAAGGTATTCCACTTGAGCCGCCCTCGCCTCAGGCCCCACAAAATTTCCAAGCCCGTATATCGTAGAGTCCGCCAGGCACCCTTTCACCTCGTGCATCAAGTGGGAACGGACACGGGAGTGCAGACTTCTGACCTATCATTCTCAATTATGCTTCCAGAGCACTCGTAATCCTTTTGGGGGCACTCACCTGTTTAATAACGACCTCATCAAGGTCTACTCTACACCCCACTCGGCGACTAGCAGGTGCCCACATGCTCACTACCAGTACCGAAAGTCTTGCTGCAGGTGGAAAAGGCTCATGTAGAAGAGTATGCTCCCCGATTAACACGCTACACTCCTTCTCAATCCTCTGAATTTGCACTGACAGCACATTTGCACTCCTAGAATTAGGGACCACAGACCTCTGAGTCAATTGGCTCGAAGGAATGTCGCCAGTGTTCTCAAAGACGTCGTGAGTGTCCTCAGGAATACTATCCTCGCTTCCCGGAATCAAAATACCCTCGCTTTCCGGCATCGGAGTAATCTCGTCCTCCCCCCTATATGAGGAAAGGTACTCGATTTCGTAGACTCTTCGCGATCTATCTTGACCGTGAAGTTGGCTTGAAGGAATCTGACGACTGCTCATAGAGTTCCCGCCAATTACCTCGCTAGGCGGTGAAGAGCAATATGTCCGGTAAGTAGGGGACGACTCCCCGTATCGAGATCGCATCGAGGAAAAATCGATATGGCGCGTAGAAGAGGTATACTCATGAGCATAAACAGGTGCAGAGGGCCTAGACTGTGAGGGTGTTGGGGGTGCTCTCTGGGATGCCGGGAGTGCTCTCTGAGATGCATTCTGGCTGGGTGCTGAAGTGGGTGCTGCTCTCCCTTGACCTTGTTTATGTATTACTTTCGCGCCCGGTCGAGTTCCCCTCTGAATCGTTAGCCACTAATACTTACATGTTAAAAAGCATCAATGAGCGAGATAGAGTCGAACCTGTACCACGTCCACCGACACGTTGGAAGAAGCAATGACCTCCGCTACCGCGCCAGTTGGTTTCCTCCGAGCATTGCCCAGTGCTCTGGCAGTAGTCGGATGAACTGTATGAGGTCTCTTTCCGACAGTCTGAGACTTCTGGGTGTAAGATGGGGGGGGGCTTGAGGTTTATCCTCCGGTTCATCCTCATCCTCCTCAGAGCTCTCGTGGTCATTCTCCGGAGCATCATCATAGTCTGAGTGGCTAGTATCAACAGTTTCTTCCACCTCTGGCGCCTCAATTGCCACTGGCGCCTCAATTGCCTCAGGCTCTTCCTGCGCTTCAAAATTATCAGTATGGTCCTCGGGGAGATGAAATTCTACCCTCCTTGGACTGCTCCTCCCAGTGGGGGTTTCGGAGGAACGGAGAAGATCTTTCCGAGTTATTTGAGCGGCGGTGGTGGATTGACTACTCCGAGTGCGGGCTGGCAGTGGAGTCAATGTTCGGTAAGATATTTCAGACTTGTCAGTCAGTAAATCTTCATGTTCTTCAGGTCGTTTTGGTAGTCGTGGGCGCTTTGGGTGCTGAACCGGAGGAGCGCTTGGTGGAGCCATTCTGATGACTGGCAGGAATATCCGCAGTGCTCTAGGAGCACTTGCGATATCTTCAATTAGAAATCAATTCTTGGCGAGAAAATTTGCACCGCTACTCCTCTTACGGCAGGGATCATCCTATGTTACCACAATATCTGCACTCAACCGCATCATTTATAATCACTCGTTTTACTGCACTTTCTGAAGCGGTACCGAGTGCTCAGAGAGCAATCTAGGAGTTTGGTTCGAGTTTGAAATAAAAGCAATGCAATTACTACCTGGAATAATTTAATCTAATCTAATCTAATCTAATCCTATCCGATATAACCCATCCATTGATATACTCTCGCAAGACAAAGGGAAATCCAAAACACCAAATCGTACCGCACCTCAATAGCTATCGCGAGTGCTCAGGGAGTAATCCTAACAACTATTAAAAGGTTAGTGACAATTCCGCAGGAAGGGAAGTTAGAGATTATACCAAAGGGAACTAATGATGCCCACCACCATCACCACCATCACCACCACAACCATCACCACCGCCTCCAGCTGGCCCACCACCACCATCACCACCGCCTCCAGCTGGCCCACCACCACCATCACCACCGCCTCCAGCTGGCCCACCACCACCACCACCACCGCCTCCAGCTGGTCCCCCACCACCACCGCCGCCCGGAGGAGGAGGAGGTCCGCCTGGAGGCGGTGGAGGTCCTAGACCACCACCACTACCACCACCACTACCACCACCACCACCACCACCTCCACCACCTCCACCACCTCCACCTCCAGGACCAGCACCAGCAGCCGCGAGTGCGTCAGCAGCTCTCTTGGCTGCTATCCCGGCAGGTTTCCATATTGTCCACTGTAAGAAGTTTGGGTCAGCAACCCTGACACCCAAAGGATACTTCCTAATGTATTTGGGGTCTAAATCGTCGATAGCATCCTGCTGTCTATCGCGACGCCTAACAAGAGTCTGAATTAGCCTTTGATTACTGGCATCAGTTCTAGGCATATATACCCTCAGTTCTTTTGCATTTATCCGGTGCTTTCCCTCCTGGTAATCCGAATCCTCTGCAGGAATATCGATCATGCTATAATCATCTTCCTCAACGTGAGGGAAAGCCGGGTTCAACGGGGGGGATTCCGCACCACCCAGGTTAGCACCCGCGCCTGCTCTGTGGAGGACCGCCAATATCCTCCGAGGCCTGGCATTGCTGTTCTTCAACCAACCTTCGAGCTCCTCTGAATCGGTAATTTGTACCTCCACCGGCCGAACGGGAGGAACAGCTGCCGGGGGGACATCCTCAATTGCCCCCCAGATAGTCCTGACTGCTCTGCCGGGTGCGGTGTACTTCTGGATCAAGTTGCATAGCTCGAGGAAAGTTATCTTGGTCAAAATTCCGATGAACGAAGGTTCGTTCAGGGGATCATTCCAGTCATAAGTAGGTGGTGGGACGAGCATAAAGAATGCCCCTAGAGCATCGGGGTCTACCACGGTAACCATTATGGAAGGTCGCACGAGTTCTGGAGGTACTGCACGCTCTTTCCCTTTGCGAGAGCGTCTTCCGGCTGCCTAAACACCGCCGTCATCATCATCATCACTATCACCGGCAGCCTCTTTGAACTGACGGTCTCCCTGTCCCCTTGATAACTTATCCTTCATACCAACATCTGCGATGAGCCACTGTAGAGCACTGGCCAGTGCTCTACGGGCATCGTGTAACGGGGGTGCCTTGAAAGGGCGCGACCGTGAATTCGATCAGGTAGATAGGCAGAAAGGAATTCGACAAGCTATCCTTTCGGCTCGTTCGATGGAAAGATAGAGTTTCATTTGTTTGATCGTTATTTGTAGTCTAGAAACTTAATAACTTTAAGGGGGCTCCTCGCTGGTAAAGACTCGCTGATCCCCCCGAAACCAAGCTGGGGCAACCGAGTTCCTTTATGGAAGTTCGGCGCCCCTTCCTTCATTACCTCTTTCCTTTTTTCACTGGCCGTCCGCCTTTCAAATAATCTGGGGGCACCACCTATTTTCTATCAGGGGGGAGGAGAAGAGTTGCTACCACACCGCGGACGAATTTTCGTCCGAGTCAAATCTCGCAATCCTTGCCAAGAAAGGGTCGGGATCCTAGGAACTAGAGGAAACAGCCGACCAGACAGCAATTGCTTATTCAGAGTATTTAGAATAGATTTGGGTGTTTTTAAAGCAAAGGTTTGTTTTGGTAGTTTGGGTCGCACTTTTACTCCCCCCAAAGATGCACCGGGCTGAAACAGGAGGGTTCCGGCGGTTCGACGCTCCGGGGGTTATTTTTGGGGGTCTAAAACGTGTTTATTTTGCAGTGTTTCCTCAACTCCGCAATGCGTTCATTCAACCACCCCAAATGGACCGGAGCATCGCCAGGATCCTTTCTGACGTGGTAAAGCATATTTTCCGGGCATCGGCTGCAAAGTTATTGCGCCTCAAAGGTTGAATGCCAAGGTATGGTAACTTATGTTTGGGGTTACCCTTCCTTATTTGGTCTGCTCGTCCTGCTGCTCTAGTTTTGGTCCAGTCGTCTAGCTTGACTTGTAAGACTTCTTGCTCGCCAGGATCTCTACCCTCTATACCAATAGAGGTAGGGGCTCATCTGCCCTTCTCTTCACCCATCGATGAAGAACCAGCTGCGGTTAACCTAGGGCCGTATGGCTTGACTGGTAGAACAGGTATTTTTGTAACAGCCCTACTGTGGCCCTGTTACACTACTCCTCCCTCCGGTAGACTCGTCCCGAGTCTAACCTAGGGTTTTTGGTATGGTACGTTATGAGCATACAAGAAAATGTAGCTCTAATAATCATTCCATACAAACTCAATGTAACGGGGACAGCCTTTCCTCGTATCGCTAGAATCCGAGAGAAAGGATTTGGCCGTGCAAGATAGAAATCAGGAAATCGGATAGTTGGGCGGGAAGGATCCTGAGTACTTATACTCCAAAGGATTCCATTCCCTGCTCCTACTCCCTTACTAAGTTCTGGTGATCCCTTCTAGCGGAAGGGAAGCAATACCACCGCTACCCCGCTTCTCTCTAAGCGTTAGCGGGTGCTTCCGGTTCCGAAGGCAACCACCCTTAGTCAAAGCCTTTGTAACACCTGCAGTCTTGATTGTCGCACAACCGGGACCTGCATGAATGAGCTACCGCTCAGGCGTAAGCTTAATCATTGCTGTAGAGCTCTTCACTTATTGTAGACTTTCCCAGGCATAGTCCCTGCCACTACCGGCGGACTTATCATGCTCAGAGGATGTAGAGGATCGCCGAGCACTCAAAGCTTCACTCTGGCTGGCCTTCTAATCATTGGCGAGGCATAGACTCGTCAATCATTGCTCCCATGAATAGATCCTCTTCCTAGCGCTCAGAATGTAGTTACTCTGACAGCTGGTAGCTAACCACACTGCCGGTACTTGCATGTCACTGTGCAACTGGCTTCTATCAATAACTCTCAGCATGTAACCAGGCCCTGTGTGTACTCATACACCAGACAGTTGAAATGGCTCCGTTACACTCTATTTTTTGCATCCATTTCTATTGACAAAGGAAACCTCAAGTGAAACGTGTGACCTAACAAGGGGAGACTCGTTTTCTCCACGCTTATCCCAGAACACTCCGTCGTCTCGGTTTCCCGCACTATCCTGTATTACCATGCGTCCCGTGATTTTCGGGGATACTTCGCATGGAACTCTCGGAGTGGCTCGTCTGCCATTCCTTACAACAATTTGTACGGTTCCCAAGAGTCTTCTGAGAGATAACCCTCCCAGGTAATCCGATATTGCACGAACTTCTTCCCACGACCAGCCTGCTGTCATTGGCTATCGGCTATTTTCTTGAGAACGTAACTGCCTTCCCCTTGAACCTCATCCGGAGGTGGAAGCAGTATAGCTCGTTGAGGGTCCAGCAGAGATATATGGAAGATATCATGAATGTTCCACTGAGTGGGTAGATTCAGCCTGTAGGACGCGACGCCAAGTTTCCCGACAACCTCAAAAGGACCCATTTTTTTTTGGTGGTCTAGCTTATTTGAGGGTCACTTGGTTAAGATGTTGCATCGGTCCAGCATCACCTCGTCCCTAACCTTCAGTTCTGGAGCACTCATCTGTTTCTGATCATACCATTTTTTCTGCTGTGCTTGTGCCGCGCTGGACGCGTCGAAGTTGTCTAGTTTCCGTTTAAGTGAGGGCCAAGTGGAATCTGGTTGAAACCTATAGTTCGCGTAGAATGGCGATGCTTTGGTTGACTCTTGGGTGGCCGTGTTGTAGGCGTACTTGGCAAGCGGGAGTAACTCTGCCCAATCGTCCCGCTGACAGAAGCAATAGTTTTTTGAGATACTGTTCTAGCGTTTGGTTGACTCTCTCAGTTTGCCCGTCAGTTTGAGGACGATATGTTTCGAATCTAGAGTCCTGATCGGAGATAATCTCCTCAGGAAGTTCATGCAGTCGCCATATCTCCCGGAGGAAGATTTGAGCAAGTTCTTCGATGGTTGCTTTGGTGATAAAGTCCATTGAAATGGAACTCCAAGGAATAGAGAGGACCTCTAAAGGTTGCAACATCCCTTTCTTCTTGTGTGTTTGAGGCTTTAGCGCGTTGACATGTATCGCAACTCTGAACGTATTCTTCCACATCGTTGTCCATCTTTTGGCAAAGGACAGTGCCCGAAGGCGTTCTGCCGTTTTGAATTGTCCAAAGTGACCAGCAGTCTTCGAATCATGTAGGGCGCTCAGGATCTTGAGCTTCAGTTCCCGATGATTTGGAATGTACCACCTTTCCTTATAGAAGACGTGTCCGTCCTTTAAAGTCAGGTATCGGTTCACCAGATTCCCAGAGGTGTTCTCAATGGCTTTTTTCAAAGAGAGGTACTCTGGATCTAAGGCTGCTTGAGCCCAGATTTCATCCAGGAGCACCGGTGTGAGTTTGCAGATTTGGGCTGATCTTGCACATGCTGAGTTGATCATAACGATCGGGTGTTGGACAGAACCCATTATAGGTTGTCCTGGCTTAAACAAGAATTTCAGGGTCTTGATGAGCCTTACCCCCCTCTTTAAGGGCGTGGTCCCAACGCCGCGACAAGATGTCTGGTTTGGCGTTTTTAGTTTTCCAGGGCGGTATACAACTTTGAAGTCAAACTCCGCGAGGTTGGCCGCCCATCGAGCTTATCTCGGTTTCAGCGCCCCCCCCTTTTTTTTTTTTTTTTTTTTTTTTTTTTTTTTTTTTGCTGGTTGGTGACGACCGTGACCGTATCTTTGTAGGAACGCAGAAGGTGACTCCGGGGGTGGTGTACCTCTATGGGATTCCGGGGACAACCCCTTGGCGAACCCAGGCTGGAGGAAACCCAGAGGTGTAACGGAGGTAAAGCGAGCCCAACTCATGCCTAGGTTCGGAAATATGGGAACTGAGGATCTTATCATCCACTAACTGACCCTTGGCTGTGAGGGTAAGGGCCTTCCATTGGGCTGCCGCATCATCCCTAGAGATAGCTTCGCCAAAGGCTGCTCTGAGAGCATCCACAAAGGAACCCCAGCACTTCCATTTCTCATCTAACACCACCGACATCCCAGCTATCCGGTTGGCAGAAGCTTGGTCAATGGAGCTGTGGTAAGCCTCATACCAGTTGGCTGGGGCTTCTCCTTCCATCAGGTTACCAGCATATCGGATCCTAACCTCTTCGTAGGTAAAGAACTGGCTTTCAATGGAGAAGACATTCTCACATTGCCTGATGAAGGTCTCCACATTGTTTGCTTTGCCATTGAACTTGGCCTGAGGGTGTGCCTTTGGTTCTCGGGCCCTGGAGGCAGCGGAGGGGTGTGAGGGGGCCGGAGGTCTCATGAACTGTGTCATGGAGGCCAGGAGCTCTGTCTGCTGCTTCTCCAGCATCTTCCTGAGGTATCTCCGCCATCTTCTCCTATCTCCATACTCAGGCTCCGAATCTGAACTATCTGAGTCCCCTCCCGGGTTGGGATCGCCACCAACCGGGGGGACTATTCCATTTTGTCCACCATTACCCGCTGGTTCTGGGTTCTGGTTTTTTCTCCACCGGGGGTTTCCCTCCGGCTGGAGGTTTCTCCTGGGAGACTTCGCTCGTTGAAGTATGACACAATGGCACCTAACTCCTTGTCGTGAACGTCATAATTCCGTTCGGCTTGTGACATCATTTTGGAGTAAAAGACTCCTGGATACCACTTGTTGTCATCTCGGTGAAATTGGGACGGTATGCTAGATTTAGCGAAGTTGGAGGCATCGGTCTCAATCTTGGTAGCTAGCTCGGCATCAAAGTGGGCTAGTACGGGGGCGGATGGAAGGCCTCTTTCAGGACTTCGAACGCATGCTCCTATCCCTCAGACCAGGTAAACTCGGTGTTCTTGTCTCCTTCCACGGTTAGTGCCGGGTTCGGTTAAAGCCGGACCGAACTCCTGCTTCGGCTAACCACGCTGATTCTCGGAACTGGAATAGGAGTTCGCTTATAAAAGCGGGGTATCCGTCGAACTAAGGAGGGTAAGAATTCTTTTCCTTCTATTCATTCTACACTCCAGGGAGTTCGATCTTTCCACACCCAACACCAAATTTATCACCTCCTTTCAGCAATAATGTTTTTCTTTATTCTATTCCTCTCTTTGTTCATTGCGATCAATTCGTCTATTGTACAAGCGTTTTTATCTAACGCTAGTCGATCTCGGCGGGGGACAAGGCTTAGATCCTCAACTGGTGCGGTTGTTACTGATCTCCTGGAGCTGGATGGTGGTAACACCATCCACGCTCGGAGAGTTGCTCGTAAAGCCGTCCGATCACGGAGTGCTATGAGGTAGGCATGATCCAGCGAGTTGTGTAACCTCTTCTTACTACCGCTAATGCTTCCACAGGCATGCTGTTCCTCGGAGTTTGGAGACCTCGACCTTCGATGGCCATTTCAACCAGGTCCCATTTCTGACTCGGGAGGATTACCGTCGTCCTTATCCCTTCTCCCAACCAGGGGACAGAAGTGTTGGTCAGGCTCGTGTCCGTGCGGCACTGATGGAGAAACGGGAACAGGTGCGGTGGATGCGGGATGAGATTGCGCGAGATGGAAGGGGAGCTGAGTGGATGCGGCAGCGAGTGGTCCAAGAAGAGGCAAGGGAGAGACAAAGACTGGCTCTCCAAGCATATTACGAGGCATGGTGGCGCCAGAAGAAAGCCAGTTATCCCCCTCTTCCGGACTCTTCCTGCCGTCATCGTGGACGAAGTAACGTTGACTTTGGTTGGGACTGGGGCCCAGATGGGGAATGGGGGCCGTTGGTCAATGGGACTATCAGGATTTTCTAGGAGCGATCCTGAATGTGGTCTCCTTTCCGAGCGAAGCTGGGCGCTATAACCCTTTGAGCGAATGTGGGCGCTATAACCCTTTGAGCGAATGTGGGCGCTATAACCCTCTGACGGATACAGTGGAGACCATAGTAAAGTGTTAGCCTCTCCCATGCCAGCCTGAGCTGAGAAAAAAAAAAAAGCTAACTGCTCGGTTATTTCAGCCTTGAAAGTGGTCCTAGGTGTTCAGGTAGGTTTTTTTCTTTCTCGTGGGGTTCTTTAAGCGAGGAGCTTAAAGTTATACTGTAACGGGGGTGCCTTGAAAGGGCGCGACCGTGAATTCGATCAGGTAGATAGGCAGAAAGGAATTCGACAAGCTATCCTTTCGGCTCGTTCGATGGAAAGATAGAGTTTCATTTGTTTGATCGTTATTTGTAGTCTAGAAACTTAATAACTTTAAGGGGGCTCCTCGCTGGTAAAGACTCGCTGATCCCCCCGAAACCAAGCTGGGGCAACCGAGTTCCTTTATGGAAGTTCGGCGCCCCTTCCTTCATTACCTCTTTCCTTTTTTCACTGGCCGTCCGCCTTTCAAATAATCTGGGGGCACCACCTATTTTCTATCAGGGGGGAGGAGAAGAGTTGCTACCACACCGCGGACGAATTTTCGTCCGAGTCAAATCTCGCAATCCTTGCCAAGAAAGGGTCGGGATCCTAGGAACTAGAGGAAACAGCCGACCAGACAGCAATTGCTTATTCAGAGTATTTAGAATAGATTTGGGTGTTTTTAAAGCAAAGGTTTGTTTTGGTAGTTTGGGTCGCACTCTTACTCCCCCCAAAGATGCACCGGGCTGAAACAGGAGGGTTCCGGCGGTTCGACGCTCCGGGGGTTATTTTTGGGGGTCTAAAACGTGTTTATTTTGCAGTGTTTCCTCAACTCCGCAATGCGTTCATTCAACCACCCCAAATGGACCGGAGCATCGCCAGGATCCTTTCTGACGTGGTAAAGCATATTTTCCGGGCATCGGCTGCAAAGTTATTGCGCCTCAAAGGTTGAATGCCAAGGTATGGTAACTTATGTTTGGGGTTACCCTTCCTTATTTGGTCTGCTCGTCCTGCTGCTCTAGTTTTGGTCCAGTCGTCTAGCTTGACTTGTAAGACTTCTTGCTCGCCAGGATCTCTACCCTCTATACCAATAGAGGTAGGGGCTCATCTGCCCTTCTCTTCACCCATCGATGAAGAACCAGCTGCGGTTAACCTAGGGCCGTATGGCTTGACTGGTAGAACAGGTATTTTTGTAACAGCCCTACTGTGGCCCTGTTACACATCGGATTCACCCCCATTCCAAATTGGCAGAAAACCGTTGAGGGAGGGCAGGTTCATTAAGTAAAGGCATAGGGCATTAAACGCAACCAATCCGGAGGTGTTTTTATTGACCCAACCTACATTTTGCATTTCCGCCTTTAGGCTGTGGCGGATGCTGGTGTACACTTTAGGTAGGTTGAATAGACCTAAAGTCATCTTCGCTTTGCTTGCTTGAGTCATCTTGAATGCGGGCGAGCTCGGGGATGTCTCTTGAATACTTGGGGATGTCTCTTGAACACTCGGGGATGTCTCTTGGACAATCGGCGATGGCTCGGGTCTAATTCGTCTCTGTCGTACTGCTGAGGGGTGGTCTATTAGTTAGGACGGGCTTGAACTAGAAAATAACCGAGAGGGGTGTCGGGGCTTGAATGTAGGGATCTCCGGTGCAAGAACCTTCAGTGGAGCACCGACGGGTGCTGGTGAGGTAGTAGTAGAGCCTGCTGGGCCTGTTGAGCGGCCTGTTGCTGGGCCTGTTGAGCGGACTGCACTAGACTTAGACCGAGTGAGAACTTGACTTGGGACTATGGTCTTCCGGGCAACGTTCTTTTGTGGAGCACTAGCGGGTGCTGGTGGGGTAGCACAATCCCTAAGTACGGTCGTCCGTACAAGGGCCTCTGGTGAAGCACTGCTGCGTGCTGAGGAAGCAGTGGAGACTGCTGCTAGTGGGCCTGTTGCTGGACCTGTTGCTGGGTCTTGATCGTCACCTATGTATGGTTCAGAGGGTTCAGAACTAAAGTCGGGAAAGGAGTCGGAATCGGTTAGGGTTGCTCCCCAGTTACTCGGGAAAATCCCTTCAGTGTCCGATGGAGCTAGGTTAGTATTTGGCGGAGTCCGGGTTTCAGTCTGGATTGGTGGAGGTACAGGGTTTTGTTTTCGGCTCTTGTTGATCGGGGTGAACCCGGAAAGCACTGGCGACTGCTTAGGGGGTGTTTCTGGTATCTCCTCCGGGATAGGCTTGACAATCTTTGCGGGACGATTTGCGACCTGAGGAAGTTCGGTGTTTATTATGTTTTCGGAACGATTTGTGTTTCTTGGTTTTTCGGTGGGTCTTTTCGTTATCGTCTTCGTCTATGTCACGCAAGCGCTTCTTATTGGGAAGTTGATTTGTGTTCTGTGAACTACCAGGAGTGCTCTGAGCGGTCTTTGGAATCTAATAATGTTAATGTATCACTGTGGTGAGTATGGTTCTAAAATTAATTGGATTAGGAGAGAGAAATACCATCTTATTTATAAAGATTGCAAAGGTTAAATCGCTTGAAAACGGAGGAACTTGAAGGATGAGATTTCAACAGGTAATGTTGAAAGCAATGGAAAACCAGAAGTGATAGGTAGAGGAGAACTTGAAGGTGGTTAGGAACTTTTCACGAACTTGAAGGAAGGGAGGGGTGCTCTTATACCGAGTACGATCAGCTTTTTTCTTGAGCTTATCACGCTTCCGAGAGCACCCACGAATGCTCTAGAAGCACTCGAGGGTACTCGTACTCAATGTTTGCTTCAATATATGACGTTGATCTAAATGCTCCAGGCACACTCGGTGATGCTCTGACTGTACCAATGGTGACGTCGATAACATTCTGGTGTTGGGGTTGGTGCTTGTGTTCTTGTTGGTGTTGGTACTCTGTCCTCTAGGAAGCTGATTCGGAGAGAATGTATTCTTTGAGCTCGTAGTCGATATTAGTGTTGAATTTGGCGCTGAGAACACTGTCTCGATCTGAGGAGACTCCGCGAGTGCACAGGGAGAGAGTACAGATGCTCAGGGCGATAGAATCTAGCATAACTGGCCGCCTGATTGGGGTGGTGGGTGTTTCTTCGTGTTGGTGTTGATGTTTGTATTAGGTTGGTGATGTATGACATCAGACTCGTATTGAAAATCAGCCTTGTCGACCGGGGTGCAGGTGAGAGGAGCCTCATTGGCTGACAAATCAAATCATTCGAGCACTCTGCAGCAGCACCTGCAGGAAAGAACCTCCTCGGCCTTGGCAGAAACCAAATTTTTAGAGCACTCAGGAGTGCTTTGCTAGCATTATGAGACTTCAATGAAATCGTCTTGCCATTTTTGCAGCAAGCGGTACAGCTCCTCCGCGAACTTCGATAAACATCTTCGAACCACACATCCATTTGAAGCAGATGAATGGCTGGGAAACCAATTTTTACGCCTGAAGCGCGATCAAGAGGCACCCGATGACACTCATGATAGCCCGGAAGGCATTCACGATTCCTATTCAGATCCCCATAATGACTCGGATAGTTTGGAGAGCAACAGTATCAATTATCATGACCAAGATCCCGATAATAATTCAGATCTGGAATCCGATTCATATTTTATGATGGAAGAGACAGATGGAGATGCAAATAGGCATAAGGCAGCGACAACGATTTATGAGGGTGCTGGGGAGCGTCTCTACTGCTCGGAGGACTACGACGAATGCTCACAAAACCTTCTCCGATACCCGTGGCACCCATTCAACTCAGCATACGAGTTTAGAATGGCACGTTATTTCATACTGTCGAAAGCCTCACAAGGAAATATCGACAGTTTCCTTCTACACGCTCCGTCAAGCAGTGTCGAATCCTCCTACAGGACTGGGCGAGGTTTTATAAAGAGGTTGGACGAAATGAATGACAAATTGGGAAAGGCGAGCTGGCATCATTCGGAGGTGGATATTGGGGGAGAGAAAATCCCTTACTATTACCGGGATCCAATGGTAATTGTGCGATATCTTCTAGGCCAACGGGCCTTTCGGGAGTCATTGGTGTACGCGCCAGTGGTAGAGCATAATGAATCTGGCGAGAGAATGTACGGGGAAATGCATACGGGAGATTGGTGGTGGGAGACGCAGGTCTGGTAAGCCTCACAAGTGATCTAGAGGCAGTCGCTAATGCTTTCTGGACAGAATACCTTACCGGAGGGGTCGACTGTGGTACCAATTATATGGGCGTCAGATGGCACACCTTTGACAAATTTTAGTGGGGACAAGAAAGCCTGGCTAATGTATCTTACCATCGGGAACATCAAGTCATCGGTCCGGAGCAAACCCACCGGGCATTCGTTAATTCTCCTAGGGCTACTACCAGTCCCACCTAAGCTCGGGAAGAACTCACTCGCTAATTCCGCTTTACGACGTCAGAGTCAAATGGCGCTGCATCGCCCCTTGGGGAGATCTTTCAGAGCATTCGGGAGTGCTCTCAGGAAGGGGAGCTAATCGCATGCGCCGACGGGTACGAACGTCTATGCTTTCTGGTGTTGTCGGGTTGGATCGCTGATCAACCTGAGCATTCAAACTTACAAAATATTAGTACTAGCTCTTGTCCAAGATGCGAGGTGGAATTCCACAGTCTTGGGAGCACTCGCCGGATCTCAAGGGGCGATGATAGCACGTATTCCGCAGGGTACGATATGCGACAGTAGAAGCTGCCGAGTTAGTCAAGCGAGGTCAAGCGAGGTCAAGCGAGGCACGAAGGTCTTCGTGGAAAGGAGAAGTAATAGCGTATATATTGAGAACCAGCGTAGATATAAAAGTGGTCCTGCCTGGTATGATATGCCAGGTACGGACAGTGGTTACGGTAGGGAACTACAGAAGACGTTGCGTAAGGAAAAGAAGAAGAGAAAGGAAAACAGGAACGAAGCGAGGGAGAGCCCCCTTATTATACCCAAGAAAATCCTGCGATGACTAATCCCAATGACTCACGCCGTGCAACCGAACAGAAACCGAAAGAACACGATAGAATTCTCCTGACTAATCCAACTCCGCGTAACCCAACGACTCCACCAACCGATCCGTGAAACCGGAGCCCTACGTGCGATAACGAGGATTACCGGGAGAAGGTAAAGCTATTCAGGGAGAACCCGGGAAACCTGGGACCGGTGGAATACCTTGTCGCGAGATCAGTAAAGACACTCTTCAATGCTTTCTGGGGTATGCCGAGGGTTAATCCATACGATCTCAACAAACAGGACATTCTGCACAATATCTACCTAGGGATGTTGAAGCACATGATGGAGTGGGTTCAGGCTTTCTTGAAGAAGCACAATCGATTGGAGGAATTTGACAAGGCTTGGGCCTCGATTGCGCCTTACCCTGTACTGGCAGTACCGAACAAGGCATATCGTGCCACAACCCAATGGCAAGGGAAGGAGATGAGAAATCTGAGGCGGGTCGTTGTTGTAGCACTCGCGGCTGCTTTGAGAAACCCGGGGGTGGCTGTCAGGGGCGACTTCGCAAAGGCATTGAAATGTGTACAAGGCTTAATCGACTTCCACTTAATGGCGCAGTATGGGAGTCATACGACGTGCACACTGAATTATATGGAGAGCTATCTCGAGGATTTCCATAAGCACAAGGATATCTTGTTAGAATTCCGGGCGTACAAGAGGAAGGTTAAGGATGCGAGAGATCGGACAAAAGCTGTGAAGACCTCAGGCTCCCAGAGCGCTCAGCGAGGTTTGGAGGAGATTCGCGAGATACGGGAAAGGTCTCACTTCAACTTCATCAAATTGCACGTGTTAACGCACTATCGGGAACATGTCGAGCGCTTTGGGAGCATTCCCCAGTACTCCACCGACATCAGCGAACTCGCCCATGTACGTCAGATAAAAGAGGCATACGGAGCATCCAACCAGGTCGATGCTGCAACGCAGATACTGGACTATGGGGTGCGGCGGTTGGCGTTAGGGATTCGAATGCTGAATCTGAAAGACATTGTTGGAGGTCCTGAGAGCACTGACGATATCCTTTGGAGCCATCGAGATAACCTGAAGGAGTTACTTGAGATTTTTAAAATTGAAGACCGGAAAAAAAACACCAAATGAACGATCCATAGTAGAAGGCCGACTGCCTCTAAGGCGTCTTTGCAACCCCTCCACGAAATCGGAAAGACTTTTCAATATTGCGAATGGACTGCAAATAAGCCATACCACGTTATATCGCATGATAAAGGAGTATGCAGAGGATGCGGGATGCTTTCAAAGCTTTGCCGGAAGCTCTGAGAGCATTTTAGAGCGCCGGGTGGAGATGTTCACATGTTTGCAGGTTCCGATACCAATCTTCCAAAGACCTGAGGTGTACGAGGTTCACAATATCAGGTGTACGGGAAACGCGTCTTTTAGGAAAGGAAAAATAAGAAAGGATTGGGTATGGGTGTCGGTAGCGTCCTCAGAGGAGTGGGGAGTGTTTCGGGGTCGCTTACCAGGACGTATCGAGGCTTTGTTCAAGCTGCGGAACAGTGGGGGGCGAGCACATAGACTATGTATAGTGGAGCTACTCGAGGCAAAGGATCGCGGTATCGCTGATAGCTCACATGGGCTCCTGAAGGTTTGTAGGAGGAGGAGGAAGAGGATGTGTGTCGTTAATATTCGGATTATATTGGGAATGGCCCATTTGTTTGAGGTAGAGACTGGTAATTGGTTGGTAAATACTAGGATAGACTTGCGTACGTGGAATGAATTTAGTTGAATACTTGTAAAGCCGTGAGGGCATTCTTGAGTGCTCTAGGAATGTTAGACCCAATTGGACTCTCTAATTCAAAATTCGTGTCGTTCTGCTATGCATGCGGATTGGAAGAAGGAGGTAAAGTTTCGGCCGCTCAGTATTTGAATCTGCCTATCCAGCAAGCTCGCTCCAGGAGGTCAATGCCAGTTCATGTGTGCTGCTTATGCATGGACATTGAGCTTTTCAGACGAGCCGTACCATGGCCTCAACCTCAAGGCTAATTATGACTTTCACGAATCGACAGAAACATACACCTCCGTCAAAGGTTGGGTAGTCGTCACCAGTATACAGGACAGTGCTCGTATCAGTATCCTGCGACTGACCATACAGCGGCGTTGAGGATGCCCACGTTAGATATCTTTTGAGGGACTGGTGCGGCCTTCCTATCCTTTGAGGACGGTGTATCAATCCAAAGGAGCCCAAATGAGGGTTGCCTCACCTTGAGTGGGTATGACGAATGCCTCAGCTCTGTGAGCATTGGGGAGTGCTATGGGAGCACTCGCGGATGCCCTCGCGGGAGCGTTCGCGGGAGCATTCGCGGGAGCATTCGCGGTCCTGTGAGAGCATTCGCGGTGCCGTGAGAGCATTCGCCGTGCCGTGAGAGCATTCGTCGTGCCGTGAGAGCATTCAAGAAAACTGTTAGAGCATTGGGAAGTGCTCGCGTGTACTACTGACGTAATCAAAAGAAGCAAAAGTTCCTAGGTGCTGTGGGCGGAGTCACTCCATCCTAGCATCTCCCGAGGGGGAGGAATTTCATGGCGGCCCATGCGACCAGAGTATTGGCGAGTGCCCTCCGGACGTGAGCCATATCTCCTGGTGGTCCCAGAGAGTGGGACGGTCCTGCGGCGGAGCCTGACGCGAAGGTTGTACTCCGGCGGTGCCGGACGCGCTGGGCGCTCGTGGCGCAGAATGCCCGCCAAGACGTAGGGGCTGCGCCCTGGGTAATAGGCGAGCTTGCTGAGGACTCTGGCACCGGAAAAATTGTGCCAAACTAGAAAAAAACATCTCAAACCTACACCTACCCCCAAAAGCATGGGAGAGTTGAAACCATACGAAATAATTAGTAGACTTCATACTGGAGCTCATCTACAAATCAGTGTATCAAGTCACTCTGTGGAGCAAAGGATACGTCAAATTAAAGAAATTGTGGACCACGGAACTCAAAATGCTAAAATCAACACTCAACCGGCTGGAAAGGAAAGACAGACACACCCAAATAGGCACAAACAGGGAAGCCCACTGAAAACCGAGCAGAAACTGGACAACAGCCATCCGAAAGGCGAAAGCAAATGAAGGAGAAAAGGAACTCACAGAAGCCAAAGCAAGCATCATCTGGAAACTAGCCAACAAAGGGAAAAAAAGCGAAACCACAATCCCAACTATACATAGTGAAGAAACGTTTGCAGGGAAGTACTAAGCCCTAGGGGCCGAATTCTTCCATACAAATTAGAAGTCCCGCAACAATCCTCCACTTCAAATCAGACCCCTCTCTATTGACTTTGGCAACAAATTACAGGAAGTAAGTCCCGAGGATATCACATCTGCATTCAAGTCATGCCCGACCCAATCAGCAACAGGCCCCGATAACGTCCCATACACATTTATACAGGCTAGAATTAGAGTCAACACCCAACTCTTCCAAGACATGTTCTCAACCATGCTCTGCCGTGGAGTTCAACCAAATCGATGGAAAGTGGCAAAATACATACCAATACCAAAGCCAGGGAAAGCCAACTACTCCCTAGCCAAAGCATACTGAGCAATATTTCATCTCTAATGTTTCAGCAAGGTTTTGGAGAAAATCATAGTGACAAGACTATGCACCACCAGGAACATTCTAGAGACTCACAGCAAGTACCAACTTGAAGGCAGGCCCACAATCTCAGCAATTAACACCCTACTCCAAACCCTTATAACCATCCAACAGAACCTCCTACTCAAATGCAGTATAGGAGCCACTCCAGACATACCAGCCCTGCTCACAAATAACATGCAAGGAGCATTCAATTGCATCAACTACCTCCTGCTCGCCGAAATCAGGACCAAACAGAACTTCCCACAATACCTAGTCCATTGGTGCAAAAAATTCAACACAAATCGAACTTTCCAATTCCAGTTCAACCACGAACGGGAAACACTACAACCATTCAACTCACGGTTGCCCCAAGGGTCCCCCCTATCACCAATGCGGTTCATGATCTATGCAGGAGTAGTAACAAACCCCACCAACTCCCCCAAAGAAACCAACACCACCTATATCGACGACGACACACTCATACAGCTAGCAAAAACCCCCTTCTTCATCACCAAAAGACTGAACACGAGAACCGCAGAGAAAGTACAGAAAGCAACACCTCTCAATGTTAAATAAGAACCGCGAAGATCTGTCCTCACATTCTTTTAACACACCCGATCAAAAAACCCCACGCCAAAGAACTCAGTTATAATCGCCTATTAGGAAGTCATTCCCAAAGACAGGCTGAAATATATTGGCATCTGGCTAGACTCCAACCTCTCCTTCCGACTCTATATCAAAGAAACCATAGCCAAAGCCTTAGAACCCTATGCAAAATAAGAAACATGGCATACCTTCCAGGAAAAACTATGAAATCCATCCATCACATCTTCGTCCAAGAGTTCCTCCCCATAATACCATGCATATCAGAAGGATAGTGGATAGGAGCTGACCATACTCTACGATCACTCTCCCCACACTATAATGACGCAGCCCGAATAATCACCGGTCTGCCCCGATAGAAAAAAACTGAAAGACTGCTAAAAGAGTCAGCACCCCCCCCTCTCGAACCCCTCCTCAACCATAAAGCACGGAAATATGGAACCCGTATTCTATGCCACCTGGCCGACCACCTCCCAAACGAAGAACTCATCCAGCTCCTCCCCAAAAAAACGATATAAACTAAAGCAACTGGCCTTCACCGGATCGCATCAGTTATGCTATCCTTGAAAGAACCTGGTAATCGTAGGGAGTGATGGATACACAAGGATATCCTCACTAAGTGAATGATCGAGGAATGGAGCTCCATTCCTTGCATCAACTACCACCAACCCGGTACTCTCAAAACACACCCCAAACTATCAAAACTCCCACCATCCAAAGCGAAGCTCATAGACCGCATACAATGGCGAGCTACCAGGCTGTACAGTTACGCAGCTTACACAAACCATGAAATATGCCCATGCGGCACGGAACAATCAGCAAACACACCATGATCGATTGCCCCCAATGGGTACAGATACGAAGACCACTGATGGATAAGATCCTGGGCCCGCCTAACTGGGATAACTGGTCATTCACAAATCTTAATATAAACTTGATTCTACAATTTGCAGCAAGAACCAATCTATTGGACTGGTACAAAAAAGATGAAAAAGACTCGGAGGATTGAATGAATTTTCTAGTTTCATTTTCTTTTTCGTACCTTTCTTATATATTTGACTTCTCCTTTCCTTTTCTACTTTGTTACCCTTTTCCTTATTTTCTTTTGTTTTAGTCCGACGGCGGTTGTTCCCATGCGATAAGTCCTGTACTTCAAAGCAATATACAATCTATCCATCTTGTATTCTACTTTGGGTTATCACTTTGGGGGATTTACTACGCTTCAATACACACTTTTTCTATAGCCACGTTACGTGCGCTGCCCGATATGAATACCGGCTTCGTCATCGCAGCCTTCTGTGTCTATCTTGCCCTCACTGTTTGCCTCACTGCACTTGCCCTCATGTGAGTCCTTGCCCTCGCTCCCCTCTTCGTAGCCCCCGCTACCCTCGTCCACTCCCTCACGCTCGCAATTACCCTCGCTGTCTACCTCATCGCCCTTGACCTTGTGCGAGCCCCCTCGGCTACTCCTCTGTACCCCGCTACTATTGCCTAAGTACGAACCTTCCTGATATCCCTCGAATCCCTTTGCTATATCTCGCCCATGGTTCCTTACAACACCCCATCAACAAGATTGTACATATTCATTAGTCTCCCAACAGTCTCCTCGGTCTCCTGACGATCTCCAGAGATCTCAAAAGGGTTTTAATTCTCTGGAGATACAGGAGACACTTTACAGAGTTTGTTGGGCTTGCTGATGACCACAAAATGCCCAAGCCGGTATATCGTAGAGTCCGATACTTATTCTTTCAACTCGTGTATCAAGTGGGAACGAACATGGGAGTGCAGACTTCTGACCTATTGTTCTCAATTATGCTTCCAGAGTACTTGTAATTCTTTTGGAGACACTCAACCATTTAATTACGACCTCATTGAGGTATACTCTACACACTACTAAGTGACTAGCAGTTACCCACATGCCCACTACCAGTACCAAAGTTCTTACTGCAGGTGGAAAGGGCTCATTTAAAAGAGTATACTCCCGATTAACAGGCTACACTCCTTCTCAATCTTCTGAACCTGCACTGACAGCATATTTGCTCTCCTAATAGGGTTAGGTAGCACAGACATCTGAATCAATTGGCTCGGAGATCTGTCATCAGTGCTCTCAAAGACATTGTAAGTATCCTCTGGAATACTAACCTCGATTAATCAGCAAGTTTAACAATTTCTGTAAAGTATCCCCCGAGTCCATCAGCAAGCTTAACAATTTCTGTGAAGTATCTCCTGTATCTCCAGAGAATCAAAATCAGTTTTGATGGCTCAGGAAAACCTCAGGAGACTCAGGAGACTGTTTTGCAACTGATGAATATATACAAACTTGCTGATGACTTCCCGGAATCAAATACCCTCGCTTTCCAGAATCAAGATACCCTTGCTTTCCGGTATCAAAGTACCCTTGCCCTCCGCCCTAAAAAAGTATTTGGGGAAATGGCCAGTGCTAAATAATAATTCTGTAGCTTTTAAACTTAGGATATTGTAAACTGCATTCTCTTGACTTGATAGTTAATGATCTTCTCAAGTCGTCGCGGGAGTCTGCCTTATGTATACATATTGGAACCTATCTCAAGACTCGCCTTATAATACTAACTGACACAATAATAATAGAATAAGGTAATGCTCCAGAAAATAACTCACATACAAAAGCGCCACCGTATAGTTCCGTCCTCTATTCTAATTCTCACAGGTAACTATGAACCTTGCAATTGCCAGTCATTGGGCTATACCATACTATTGTCCTATACCTACTTCGACAAGTAGAATAGGCTGCAGCCATTAGCCCCACTTCCTATTCTATTCCGGGTGAGATACACAATAGTAAGCGCGCCCTTACAAGAGCGTAATGCTAGTGTGGTAACACCGTATGCACCCACACTACCTGGTACTTTTCTATGCTTGTCCTTCAGTTACCCGACTGTCCTCAGATCACATCCCGTCACTCGTTTTCCTCACTGTCCTAAGCCTCCAGAACGGTGTCCCGTAAGTCTTGTAACCATAGGAGAATGTACTCAATTTCATACACTCTTTGCGATCTACTTTAAGTGTGAAGTTGGTTTGAAGGAATCTGACAACTGCTCACAGAGGTCTCACCAATTACCACAGTAAGTGGTGAAAAACAATAGGTCCGGTAGGTGGGGGACTACTCCCCATATGGAGAGCACATCGAGGAAAAATCGATATGTCGTGTCCAAAAGGTATACTCATGAGGATAAACAGTTGGAGAGGGCCTAGACTATGGGGGTAATGAGGCTGGTTTCTGGGATTCCCAGAGCGCTGTTTGGGACGCCAGGGGTGCTCTCTTGGATACATTTTGGCTGGGTACTGAAGTGGGTATTGCTCTCCCTTGATACTTTTTACGTATTACTTTCGTGCCTGATCTAGTTCCCCCTTTCACGGTTAGCCACTAATACTTACATGTTAAAAACCATCAATGAGTGAGATAGAGCCAAACCTGTACCACGGCCACCGACAGATCGGAAGAAGCAATTACTTTCATGACCATGCCAGTTGGTTTCCTCCGAGTATTGCACATTGCTTTGGCAGTACTCGGCTGAACTGTATGAGGTTTCTTTCCGACAGTCAGAAACATCTAGGTGTAAGATGGGAAGGCGTCATGAGGTCCATCCTTTGGTTCATTCTCATCCTCCTCAGAGCTATCGTGATTGTTCTCTGGAGCATCATCATAGTCTGACCGGCTAGTATCAACTATTTCCTTCACGTTTGGTGCCTCAATTGCCTCAGGCTCCTCCTGCACTTCAAAATTATCAGTATGATCCTCGGGGAGAGGAAATTCTACCCTTCTAGGACAACTTCTTCCAGTGGGGGTTTTCAGGGAACAGAGTAAACCTTCTCAAGTTATTTGCTCAGCAGTGGTCGATTGACTACCCCGAGTGGGGGCTCGCAGTGGAGTTAATATTAGTTAAAATATCTCAAACTCGTTAGTCAGTAAATTTTCATGTTCTTCAGCTCATGTTGGGAGTCGTTGAAGCATTGGGGCAACAGGTGCTGAACCGCAGGAGTGCTTAGTGGGATCCATTCTGATGACTGGGAGGAATATTCGCAGAGCTCTAGCAGCACCCGCGATATCTTCGATTAGAAATCAATTCTCGTAGAGAAAATTTACACCTTTAATCAAGAAAAATTTACACCGCTTATCCTCATATGCCAGAGATAATTCTTTGTTACCACAATCTCTGTACTCAACCACATCATTTATCAGGACTCATTTTATTGTACCTTCTGAAGTGGTACCAAGTGCTCCGAGAGCAATCTAGGAGTTTGATTTGACTTTGAAATAGAAGCAATGCAATTAGTACCTGGAATAATCTAATCTAATCTAATCAAATGCCATATGATATAACCCATACGTTGATACACTGTTGCAAAACAAAGCAAAACCCAAAACAGCAAATTGTACCACACCTCAGTAGCTATCGGGAGTGCTCAGGGAATAATCCCAAAAGCTATTAAAAGATTAGTAACAATTCCTGGTAAGGAAAATTGGAGATTGTACCAAAGGCAACTAATGATACCCACCACTATGACAACCAGCACGATCACAACCACCATCACCACCACAATCACAACGGCCAATACTACTAGCTCCAGCTGGCCAATCACCACCACCACCACCGCCTCCAGCTGGTCCTCCACCACCACTACCGTCTGGGGAAGGAGGAAGTTGGTACTGAGCAGGTTGGCACGGAGGAGGAGGAGGTTCACACGGAGGAGGAGGAGGTTCATTCGGAGGAGGGGAGGCTCACGCGCAGGAGGAAGAGGTTTACTCAGAGGAGGAGGAGGTTCGCCCAGAGGCGATGAAAGTCCTAGACCACCACCACTACCCCCACTGCCTCGAGCACCAGCATCCAGGAATGAGTCAGCTGCTCTCGTAACTGCTATCCTGGCAGGTGTCCAGAACATGCCCTGTAAGAAGTTTGGGTCAGCAACCCTGAAACACTAAAGATGCTTTATAAAGTATTTGGGGTTTAAATCATTGACAAATCCTGCTGTCCATCGAGAAGCCTAACAAGAGTCTGAATTAGCATTTGATTATTGGCCTCTGTTCTGGCATATATACACTCAGTCCTTTGGCATATTTCCGGTTCTTTCCCTCCTCGTAATCCGAATTCTTTGCAGCAATATTGATTATGCTATAATCAGCTTTCCCAATATGAGGGAAAGCCAGGTTAAACAGGGGGCATTCCGCACCAAGCAGTCTATCACCAATTGCTGCTCTGTGGAGGACTACCAATGGTCTCCAGAGCCTGGTATTGTTGTTCATCAACCAACTTTCGATTTCCTCTGAAACGGTAATTGGTACCTCTACCGCCCTTTCATGCATCGATTGGTCAGGACGTTGAGTTACGAAGAGTTGGATTAGTCAGGGATGTTCTACGTGTTTTTATGGGATTCTGTTGATAGTAAGGATATGAGTCAACCTGGATTTGACATTGGTAAGGGTTACCTGGGTATATTAGGAGCCTTCGTCCTTGCTTCTTGTGTTCTTTCCTTTCTTTCTCTTCCACTCAACGTCTTCTGTTCCTCACAACACCAAAACTTTCGAATAACAATAATTTTTGCTCGTACTTCCAATAAAATATTTACTCGAACAAGGTCCTGTATGTCAATAGACCGCGTAATCTATTGGTATCCTATCACATATCTGTTTGTATTCGAAGTTATTCACTCTCTGGTTCCTGAGTTCTAAACTCTTTCTTTTACCTCTAACCAATAACGGTTAAGCGAGATATACAAACTCGTGACCGTTGAATAACAAACTGGCTTCGCCAATACATCCTACTCCACCAAACTTCACAGGCATGAAAAGAACTCTATCAGAAGTCTCTCATGCCCCAAGACGATCTGAAACATTTGTGCTGTCCGAATAAGCGTCTCTGAGCTTCTGGTTCGTGGGTACTCCCTCCCCAGTGACATCAGCCCCCCCCCGCCACTTCGCCGAAACCCAACAAACTGAACAGACCTAGTCTACCACCATCGAACAAACCCAACTAGCCAATGAACCTTTCTACATTCTTGCAGAACATGCACAATACAATGAACCATACGCTCTCCAATTCGATTATATCCACAGAAGCATTGTGACCCAAGGATCACACCCTAGGATGGACCTCAACTAGTTCTTATAGGTACTCAGGAATGCCGTCATCATCATCATCGAACCGATCAAATAAACAATATGCCAAATCCACCGAGACAATACTGACAGCAAGGAACTACTATTCCAGCAAAATGACGCACTCAAACAAACCATCGACATCCTAGCAAAATAAATGTTTGAAGTCACCAAGAACTTGGACAAGATGAACGAAAACTCCACCGACTCCAACATCAAACCTCCCTAGTCAACAAGAACCGACCGAATGCCCCCCAAAACAACAACAACAACAACAACAACAATAACAAAACAACAACAACCCCCTAACCCCAATACAACCCACCCCCCTAGATAAAGGCAAAACACATGAACGAACTACCATTACGGCTCAATACAACCATGTGAACAAAATGAAATCATACGCCGCTGCTGCCGCACAAAAGCCAAGAGCTGACTTTACCACAGTCACAAACAAGAAGGAACAGAAACCCGAAGCCGACCCCCTCTTCAAAGGACGGCGACGCTTGGAGGAGGGGGTTGAGGCAGAAATGGAGGGGGAAGGGGGCATGAGATCTGTATCTTTGGAGGGGGCCAGTGGGGTACGTGGGGGGGGGGGGGGCTTGGTGGCATTCTGTCCGGTGCGGAGAGGGGGAGGGGAGGGGAGGGGAGAGAGGTGAGAGCGGTGCAAAAAAGGCCGGAGATGATGGTGGGACTAGGATAATTGCGGTGGTTTGTGGCTAACTGATGTTTGGTGGCTGGGGATACATGATACTGAGGTGGTAAACCGAACACTTGTCCCGGCGCTCACCCGGAACCTTTCAATTGGCCATACCCCGGGGTTGACCACACCTGTGGTAGGCGCGCATGGTGTAAGGTGAGTGCGGGACTTGAATCTGTTTACGTGTTATGTTGTCATCAGATGAAGCGCAAGAGCCAGAGAGGCGAAGGGCAAATGCCAGATATTCCTGATGCTGTTTTTTTTCTTTGTAGGGTAAGGACCTAAGTTGTTGTCCATTCACGAGTGATATTTCATGAGCCACTCTAGAACGGACCCACAGCACCTACATAATCCGTTAGCTGCGAGTGCGGGTTATTCCCCTCTGTGGTGTGCACTATCTTGAGAGTATCGTAGTCCGTTCATTAATGGATAGACCGTCAGTTCCAAAGAGCAGGTGGTCAGTGCGTTGGCAGGTGTTCGGGGGTCGGCCGGCCCATTCGTGGGGGTGTCCGCGACGATACTAAGATAAAGCTCAACTATCGCAGTCTCATGCGAGGCAATCTAAAGAGCACGGAATGAAAGCTGTATTCGATAACGTTTACACAAATGAATCAATGGACACTTTTACCAACGGACACCAAACTGGTATGTCCCCTCTCGCAAATACCCCCCTCCGGCTCCCCTATCCATCAATGCCGCACTCCCTCCATTGAGCCTTAACCTCTAGGGTCGCACTTCTTTAGCTGCTCCGGAGAAAGTAATATACACGCTGTAACAATAAAGACGAAACATCCCAAGAACTCCCCCGCCGCGCTACCTAACAATACCTATACCAAGTGCGGTGATCAGCAGTAGCACGGTTATACGAATGTGTCAGTACCGGGTGGAGGGGGGACTTACCAAGATGACTACAACGGGGAAGAAAGCAATTCCAAACGTCATTGGGGAGCTACCGACCTGTGTTTCCACTTTCGCCTCAGCCGCTGGGCGCTGCTAAAGATATCATCAGTCCCCCTACAAAAAGTAAATCCGCATGGGGTCTGCGGCTTACAGCCTCGGCTATTAAGACGGCCTCGTGCATCTTGCATTTGATGCGCTTTGAAAGCTGCTCAAACTCATAGAGTGCTGCGCACCCCCGTTTTATGGGCCAAGAGCGCGGGAGCACCTCGCCGGTTAGGAGAGGGATGTAGGACATATGTTCGCGCAGCAAGGCTAGTGTGTTCTCTACCAGCTCTAGAGCACGGATGTAAGGGTTGGGATCGCGTTTTGCTGCCCTATCCAGCTGCTGGGTGCTAATTGTGCCCTGTGGCTTATCGATTAGTTAAGAGGGTATGTGGAGTAAGTGCGGGAGAGGTGACCTTTCGGCGAACCTGCGTATCAATCTCGTCTAGGACATCGCCCCAGTGCTCGGCAATCTTGAGGAAGCACTTCACTGTCCACTCTGCGATGCGGAACTCATCGCCTTCATGCAGGAGCTGGCGGGGAAGCGGGGCACAGTAGGCCGTTAGTTGCCAGGGCAGGTCGTTCAAGATGAGCGTTGTGTTGCCAGCCCGCTTGCGGATGCTTGTGAGGGCCAGAGTGAACTTCTTCTCTTTGATGAGGCTGGTGATTGGGTTCCGAGTGCAGTAGGTGATTCCCAAGCAGTAGAACTAGCTTTCGTGGTTAGAGTTCAGGGTGAGTGGGCGGTGGACGAAGGTGTAGTGAGGGGGATTACCAGGGACGGGTTCTCAACCCGCATACCGTAGAACGCCGTGTCGCTGAGATGGCGCCGCAGCACCCAGATGTCGAACGGGAATGTGTCCGCATACTCGTTCAGGACCGTACTCATCAGCACTGTGGTCACCGCGCTCGGGGTAACCTCCTGCACATCAATCTCCCTCCCCCTCCAAAGCCCTTCCGACCTCTATCGCCCCCACCAATTACACAATCCATCAGCAACTGTACACTACTCACTGCTCCATAAATCGAGAAAAACATTCATAAAACCAACCTTCTTCCGCAAATGGTCCACAAACCCACCCGTGCCACACCCAACCCGGAGCTCCAGTGCATCCCGAGGATGTGAGCTATAAGCAACCCCCATCCAGCTGAAGTCGCGCACGCGGAACGCCTCCCCCTCCCCCTCAGCGCGGTAAGACGTGAGTTCCGCCAGCTGGGCCTGGAGGGTCCTATCAAGGGCTGAACGGATAACTTGGGGGGCGATGGGCTCGTCCCCCTCCTCAAACGGATTAACAGACCCTCCCTCCTCCTGTCGGAAGTGGGGCTCGGCGAGGCGTCCACGCAGGGTCCTAGTCCCCCAGGGCCATATAGTGGCGTCTACAGCTTCCGCGGCTATCGGCGTCGGGTTAATAAGTAAATATTTGTTTCCAGTGAGGAGATATTTGGCTTACCGGGTGGTAGCGCTTCCATGCGTAGCTCTTATTAGCAGAGTAGGGGAGTATGTAGTAGTGGGAAAGTAATGATAGTGGAGCTATGGGGTAGTGAGGAAGGGTTGTATATCGCCGGAGCGCCTAATGTTTCCAAGAGAACCAGCTCATGATCATTGGGCCTATCAAAGTCCTATTGCTTCTACCAATAGCGATCAGCCTTTGTGCATGCAGAGTGATTAGGACAAAAGCTTGTCACACCGAAGATCTTTCCCTATCTCTGCATGACCGACTGCGGGAAAAAAAAAGAAAAGATGCCGTAGAATGGAGTGGGTTATGTTACTAGCTCGCTATATCAATTCAGCATCGAGTAATAAAGGAAAATAGCAAATCGTACTAAATATATATGTATATGAGCGATGAAGAGGAACCCAACACCGCAACCTTCCGTCTCTCAATTGGTAAGTCCGCGAATAATATACATATACAGCGCAAAGTGGCGCTTAGAGGTTGCTAGAGAAATATATACATACTTGAGTTGCTATAGGTTGGCGAAGGAATCCTTTTGTTACGTTAGAAACTGGCAAAATTCAATTTGGCGGGTTGCGCCGTTGGTAAGTTGGCTCCGGTTGGCTATGGTCAGCCGCTGGACACGGGGGTTTGGAAACTGTTGCCGCCCGTCGGTCCGCTAAGTAGGCATTTATTTGTACCGTACTTCCTTGGCGACCTTCTTGTGTTTATGGAATTACCGCTCAGGCTTCTCTCCACACAACAATTCTCTGGTGCCCAAGTGCACCCTATTTGAAATTTCAATAGGCAACGTATTGTGCGCCCAGCCAGCTAACGGTAACAGACGATCAATCGCTTACAACTTTATAACCATGAAAGATACAGATAAAATTAAAGTTAGATATAATGATCAACAAATTATCTGACCGATTTCCATGTAAAGCTGCCTTTTCTGGACTGGGTGGAGGTGTATTGATACCCGTTTATCTCACCGAAAAGCAAACCCAGCAAACTGGCTAGCTACACAAACCATGTTCATTTGGCCCAGGGCTGTCATTTTGCGAACTGACAAAGAAGCCTGCATTTCCTCCGCAGACAAGTCTCTTGAAGGATACCCCCCGACAGACTGTTTCTTCAAGTATTCAGCCTCAGAATACACCCCGATTCCAATCCGGCCTGACGACCCCCGAGACATGCATGTGCAGCGAGCGTGTGTGGGATGCAGCTACCCGCCTGTGGCTTGCCTGAGCTCAGTGCTGCTGGCGGTACGACAGCCTCTCAGTGAGATATGGATATGTGGGTCCGTCCATCCAGAAACATACAACCTCCTTCCGCAAGAGCACACCATCATGGCCGCTACCTCCACGAACTCACCACCTAGCCTCCTCCCCACGGCCCGCTCATCCATCACCTCTTTCCTCAACATTTCCCAGACGTCTGCCGCCCGTGGGGTGCACGCCGAACTAGCAGTCCTCCAGGACCTACTCCGCAGTATCGCAGACACACAAGCCGCTCTTCCCCCAAGTACAAGTAATCGAACTCGCATCGCTGGAAATGCAGAGCTAGAAGGCCATCTTCGCAATCTCACAACGCTGCTGCCACCCAAGCCACCCAGGCCACCGTCTCTGTGGTCAAAGCGCCAGTGGGCCGATACACTGGCCGGGGTAAAGGCCGTCAGAGAGAAGATAGCCACCTACCATGCACGGACGACTCCACGAGTAGCTAGAATCCCCGCACCCACAAAGCTAGACGCAGACGGTGACGCCCCCATTTCATTATTTCATCCCGCTGCATGCTGATACGGAGCTAGCTGTCCGCACTTGGCTCACCCACACCCCCGACAGCGCCCATCGGCACGCCGAGGTCTGCTTCCAGCGTCACACCAGCAGCTGCTCCTGGTTACCGTCATCGCCGCAGTGTACCCGCTGGTTGCGCGGTGATGTTCCGTGGCTACTGTGTACAGGCGAGCGTATGTCTCCTGCCACCTACCAAATGAAAGGGAAAATATAGTTATAATGCTGACTGTCAGTTGTTGGGAACAGCGGGCATGGGAAAGACATTCTTAACGTCCCTCCTCCTCCTCCATCATTCAAAGTCCAGGACTATGCGCTAACATTCGATATACAGGTCGTCCCTCATCGATCACCTCTCCGCGCTCGAGAAACAGGGTGTTGCGTACTTCTACTTCAATCGCATGGATACACTGCGACAGGACCCGTGTAGTGTCTTCCGCTCCATCCTGTTACAGCTCTTGAAATCGGCGGCCGCCATTCCACCACTCACCGCCGCACTGTACAACACCCACCCCACCCCAACACTCTCAATCTCACAGCTCCAAGCTGCAATTGCTGAATGCGGGGGTCAGTTTGAGCGGACGTGGATACTCCTCGACGGCCTGGACGAGTGTGCGGAGGTGCACCGCGCCGACATCCTGTCCACGCTCTGGGTGCTTTGTGGACGTGGAGTGCGCGTGTTTCTCACGAGTACTCCGGGGGTAGTGGACCTGCGGAGGGATGAGGGCTCTGAGATTTTAGATCTAGAAGGGCTGGTCGAGGGTAGCAGAGAAGAGAGGATGAAAGGCGTGAAAGCGTTGGTGAAAAAAAAGATAGGCGTGGCCCAGTGGCGGCGGGCGGTGGAGGGGGGGGCGAAGGAGATCGATGAAATTATTGAAAGAGTAGTGGAGAGGGCAGGTGGTGTGTAAGTGCTTCTCCGTTTTTCCTTTGCTACCAGAGACTGAAGGCTGGATATATGGAATGCGGCTAACGGTAGTGGCGGCATATATAGGTTCCTGCTCGCAGTGCGGCTGGCGGAGAATATCCGGACCGCCATCACCGAGGACGAACTCCAGGCCCGCTCCAAGGAGCTCCCCGGCAACGTGACAGACTACTACGCAGCCACCATGAAGACCCTAAAGGACTCAGGCCCTCTCGGAATCTCCGTGCTCGAGCAGATCATTGCCTCTCCCCGCCCCCTCACCCTCTCTGAGCTCAACTATCTCATCGGCGTCGCTTCAGCCGGGGGCGAGGGCAGCTTGACAGGCCACCCATATACGCCATCCTATGTCTCCATGGTCACCAAAGGCCTCATCACCGCCGCCGAGCCCACAGGTATCTGCCGCCCGGCTCACCCAAGCCTACTGGGCTTCCTGGAGACCGTGGAGCCAAGCATGTTGTTACAAGCGAGGAAGGAGGTCCTGGGCACATATTTCCGCCTATTTGCGGCACGTCCGGGGGGTGATGACGAGCTGGCAAAGGGCCTGTACCAGTACGCGGTCCACAATTGGGCGGCGCATCTGCAGGCCCACGGCACTGACGGTGATGGATCTTTGCAGAGTGTGGTGCTGGACGCGTTCAAGAATGCTCCGGGGGTCCTCAGTGAGGCGCTACGGGCGGCGATGCGGGGAAGCTCGGTCTTACCTATAGCGCGGACCGGGCGGGCGGGGGTTCTACATGCGTGTGCATATTGGGGACTGACAGCGCTGGCCAAGCGGGCGCTTCTGACTGAGGGCGGCGAGGCTGTGGACGTAGTGGCTGTGGACGGAGTGGATGGGTATGGCCGGACACCCCTCTCCTGGGCTGCGGAGCGGGGGTCTGCGGATGTGCTAAATGCGCTGGTGGATGCGGGTGCGGCGGTAGATGTGGCGTGTGGCGATTACGCGCAACCGCCACTTTGCTTTGCCGCCATGGGCGGGCACACGACAGCGGTGGAGACGCTACTCTCGGCAGGTGCAGACCCTAACCAAAGCTCCGATAACGGCCAGACGGCCATCTCCTGGGCCGCGGAGCACGGGCACCAAGATACTGTCAGATATCTGATGGGGATGCAGCGGATAAACGTGAATGTGCGTGATAACGCGGGGAGGTCAGCGCTCGACTGGGCTGTTCACAATGCACATGAGCCCGTTGTGCGCCTACTCGTCGATCACAAAGACATAGAGATTGGCAGTGACGCGGTGTGGCCACCACAGCCAGCGCCAACTCCGGTGCCTCCCGCGATCGTGGAGCTGCTCGGAAAAGCGAGGAGAGCGAGGGAGGGGGAGGTTTGTGACTCTGCCGCTCCCGTGGAGATAGTAAACGAGGTCGAGGTGGTGAGCGGGGGCGGTGGCGGGATTTGGGCATTCCCGAGAGAGAGGCAGGAATGGGGCATCATTCTACTGGTTTGGTTCATCTCCCTGGTGGCGCTGGGGGGAGCGTGGATTGTGGAGACTGTGTTTCGGGGCTCATAGTACTAGTTGGGTCTGTTTGTATCTCCTGGGGGTGATATTACCATTACTCCTTGTACATAGATATACCTAAGATTAATCTTGGACGACGAGATATGTAGGCGATTGGCAATGATTTGTATCAATGTGCATTTTCGATATATATAATAGGATAAACTAACGTCTACGGCCTTTGTTCAGGGGGATTGGAAGAGAACATGAACAGTTATTGATCTTTTTTTTTATATTATCTGAAAGTGTTCCTATCGTAGTGTGTGATTTCTTCTCATTCCGTCATTCCTAAAAAGAACCTTGAAGGACAATGCTTGCTTTCGGTGAGGACTATATATCTGTTGATTCATTCACGCTAACGGCAGTCATGAAATACACAGTCGGCTAGCTGTGAATGAGGTTGACCCCACGTCACGCATGCCCGCGGCATGGGTCGAGCAAATGTATGACTGGAACATCACCATCCACTTTATGATCCACAGTGGCAAGCTGTTTAGGTGGCAAGGCAGACACGGAATATATATTGTATATAAAGCAGTTTGAGCAGCAACGTAGAAATACAAGATTGCAGGTATTCACCTGCACGGTACATATGTATCGAGCCTACAGAAGAACGAAATACTGACACGAAGCAATAAGAAAAATGGTGTATCATCCATTAGGCCATGTGCGCCGTCGTGAAATATGACCGTCCACGCTGACCTTGCACCGGCACAGCTTGCTCTGCCCAAGACCTATTGGAATGACGGACATTGCCAGCGGCTTCACTACTTACCCCGTCCCTGTCCCTTCTGACCGTATCTACTAGTCATCTCGGAGTGTCCATTGCTGGTATTTCCCTCGCCTTCTGCGCTTCCAGCTGTTGTAGTCTGCACGTAGCCGCCTCGACTTTGAGTTGTCGCTCCTCTTCCCGATCCCCCTCCCCTCCCTCGATTAACTCCTCCTCTTCTTCCTCCTCCTCCTCCTCCTCCTCCTCCTCCTCCTCCTCGCCTTTCTCGTTCCTCGTACTCTTTGACGCGCAACCTGCCACCAAACACATTGATCTCGTGCGGAATCGGTGCTAGAGGATAGAATTCGAGCATCGCAACCTCCCGGGAAAACATCCGGGGCTTCTCAACGAGCATGTTGCCGAGCTCAGGGTCGTTCCGGAGCATTTCCCTGTAGAGATTATCCGCATCGGTGGGCGCGCGTAGGTATATCACTTTTCGCACTTTTTCCAGGGGCTTCTCCAGTACGGCAGTTCTGACGTGCTGTGGTGGTTGCCCTGTGGAGCGGGGGCTCGCGGGTGTTGCAGTTGCTGGTCTGCGGGCGACAGCTTCCGACTCCCGTGCCCGTGCCCGTGCCCCGCTCGTCTGGCCGCTGACGTCCAAAAACTCGGCGAGGTCTGAGGGGTCTGGCCTAGTACATACCTGGGTCACGGACAATATATCCGTTTCACACCGTCGCTCAGCTGCAGCTGTAAGCACCTCCTTTACGAGATGCCTCTCGTGAATCACTCCCGTCGAGTCCAGTTGGGCCCAGTCTGGAAGCCTATACTCTAGATCTCGGTGGAGGGCACTGTTATACGTACGTCGGAGCACATCCCTCGAGACGACATATACCGCCTGATCCGGCAAATTCTGTCTCGCTAACCCCTCAGTCACCGTCTGCTGGCTTTCTTTCACAAACGTGTCCCGGCAGGTGCGATACAGCGGTCGCGATGGGTTGTCCGTGATTGGAGCGTAGTCGCCGTACTCTTGCATCGAGTTGGAAATGTGCATGTCCGCCTTCGACCGGACGATGAACGCTGGGATTTTAAACCTTGCGCAGTCATCAATAATGCGCGCGTCGATCTCTTCGAAGCGGTCGCCAATCGCCAGTATGATCAAGTCAAAAACATAGAGCCCTTGGTTCACAAAGTAGTCCTGATGGGGAATGCGCTGCGTCCCAGCGCCTGGAACATCAAACCACACCATCCATTGGCGTGGAGGCTCGATTCCAGGATCGGGGTACCGTCCAATTTCAAGTGTCGTCTCCGTCGTGCCTGTTTTCGAAGCCCCAGCATCTTTGTTTCCCAGGTTGCGGAAGGCGTTGATGAGGGAAGACTTTCCGCTGCCAGCCCTACCGACGATGGCAAAGTGGAAACGGCTTCTGTCGTATTGGGTTTTCCTCAGTGTCTCCTGGAATTCTTCCCTTGTGGGCCACCGCAGCGGTCCACCGAACCTTTCTTGGGCTTCGATATGCATGGCTTGTTCCCTATTTCGCTCCTCTATTGCTTCCTTCTGCGCTTTCTCTTTTTTCTCAAGATCCAGAATCCTATTCGCCAGATCTCGTTTCTCCTCCTCAATTTCTCTCCGTGCCTTATCCTCCTCTTTCATTCGCTTGTCCTCCTCCTCCTTCTTGCCCTTCATCTCTGCACGAACCCTTCTCTGTTCTGAGGCGAGTCTATACCTAGCGCGCTCCACTTGTATCTCCATATCCTGTATCCTTTTTCGTTCTTCTTCAAACATTTTCGTCCTTCTCTCGTTCTCTCGTTCCTGTTGCTCCTGACGTCTCAGCCTAAACGCAATCTCGTTAACGGTTTCGTTCCCCTTGGTGGGGCCGTTGATTATGGCCGCAACGCATAATATGGATATGATGACAATGCCGGCGATAAGGATGGGAATCATGGGAGCTGTGTAGGACTTATATCAGCATATTTTCATTCACCGTTACCAGGAGCTTTTACCGGGAAAAGTTATTATGTCTGTCCGCCCTCCGGTATCGGTGTTTAAGGGAAAAAAGTTCAAGAAAAAGGTTAGGGGAATCAACCGCCTGGCTAGCACGAATAATGTAAAAGAATGGCAGCCACCTGATATTTAAGTATGTACATACCCACAAACAAGGTTTTCAGGCAACCAACCACCCGTTGAGTAATCTCCGGTTTGGGCTTGGATCGTCGCGCCAGGCGTACAAGTGACCATGTGCCATTAATCACATATGGCAGCCTATTGGGACCAGAATGCCATATGTTACAATATTTATCTAATATAGCTTATTTTCACTAAGCCTAAACTAGCAAATGTCATTTTCAAGTGGGAGGCGCTTGCAGGACTATCATGTACGGTGGGTAATGAGTGATGGAACGGCCTGAGACACAGTGATACCTGTTTGGGGTAGAACGCCACCAACGTACGGCGTAACTTCACTATCTACCTCGGTATGTCTCACAGCACGATTCCCACTAACCCCGGTTTCCGCTTTGGGGCCCCGAAACTTTCTATAAATTCTTGAAATTGAGGGTTGCCGTGCTTGCGGGACCCCGCCTGCCAACAGCGAGTGAGCATCTGTGCGCGAGTGATGGTCCATGACGGTTCCGCGGCCCCGAGGTAAAGCGGGGCTTGGCTACCGGGTCCTTGTACTATACGCATACCTTACGCATAACACATCTAAACTTGTCCAGCTTCGTTCAAAAGCCCTCTATGGTATTAAGCACTGTTGAAGCACGCGGGTAGTGATTGGCAAGAGCCGAGCTGGCTCGAGCTTTGAGCTTGAGCTTTAGGCTCGAACAGGTCGAGCTCTCTTAGTGACGAGGCCGAGCCAGCTTGAGCCGGCCATATCCAAAAAGCTCGAGCCTAGAAAAACATGAGTAATAATTCAAAAAACCCAGAGCTTAACAATTTATGTGAGAATATATCCCCATTATTCATCCTGAATACGAACTCTATATGCCGACTTACTGTACAATTGCAGGTAAAAGTTGGCTTGGCTGTTTTTCGGGTGCAGCCACAAATTGCAAACCGTCACCCGCATGCACCCACAAAGTCCTAGCTACCTTTGACTGCCTGCCTACTACTTGGCCGCCTACCTATGTGTAGTATAACTAAAGGGATCTATTTTTGTATGTAGTAATAAATCAAGTAAGTTGCACGCGAAAATAACATAAAGTATACTATGTCAAAGGTGTTCCGGCTCATTCACGAAGCCGGTTTATTCATGAAGTTCGGTGGGTGAACTATGTAAGTAGTTCGTTCAGGAAATAAGATATACATCGGAACATCCCAGCTCAGTCAGGGATAATTCAGTCCATTCACAAACTCGGCGGTAAGCTATAAGGAAAAAAACCCTCAATTTATTTGACCGTAAGCCTCATGCCCAATGTCGCTTATCACTGCATAAATGTTCCAGGCTCCCCGGAGGTTTTTCTTTCCTGTGTCGTCCGGGAATCATCTTTACAATATCTCGAGGGAGATCAGCTCCAAGAACCCAACGTATATCATCATCCGTAATCAATACTTCCTGACTGAACTGATTCACCCACGAAAATTCACGACTGAACTGTCTTCGTGAATAGGCGGTAACAGATCCAAGCCGCTTTTCTCAGCAAGGTCTACGTAATCCCTTACACGTTTCTCCGACTCCCGTACTTCGTCTAGCAACCGGGAGAGCTCTCTTTCCGCAAAACGTTCTATTAACCAGATCGACCAGGTTAAAACTACTCTCATTCGAATGCTTCCTAAAGGGCATAGAGTACTCATTGTCTTCTTTTGAAGATTTTGCTTCACACATGTCAGATATGTCAAGATTGAGACATATTGATCCACCAGGCACTTCCTGAGTCCTAAGGCCAATGGATGTGATGACTCGATGTATAACCTCTCATACATCTTACCACAGTCCATGACCAAGATAATATAATCTAAGCTACTTAAAACAAACTTCATAATATTCTCGTTGCGTGCAGTCCCGACCTAAAATCGTCTCGTAAGCTTCCTGTCTCACACTATACCAGGCAATTGCAAAGCGACAACAGCTATCAGACCGGCCGTAAGAGTTGGTATATCTTAGTCACGGAGATTTCTCAGCATTAGATATATTTCTTGTTGGTCAGTTAAACAAATAATCGATCTTCGCTAGGCCTCCATCAACCCACCCACCTCGGACACCTGCCGCCACCCCAGCGGATCGATGGTTAAGGAAGGGGTGGCACGCAAGTTAAGGGTCGCCCTGCAATGGCCCAGTACATTCGATGGTGGAGGCGCTTACCTGCAAAAGTAGCCTGACCCCTGCCCAAACCAACGCTACTACATCTGGATTATGCTGTATAGCAATATCCATAATTGAGGTATATTTTCTGAGTTGCATAGCAATGGCATCAGTGAGGTAAATTTTACTGCCCTTCTTATTCAGATAGTATAATTTTCTATCGTAAACACTTTTTTGAGCATCGCATACTTCACCAATGAGAGCAACAACCAATGGGATATTTGGCTTTTGGGTTCCATTGAATGCCTCGGGATTTTTCTGCCTTATTCTTGTAACTGCGTGGTCCCATAAAGAGGGCTGTCTGCTCTCGTTACCTTTGTCAGTCCTCGTTCTTGGACGGCGTTTTAATATTACGACTTACGCATTTTTCTTAATGGCATGGTCCCCATTGTTGGCATAGGAAACATCCGAAACTGATCCTGCTAGTGTGACATCTGTTCGGGACGTTGCAAGGATTGGATCAGGCTCCGAATCATGTGTCGTAGTAAGCTCTAGACTCGTATTTCTGCCGATATTTGTTACCAGATGCTAGGGGACAGTGCTCAGCGGAGGATTTAGTTTTCCTGTATTTGTACTACCAATACACGGCGTATCAGAAATTATAGACTGAGTTCAAACGTGGTTCTCAGAAAATTCAGGCCACAAACCCAAGTCCTCGCCCAGGATCGGCCGGCGGATTTGTGTCTTGATCTTCCGCGGGGGACTTTTGGTGGATAAGGCCTTGTGTTGCCGTTGTGTCAAGTGAATACTGAGGATTATCCACCATGGAGGGTATGATAGGACTTTCCACGGTTTGAATTGTCTGAATCGCCTCATCAATTGCAAGTTGAGTAGTAGACCTAATACTATCACAGTACAGGTCAAAGATAGATCCTGCTTTATAGCTATATAAGCTCGAACGTCCACTAGATCGAGACCGAACGGTTCCAATGCTCGCAGTTGATCTTCCACCTGACTTGAATGCCGACTCTTTGGTTTCCAGGACTTCTTCATCAGTGGGGTAACCACTGAGTCGGAGAGAAGCCCGACTAATAGTGGTATGTATTGACAGGCGGCTACTTCGACCTGGTGGGTCTCTACGCTCGGCGAAGTGAAGGCTATTTACGTGCATGCAATAGGCCAGGTTTTCTCTCAGTTCGGTGAAGCTTTCATGCAATCTGTTGAAATGAGTAGAGTTGGCTGAAGCGCTGGCGCAGGTAGTTACACTGCGACTTGAAGTTAGCTGTGTATGTACAGTACTGTACAAAAGTGTCATTGCAATGTTAGGCGCCGGGAAGCTTTGTAAGGTAGGGTGTTGGCTAGAGAGGTTTTAGCTGATGAAACTATTAACTGTTTGAGGGGCGTACCCAGGAACGAATGAAGAAGTGGACCAGTTCATACAGGGTGTGGACAAGGTGGTGGTGAGGTGGGATCGAGGCGGTATAAACCCCAAAGTTCGGCAGGTGGCAATTGAAAACGCCAAACAGCTGGAGACTAACAGTTAACAAGCTCGAGACGCTTCTATGCAAGGTTTAATGATGAAAAGAATAGTTAGAGTTACTGCAGAAATTGACAACGGAGATGGCGATGGGAATGACGGTGGGATTGAAGGTGGAAATTTCGAGGCTGATAGCTTTATACCAACATGTAGAAGAACTGAAAAAGCAAAAAAAGAATGAGAACACTAACAGAATAAACACTGTTTTGGACAACTGGAGAATGAGCGAGAAGCGTGACAGTGCTATTGCGAAAGAGCTGTAGGAGGTTGAAAACAGGCATTATTCTGAAGTGGTAGATAGTTTGAAACCCCTTGCGGAAGAACTGGAAGGAGACAGATTAGCTGGGAGGAGAGTTGGAGAGAGACCGTGATACTACCCCCATTCAGCTAGATAACCTCAAGCATGAAAACCCCTAATGGAGGAAACTCTAATTCATTGCTGGGAACTGATACCTGATAATTTATTTGGTAGGCTGGTTGAGAGCATTCCTAGGAGAATGAGGCTGTTATAAGGGCAAGGTGTTGATACACAAGATATTAAATATCAGATAGTTTTATTTAGCCACTAATTAACAACTCTACAAAGAACCAGCTCCCCAAAGGCCCAATTGCGGTTGTTGTGGGGATAGTCGTAGTGAGGGAGGGGGGCCAAAATCGGTTGCTATGCCGCGCCTTCTCATGATTTGCAACCTGGAACTCTTAAAGAGCAGAAATGATCAACTAACGCTAACAATGAACCTTTTCACCCCGCCGTCCAAGCATCAGTAATATCCATCAACTGGCTCCACACCCTCAACATCTCATTGGTATGCCAAATTGGCCCTATATCCACTCTATTACAATCCAATACTTGGGTGACGATCGCTCTTTTGTCATCTCCCTTGGCCACCACAATACCCCAATCCTTCTTAACCTCCAGCTCACTTAGCTTCCGAAACGTGAAACCGAACAGCGAAAGTCGTCCCCGAACGATCTCGCCTATTTCCTCCCAAGTATGAGGTGAACCTAACTCATCGGCAATGCCGCGGAGAACCTTGGCGAGGTGGGAAATCCGCTCGTTACCAAGTGTCTCCCACTCGGCGGTGGTGATCGTGCCGACGCGCTCATTTATCACGAAGGACCCAGGTCTGACAGTGCGTTGTGGGTTAGGAGAACCACCGAGAGGCTTTGGTACACTGAGAGCTAGGTGGGTAAGAGCTTGAGCGTTTACACGGTTTGATTCCGCGTTTATCTTGAGCCCTTCGAGCAGCTGTAAGCTCGGGTCCTGTGGATCTGAAGAACTTGAAGGAAGCTTCGGTCCATGGAGTGCAAGGTGGGCAAGAGCTTGAGCCCCTACACGGTTTGCTTCGGCGTTGGTCCCCAGCGCACCAAGAAGCTGTGAGCTGGGGCCTTCGGAAGGTGTTGTAGAGGTGGCGGACATCTCAGTTTGAGAAGCTTGATTGCTGGGATGGAATCATTAACAAGAGCAGAATTGTTTCCCCGCGTATTATCATATGGGCTACTCTCCCAATGCTATTCCGTACCCCGCATTCTTGTGATTGGCTCATTAATGTCATGTGATAGTGGATCTCGTCGATCTTTCCAAGACAAGGCCTGACGGCCATTTTGAGTTGAAACAGACACGGTAAAGCGATTGGGGCCCTCGGGACTAAGGTTGGAATATATATAATTAATTAAAGCCTAACGAACAAAACATGATAAATCTTTACCCAAGGGTAGATATAGTCGTTCAATGAAAAAGTGCCAACCAGCTCAGAAAGGACAACCCAAGCCAGCCCCGGGCGAAGCATTCCTGCCTGACCACCATTCAACAATCGGACATATTCCACAACAACTCCGAGATCTAAAACATCTCCTGGGTATACTATAGCTCCTCTATTGCCTCACTAGTCGAGTCCAACAATGCATGCAGCAACAGCCGGTTCTCTCCCTTCCGGTGACTGACTCATACCTTGAGCTCTCACCCGTCCGACATCCTTTATACTACGTATATCGTCTTGGCTCAGGCACACGAATCCAAACTCTACAAGGCGTTTCTCCCACCATCTCCCACGAGAGTGGAGGCAGAAAATTAATCTCATCAGAAAGCTTGCGGATGACATCCCCAAATTCAGCAATCTGGCCCGTACCAAGGGCGTCCCACTCGGCGGTAGTGATTCTGCCGACACGGTCATTTATCACAAAGTGCCCGGGACGGCGGCGTGCGTTGATGTTGGCTTGGACGCACTCGAGGGTATTTATATTGTGTCAAAAGAAGTCGAGTTCTCGAGGAGGCGGCTTTGGTGTACAGCACACTGCTAGGTGGGTGATCGCTCAATTGAACATTTGCGCTGTTAGTTCCGGCGTTGATCTTGAGCGCGTCAAGTAGCTGAGACCGAGAGCTATCAGAATTAATGATATGAATCGATATAGAGGTATCCATCTTGCGGAGAAAAAAAGAAAAGGGGGTTGGGGGGGGGGGGCTGTCCGTCTGTAAATGGATTCGAGACTTTAATCCCCCGCTTTTCACTTCCTCCGGCATTGATGCGGCATTGAGCTCATGGCGGCGTTCGTTGCCTGATAGGTCCGTTGCGGACTTCAGCCACGTCATGTGACCTCCATATTACCCTACGGTTTCTGTGGTATTATATTCAAGAGGCAAACGTTATAACCCTATTGTTATTGCTGCGTCAGGCACGTCGCTCTAGATCTTGCTGCGTCTAGTCACCCTCTCCCGGTCTATCCCTCATCTCCTATAATACACCTACAGACCGTCAATCGCCAGAAAAGCAGGGGGGGCTTTAGACTTCCGGTTCCGAATACAATCCGTTTGTCGATCTGTTGGCTCTAGCTCTTCACCTATCTGTGCCCGGTAATTAAGACACCTAATGGTAATTGTATACATGATGTTATGAGATCCACACATCAGTACTAGCTTAATTAGCAGCCTAGAATGTATGTGTGCAAAACAGGAAACGACGCCTCTCCTCCCCGTGTCAGTCTTAAATATAACTGTGACCCTCCACCCGACCCCTCCCATCCGAATCATCCTGTCGTCAGCCCCCACAGCCCTAGATAATTCATGGTAACTCTGTAGCAGGGTTAGGGTTAACCTGTTTCGCCCTTATCTAATGAGCCAGAGCCACATCTGCTCTCACTCGACGCTTAGCCCAATGTGGTTCTGGGTGAGTCAAGGCTTGTAGCTTCCTTTAATTTCACTCGAATACTTATGTATGTAGGCCGCGACCTTCCATGCAGCGAGTCTGCCTTAGCAAGATCAAGTATGCCCAAGTAAGAAAAACCCCGACCAAACGTATAAGTACAACCCTACCAGAGATTATACTTCGCCCGGTACTTCCGAATTGGTATGGCATAGCCTCTTGGATAATATTGCTCCGAATACACCATTGCACAGATACATTTTTATCGTTTGTTCATGAACTATCACTCGACCGCCGAGCGTATGGAGAGGCCTGGGGGGTTGGTCTGATTTCTCTCCCAAGCCCTCTAGTGATCTAGGTGATGCTGTGATATGGCTTCTGGGGCTATCTGGATAGAATTCTCGGTCCACTAGGTTAGGTGAGGCCTAGTAGTAGTAGCCTTCCGAGCCATGTTCCGTGATCCACATATTGCATGCAATTAATGAATTAAACAAAAAAAAAAAGATCCACATATTGCACAAAGTTAGACAACCGAGTGATACTCTATGACCTGCACATTCCTCTTTTTCCTTTTTTTGTTTAATTCACTAGACCTATGTATTCTCCTCCGGCGGGGGGATTCGTCCTTTACACAATCACAATATAGGGTCGCGGGCGGGGGAGAGATTTGTGTAGATAATTGCGTACGTTAATGCTTGGCTGTGACGTGGAGCTATGGCCAGTGCATATATTTTCAACATTCCATAAAGTAATATGAGCGCAATATATATCGAATAGAGAGAGCGACTGCGTCCACTATCTGTACTAGCTCGCAACATCGATCATGGACACCTCCGCTCCCCCCTGCGGACAACACGTACACCCACTCCCACCCTCCCGCCAATGTGGCTGGTCTATACTGTTTTCTGCAATCTTTATTATTCTTAATTCCCTTCTTCCCATCACCATGGGATTAGATCTCCCTAGGGTACCGACTTTGTTAGGAATCGGGATAGGTTATCCTGTGGGAGGATAAGTTTGAGTCATTTGGGCGTTTTGTGATTCCCAAGCATCAAGTAGCTAAAATAGGAAATCTCGCTCTTATTTGGATAAACTATCCCAACAAAGGAATATAGTATTTTTACCATAAGATACTGTATTCAGGGATAGCTTATCTTTCCCCGTGCCCCTACTTACTTTCATACTTTTTATCTCCACTATGAGGATAACCTTACTATGACAGGAAGATAAGTACCCCAGTTAGCCCATATAAAAGGATGAGATACCCTTTCTACCGATTTCTCACCACCAAAAAGTTATCCTCGATTTTCTAATTAGTTATCTATCCGGAATTCGTACCACAGGGCTATCGCTAGGTGTGAGGTAGAAATAAGTAGTTGATGCGTGGGACGTCCTCCTTTTGAGCTCATTAAAATCCCTGCTAGTAGTCATGTTATGAGCCGGTGTTTGTCCAGAACCTATGGTACATGCAGTGATCAGCTGATATATATGCGGGGTATCCCCCAGATCGTAGTAACCACTTTCATGAACCGTTTGGTCCACGATTTTCGATGACCCCTTTTGCAACGGCAGAAGTCGTTATCTAGCGGGGGAGACTCATCCACTCCTTATCACTATATGACGCATCGTTAGGTCTATAATTCAATGATGCTAGTGAGAACCCCATAGGGCCAATATCCAGCCCATAAAATGGGCCTTTGCGTGCCTAAACCTCTCCTACCAATTTTGACAAAAGAATACCTCCCGCCATCATTCCTGCTACAATGACCTTGAGAGCTTTAATACCTCGCCAAACAAACATCTGCTATGCACCTATTGACAGTGATGACGAATCAATTCAACCCTCCCGTTCAGTAAAGCCAAGAAAACCTTCAAAATTAAGTGACGATTGCATCACGGATTCTCACTCGCCACCGAAAAAACCTACATTATCCTTCTCTGCTTAGCGAAGTCGAGATATGTTATAGGGAGTATGTTTCTAGGTACTTTATATTTCTTATCGAGACTATTTATCCTTTCTGAAGTGTTTTCAAGTGTGAGAAGTATGGAGAGAGGGACGTATAGCACGGTTCGCCGGCTGAATCTTTGCCCTCATTTGTAGAGGGTCGTGGTTGGTGGTGTTTAAGCTAGAATGGCAAAGTATCTTATAGTGCTCAGGGGGTTAATTCCTTCCTGTGTTGGTCAAAGACGTTCCTGTACATACTATTTTAGCGAGCAGGTAGCGTGGCAGTAAATATACTTCATATTTTGGTTAATGGTTTATTCACAAGTGGATAACTATGTTAACATGTCTTGGGCTATCTACTGCTCCGATTTGGAAGTACGACTCCGAGAATTCATCAGCTCCCGAAAAAGAATCACGGAATCTATACCGGAAGACATGTACACCAATAGGGAGAAGGCATAGGTGGAGTTGACAGAGTGGCCTCGAATTTATTTATATACAAGGACTGAACAATTCCCTATCTGTATTGTGCTACTCTTTGGGGGGCCGGGAGAAGTACTGCTGGTCTGGATACGGTGTCAATGATCAGTGAGACATGAATCACTCTTGCGAGTGATATTACATGATTACGAGTACCCAGTTGTTCCTTTATCATTCAAGCACCTCCCCTCTATCCGACACCTACTCTTCCCTTAACCAAAGGATAGTCCCCTCCCATCTTTACTAACCGGAGAGGACCATCCTGGCGCTCTAGGCGGACACATACAGCCACTCTGCAAAGGTTAACCTTTAATGTCAAAGCACAGTGTACGTGTGGCGCACCCATAATTTTGCTGTTATTAATGTTGAGATTCAAAATAATGAAAAATATATAATATAGTTCGTGACTATACATAAAAGAAGGTCGGCCATTGATCTTGTTTTTCGTTAATTCTGGGCGTCATTCATCACAGGGAAAGTCCTCTCTTGGGTTTTTCCTCTTTTCTTTTCTTTTTTTGATGGTCCGCCACGATTACAATTTACATATGGAAAAATGTCTCACTTCGAAACCAGAATCTCGAACACTTTTGCAGAGTGGCTGTAGATTACCTCGATGCTCTCAACTACCGCCTCCGGCGTGGCCGAAGCGTAGTTGAGGTAATTACCAGACACTACCACATCATATCAAACCGCGAAACTATCTATCATCTATCATGGATACTGCACTCAAACCTGGTATTGATGCGTATCCCCCGCAAAGCCCCTACGTGCGATCGGCAGCGGGGAAGGTCCGGGGGACCTCCGGTGGGGTGGTTCTTGGCTTCCGGCGGCATCCAGTGGTTGGCCTGGGTTCCTTCGTGATGGGAGCAGCTCATTTGAGGTGACAAGCGTGGGCCCTGATTGGAGGGGAGATGTAGAGGAGTTGTTAGTACTTTGATTGCCTATGGGGTGGGAAATGATAATATAGACACTTTGTAGGTGTATAATGTCTTATGGAGACGTTATGAGGAGGAAATAAAGGACAACGCTTGCGCGCTGTCAAATACGTGGTCTTTGTAGTCGATCATAGTCACAATGCTACCACTTCTACTTGCCCTCTTTACGGCCTCAACCTTCTCCGCCGCACTGGCAGCAGCTTCAGAAAGCTCCTCCGCCATCATCTCATTCACCAGAAATGTCCCCGCTGATGCGAGCAGCTCAGTTCCGAAAGACTTTGGCTCGATCTCTATCGAATACGCGTTCTTTCCAGACTATGGAGGTTTGGTCCCGCCTTGCATACACTAATGCCTCGGCGAATTAGGTAATTGCTGATTGGTCGCCGGGGTTCTCTAGGGAATTTGTCGCATCCCACTGTCTTTTCAATTAACCTGCTGTCGAATGTGGAGAAGCTGACGGGTGTCATGCCGATGGTGAGGGCTGGGGGCGGCACTCAATTTGTCCCCCTCCTATCATAAACAGCTCTCAGCAAATGAGCGACCTCTAGCAGCCAACGCCAAAGCCGAAAATCTCAGCAACAGCTAACCCAAAGTCCAAATCACAGAGACCGCGCCCTTTACGACCCCCTCTCGCAATCAACAACACCTTCCCCACTCCCTTCTACAGCCCTTCTTTCTAATCCTCCAAGCATAGAATATAAAACACATCCACCACCACCAAGGCCTTAACTACCGCAACGCCTCCTGGCAGCCCATTGCCAACCGCAGCATCCCGCCCACCACTCGCCTGCCTTACTACGCAAATATTATGGTCGCCAAAGCACCCGGCCGCGCACGTAAAACCAGCTTCCCAACACCCCGCGCAAAAGCGGTACAGAGGCGGTGTACGTCGTCTACGACAATTCTGCGATCGCAAGGCTGGTGGTTATCGATTTGGAGGAGTATAAAGCAGCGGCAGTGTATGAGCAGCCGAGTAGGGTGCATAGTTTCGGTGAGGAATGGCATGGGGGAGAGCGTGCAGGTGCAGGGCAGTGTGTTGACCGTGGAGGTTTGGGCGTCGCAGGCAGCTCTGGTGGGCTTGTTCTGACGGTTGGGTATAGTCTGGCGCCGAGTTAAAGAGATTAATGTCCACATTGATATTAACTACATGTACTTGTGATATATTGTGCACGTGACGATCGACAGCCAGGGTTGTTATCGCTCTGACGGTAAAGATGCTTGGTTTGTCTACGGTCCCGAATTGGGGCATTCAAATACAGGTAGTGAAATAGTAAAAGGATGTGGGGGCACGTGACCAAAGGAACGAGCTAAAGAAATAGTAACCCTAAACCCTAACCCAATAACAGGGTTAGGTGTGTCTGGAGAGTTAGGGTTACTAGTTCTTGGGCTTTTGCAAGTACGTCTATGATGGCATATCCTGTCCGTTTACTGCTCGGCTCTTTCTACATGCAAAATGCTTTTTCGTATCTTTGCCAAGCTTTGAAATGGCCGAGTGATGCATAATGTCTCACTCACTGAAGGACCATCTCAAGGTCTCCTAGTAGAGCAGGGGGCCAAGGACGGTTTCGTACTCTTGGCGCCTCTGATCGTTTTGCGTCCGCTATGCGCAGATTGTCATAACCTCCCGGTTGCATGCATCAAAAAAAGTTTCTTTTAGTCAGTGAGGATATTTATTAATTTTCCCTTTATGCGGGCCTGATAGGTTTCCTGGCGCAGACAGATGGATAACCCGCGATCCGGTGATAGGAGGACAGGCAGAACTCATGACCTATGAGTAACGCAAAAAACCTGCTAAACAGCGTAGAAGATGACTCAAGAACACGTCACAAAATCGCAGTGGTGACTCGTAGCTAGCGTCGATCACTCTCTGCACATCCCTTTGTGCCTTTAATCCTTCTCTTTTCCTATCCCCACCGTCATCGTGTCGTATCAATATAATCAAATTCGAGCTTCCTATTTGTGAACCATGCTTGAGCTCTTGCCCGTGATGTCACCTAGGTGCACCTGAGCCTACCCAAACATTATATAAATACCTCTACATATCCGCTTCTGGATGAGACACATCTTATACTCTTTCTATTACACCAGATTTTCTTGCCAAGACGTACGATATTATTCGTTGTGGTCCGAAACAATAATTATGAGTAGAAGAGAGCTTCTTGACCGGGATCCTGGTCAGCTGACCGTCCCAATCGACAATATGTGGATCCAACTGATACCGCGCTTCACTGACGGTAAGGATTACGTGCACTTTTATTTGAAGCCTCCAATTCAATATCAACTCGATAGGGCTTTTGCTTCTCTCGGTCAACATGACAGCGGCGTCTCAACGCGCGCGCGCAACCAAATTTTCACAACCTTTTCACGGCGGGTTGGTACACAAGATATTAAATGTCAAATTATTGTTATTTATCTACTATTTAACAACTATACAAAAATTCAGCTCTCCAAAGGAGCAATTATGGTTGCTGTGCTGGTACCCGTGATGGTTCGGGGGGCGCCTGACGCTCACTACTGGCATCGTACTGTATATATAATCCTACCAGCCCAAGACCTCTATACTTACTACCCCGGCGCGATAGTTATGGTGAATGGAAAGATTTACGTCGACGACGAGCCGTACTGGAGGGGTCTTTTAGTTCATAGAAACTCCTATAAGATTGTCTACGGTAGGTGGGGTCGATAAATATGAAGCCTTCCCGAGGTCGTCTCTTGATATTACTATTGAATCGTGCTAATATTGAAACTTGAAAAGTGCGCCGGCCTTTCTGGCGGCAGCCCTTAGTGTGGTTATGGGATCATATCTGCGAGACCCCCCTTGTGGATTCCTGTACGATCACCTTACTACCGCACGAATTTGGCATTCAATCGTCTCCTGTATGGGAAATTGATAGAAGGCGAGCCCCAGTCCACTGATCTCGAGAAGGGGGATAGATGGGCCTGCCAAGTACGTAAACAGTCCTGAAAATCTAAGGGATACATTCAAAAGGCCTATAATGAAGGGCGCCTCACCGATTATGAGCGGTTTAGACTGTTCTCCCCGATTGGCTCAAAACATGTCTGTTTATGCGGTACTTGTTAAATCCCCGGCCCAGAGGTATTTCCGGAACGGATTTTCTTTCTTGTGTTTTCTTCGGCGTTTTGGCTTGTACCATGGATCTAAAGTCCCTTTAGGTATGTTCAAATGTATACAGGTGACGTTCAGTAGCTTTCGACATCAAAGAGCACAAAGATAAGCGTAAGACCATTGATTTAATATTCATGAGGTGCAAATCCAACTAGGTAGGCAGCTTGCTGCTAAGTAGGGATAGGCTAGAAAAGATTAAGTGAGAGGGCCGTTTTGTTGCGAAAATCATTCACTCAACCGTCGTCTTCTATCGAGCTCACTAAACGATGATGTCATCTACTCTATAGATCTATGGATCTAGAATTATTGGAAATGCATTACGAAAGTCCATCAAGCGAATGCATTGACATAAGGCAACATAAACGCACGCTACATGAATTAATGCAGCACCATCACAGCCAAACCCTGTATTGGGGATGCATCAATTAATGCAGAAGATCAAAGTATGGATTACCTATCCCGAGTTTTCAAGATTATCATGTATTGATAGCTACGGTACAGTGCGTTTTATCTCAATTACAAACGAATAGGACTTCATTGTCATCTCGACCCCGAGTGCACAACAGCTAATAACAGTTGATATATTATTGTACGTTCGCAGAATTAACCGATCACTCACGACAACGTCGGGTCCAACTTCAGGGGGGGATTGTTGAGATTTTTTCGTGATGAAAGATTTGATTGATTGATAAAGATACAGTGATGATTCGTGATACGAGAAGGGAAAGAAGAAGAAAGGAAAATGACAGTGAGTGCGGGTACAGATAAGGAACGGTCACAGACACGCCTAAGAACGCCTCCCTCTACAACTTTACAGCTACAGCTCTCCCTATAGTTGACTGTAACGCACCGGCAAAAAGATTCCCCAGTAATCCGTATAGAGCGTCTACAGCCCCATCGTGAGGAAGCCCCTTGGCAACCCCACCGAGGATTGCTACGATTGCTAGGAGTATACCTAACAGAACGTAGTTAACCCACTAAAACGTTAACAAACTGATATTCATGAAGTCCACATTCCACACAAACCTGGAAGGATAAAATAAACTTACGGGGTCGGTCTTATGGAGCATCTGGATGCGAATCTTCTGCCGGGTTATCCCCCGAGTCCGTACCACTATTTGCAAAGCAGATGCCCCTTCTTCTGTTTGCGCATAGATATTGCCAAGTGTGTCAATGTCGATCCCTCTTAAAGAGGTCCCCCCCGCTGTACCTGATCATCGTTCAGTCATATTCAACAAAGGTTTTGATCTCTCTCAGGATGTACCGCGGGGTGAAATCGGGGCACCATCTTGTGCAGTAGATGGTGTTATCTCTTTGAGTAATGAGCTCAACCTCCACCCCTTTGCAGGCGGTCGACTGATGTTCATGCTCATGTGTGACGGTGGGACTGCTGCAATTTCGAGGAGGGACATTATCCCGTGATGTGACTGTTGTTGTTGCTATCCCCGCAGATGAGCCCAATATTGACCCAGCCGTGTTGGCATCAAGGTCAATATGGTTGCGGAAGTTGGCTGCTTGATGTATTAGCCTCTTGTTCCGTATCGACGACTTGACTGAAAGATACATACCTCGAGCTGCCACATGATGTGGATCTATCCTTAGGACGTTGATGGGGGTATTGATGGTTGTGTGAGTGGGGTTAGGACATTGATGATGGTATAGATGGTGACGGTGACGGTGACGGTGACGGTGATGATGATGATGATAATGATGCAGCGGATGACAAGACGAGAAGAAGAGGAGAAGGAAGAGAGGTCCATACAAGCAGAGTCACCCGGACTACATGTAGCCATCGATCCCTGCCCGCACTAGTATTCACCTACACATACATGTCCGTACGTTTCCCCGAGCCTCTCTACATGCTACACACACGCCAAAAAATATCGGCCAACTACATGTACGCAGCATAGGCCACGATATCAAATCATTCTTCCCTCTGGCTTCTTCCCGCCTTACCGGCCACTAGGGATGAGGTTGAGTGACCACCTCCCCCAGGTGAACTTGTGAACAAACAACCACCAACCGACTCCCGAATCAATAAAAATAACACAAGAATACCATCTGAGATCGAGCGACCCAGAAGCCAGATAAGAATCTAGATTTCCCTCCGAGTGATAGCACGTGATTCAGACCGGCTCATCTCTGCTCTTAACTTTAGCAGTCAACTACACCATACACTTACCCATTTTTCCAAAATCTCCATCAGACAGCCCCGGCCACCTGTGCACGAAGCCTATACACACCTAACCTCACAACCGCCTAAGATCAAGTATCTCTTTCCAGTCACCACCTGCACTCATTAATTTTTTTACAATCTCGTACTAATCTTTGAACAGAAGTCAAACCACCATGAATACATGTAAACGCATGTACGTAACAAATCGCCCTCTACTCCGCTAGCCCTTTGTAAAAGCTCTTAACAACCAGACTCCGAGACCAGGCATGCGAGTGATATCTCCTGATGCAGGATAGACCGCTTCAGCCTCTGCTTCGGTCCAACAACGCCTTCTACAAATAACAGGACGGAAAGGTGGGACACCCCGGCCATGTTTTACAACATGGCTGTGCTCCTACTATCTGTTTTACCTACGCGATTTTGCCCTTGGTCCGTTATACCGAATGTTTCCCCCTACAAAACGGCGCCTCCACAATGCTCATCTTAAATCGAAGCTGCCATACAAACTCAACACACGGAAAGCTCAGGTTGAGCGTCTAGATGTCTACAAGCGGAGCAAACCACGCGTCAGGAATACCACAAACCCAAGTTAAAATAACAATAAGCGATAAACCCTAACCTTCCCAACCCTAACCCTAAATGCTAGTGTTTCTCTCCGACTCCCCCGAATTCAAGAAAAACTGAAACGATTCCATACCGTCTGAGATTTGAACTCGGCTCTATGGAAAGATTGTCTTCACAGTAGTGGTACTAGCTTCGGCTTATCAGAGCCTTCAATACCCGTCACGAGGATAGCAAGGAGCATAAAAGAAAACAGTACTTCTCCAGCTTCCGATAGAGCCTTGCATCTGACATGTAACGGTGACCATGATTGGCACGATCAATGCACTATTATCAACAAACCGCTGAGGCACAACGCCAGGCTCAACGTCACGATACCAAAGGCAGGCCTCTCCGGCCTTGTGAGTCTTACGACGAGGCTGCTTTTGGTCATCGATATAACCAACGGACCTATGGAATATACACATATACGACCAACTTCCTCCATCAATCTCGAGCGCAGAGGACCATTCGTAGTGAGCCAGAACACACAAATTCAGGCTCGTGCCATCGGCGGGGCTTTGGGCTTCGCGGGATCGGAACCGGCGGACCGGCGATATTATATTCTGCCCCGGGCACACAACAGTACTGTCTGCTAACCAGGAAACACGGCGAAGAACCAAGGGTAATGTATCCTCTCTAAAAACGCTACAGTTGGTTTCCGACTGACTCCGAGTGCAGTTACAAGATTCAATGCGAGGTTCGAAACTGGCCTGAACATGCATGGAGAGGCTGAGAACGCTAGCTGTGATTGAGTATTGGCATAGGTAGATCCAATCTGTGTGTCTCTCGACCTCACACCCACAAAGCCTGGCCAAGTGGATCAAAGATATCGGAGTATGCCCTGCCTGTGAGGCTCCAGCGCGGGAAGTTTCCCGCAGTGTTGCGATTCCCACTGCGTTTCTCGATGCATGAGAGCTCATTGGCCGGCGTGGTGAACTGCTCACCTTGTATAATATCAGCGATATTCTCGGTGCTCGAGGGAAGGCAAGAGTATTAATATATACCAACACCAGGACACCCCAAAGCCCTTCAGACAATCACCCACGTATACATCCCCCTCAGATCACCAGTCCGCACAGCAAAACCAGCCATACTCCACCATGTCCACCGCCCACATCCCGCAGACGCTCCTCCACCCCGACACCGTGAACCTCGGCCGCCTCACCACCAACGCCAACCGGGCGCACTTGCACTCCCACGGCCCTCTCCCGCCGCGCCCACGCACCCCCGAGCGCCACACCGCTTACCACGCCTCCCTCACCGAGACCTGCCGCTTCACCAAAGGCTCCAACACCTCCCTCGCCCTGCACAACCTCCTCCGCCTCGCTGCCAGCACCGACAGCACCACCACCGCCACCCTGACCGCCCCACACGCCACCACCCATGACCTCTCAAACTCCGACTCCTGGTTCCGCGAAGCCTGCCGCAACCCCGCCACCCGCCTGTGGCTACAAGAAACCATCGATCACGGCCGCGACGTCTACCTCATTGTCGGTTACCGCACGGCCTCCCACGCCTCCCTCACCTCCAACGGTAGCATCAAGCGCGCTTCTAAGTTCGCCGGCGGTGTGCGTGCGTTGCTGCCCCCAGGGCTACTTGGCGCGGCGGTGCCGGTACCCGAGTATGCTGCCAGCCGAGATGCGGGGAGTGGGCGGCAGCTGGCGTTTGCAGTGCTATATCGCAAGGTGAAGTTCAAGTGGCTGTCGTGCCGGAAGGTGCAGAATATGGACCTGGAGCAGGGGAATCGGTGGAAGACGGTGTGGGACTGGAGGGGCGCGCGGAAGTTTGAGTGTGATGAGGATGATGTATTGGAGGCCGAATTGACGGATTTTAGTGATTTTGAGGATGATGGAGAGGGGGCGGTGGATGATGAGAGGCGGGAGGGACAGGTGAAGGGGTCGACGGCTTATGTGTCTATAAACACGGCAGAAGAGGGCCATTCTCAACTTGATCAGTCGTCAGGGCAAACCTCTACCTGGATTCGATGGCCCACAACCACTGAGGCCGTCCGAGGAATAGTCTTCACACTCATCTATCTGCTTGCTCGATGGCTGGTTACATACCACTGGCCGTTTGAAAGAGCGCGGACCGAGAAGAGCCTGACTTAAAATCGCATTGTATGATAGTTTCTGTTCGGGCATGTTGAGGTAGATTCAGCGAGAAGAGAAAGCAAGACGACGGTTGGTTGAATTGATCTATATAATCGAATGTAAGAGGGACCAGGTCCTCTATTCATAGCAAGACGAAGAAAATGTTGAACACGTGTATGCTGTCCAAAGGAGAGTCACAAAAGACACTTATACTGTCTTGAGGATTAAAGACACGTTTAGTATGAATAAATCTAGCAAAGCAAATAGCTAGACAACGAAGCAGGTGTTGTCAAACCAGCAGGGCGGACATCAGTATCATGGTTTTATCCCAGATGGGAAGATCTCGATGTAAAGAGGCAACGTAGCACCTGAGTGTTCAGATGGTCTAAATTCATGGTCTTGATCGGGATACCGTGGTTAATCTTCTGAAGCTACTTCCTTCCCACGGTTGCCTCCATGGTTGTCTCACCCCCACATAATCCTTTACTCCATCCAAACACCTTTTCATAATCATCTCAGATACCAATGCGACCGAACTTACTACAGTATTGAACACCACGTCCGTCCGAACAGCGTCAGCGCGGTTAATAAGAGCGAAAGGAACAAAATAAAGACATTGTAAATAAACACGTACTATGAAGAGAACCGAACTTGTGGTCTTGAGAGTACATGTACTTCACGCCTATTTCTTACTACCCTGTACCATATTCACATCAAGTACAATCCACACCCATGGGCCTTGGCACCGCGCAGGATGCATTCAATTAGTAGATCTATTTTGAGCACTGGCTAGATCAACACGATATCTAGCTTCATTGAGCGGAGAATATTAGCCTCCAGCAAATAAATACATTCTCTGTCCAGGAAACACATAGCACCGGTGATCGCGAACTCTCTCACCAACCCCAACCCCCTACGCCGACTGCCATCAAAAGACAAAAGCCAAAACTCCAGTCTGTACGACATCCCAAGAACCACATGTCCATACATATCTCTTGTCAAGTGTTTGGCGGATGCTTCCGGAAGTACTGGTTCATCCGATCCGACTCGGCCACCTTAGCTGTTCCAAGCTTACTCACTTTATAGTTTCCGTTGAGAGATGATTTCACGACCGCACTCTTGGGTTTCCCGTTGTTCTCGGGATCCATGTTAGCCGCGCGCGGGCGTTACTTGTTCGGACTCGCGCGACGGGTTGTATGTGCTAGCTGTTATTCTACGGTCGATTTTTTCTCTGTTCCCGTCGGAACCTGATGTTTGCGGGGGGACCTTGTGTTCCTGTTGTTATATCTGGATGTTTGGTTGATTCTAGCTGGGCAGAGGCCCTACCTCCGCCGCCGAGGACCGCAGCTTGCGCCCGCTTTACCTAGAGAGAACACGACCACTAGCCGCTCACTATTAATATCCGGTTGCTCCGCTCTTTAAGTTCGCCTCACCGCCATTACATCTCACTCCCGTTAGCTCCTAAATCATTGGTAGTATCAGGTTTCAGAACAAGAAAATAGTATCCAGATAACTAGTACTAGGGTATAGCGAAAAGTGATTAGAATCTGATAAGAAAAATACACGTATTCACCGCAGCATTCACTTATCAGATTCTGATCACTTACCCTCAACACCCGGTACATAGTCGGTAGACGTTGGCTCCGCTTCACTCCTACTCAGGGGCTGCGCCCCCGAACCCCCCGTTACAATAATTCGTAGAAAGAACACAGTAGTCTTGGATTCCTCGTATTAGCTCTGCAGTACACGGGATATAGATGAGAACAACAACTCATGCACTGCCGTGATCGCAAGAGGACACCAAAAAACATTGATATACCACACCTCCTGCTGCTCGTGGCAGCAACGAAAAAGTACTGTTCACCATCCCCTCGGTCAGCCTCACGCCCAAGATACGCGAGGAAACAACTCCAGACAAAATAAATGCAATCGGTGCTAACCTAGAACACAAGAGTCCCACCAGCCAGCTAAACCTTCAAGGTCAAGGAGGTACAATCACCCAACCGCTCCAGCAATCCAAGCAACGTCTCATAGTAGCGATAAATCACAAACTTCTGTGCCGACGTGGAGGAATGAACATCATAGTACACCACCGCTCGCAACCTCTCGATCGGATCGACACTTCCATCCGTCCAGACAGAGTGCAACTGCTGCACCGTATAGTGTCGAATCCGCCACGGAAGATCGTCGCGATCAGGCTTGAAATCAAAACGCAAGCCGTAGCGACAAAGCACAGAGTTCAGCATAGAAACCGCCGGATCGCGAAGAGCTACAATAAGATGCGGACAAATATCGACCAACTGGCGCTTAAGCCCCCGACGCTCCTCGGCGGACAGGCGGAAGAGTGTTTGCAGATCAACGCCGTCAAGACTCGAGGGGGCAATCAACTGGAATATATCTAAACCAAAAAGGGTCAATAAATAGATACATGTATTATACCAACCGATGGAACCCCGACAAACGAACGCAATACAGACCCATCGAGGAAGTTAACGTGAGCGGCCTGGTTAAACGGATATGGGGCAGTCGTGGTGTTGAGAAGGTTGCCGTGAAGTCCATTTTCAATGAGCAAAAGCCATTCTAAAGAAACAGGCGGAAAGGACTTTTCTTATGTACCCTTTACCAGTCACTTGTCAGGGTTAGGCCCTGGGTCCTAAGTGTCCGTCAGAGTGAGATCTGGTGAGGCTTGGCGGACCAGGTCGATCTCCAGAGTGATATTCGGTGATGTGCTTCGCATCACTTCTCGCAGCCCCCAACCAATCATAGAGTACACTCTCACTTCTCAAATGGGGGTTCTCTGTCTTAACCCACAACCCCCCCCCCCCGTAACGAGAGCCAGCCCTACACACCGCCACGCCCATTAAAACGCCTATACCAGAAAACTCAACCAACATCAATCTCCACCGCCGCGCGAGTCACCGTGAGTCACGCATGGCCGAGCGTCGCATTGAAGTTATCCCTGCATGATATGATTGCTGTGTAATCTCTGGCATTCTCGGCCATAGCCAAGTAACTGACCCGCGACACCACTAGCGGCCCCCAACGACCTTACCACCCCCCACCCCGACCACTTCCTCGTCAACCGCGCCGCCTACATCAACCACATGCGCTTTCTAGCCGTGCTAACCCAGAAGCGGATCGCCGACTGCCACAGTCTCCTCGCCGCCTGCACGCGCGGTGTGCTCCACGGCACCAGCGAGTCCGCGGACACGGAGCTGCGGGCGTATGAGCAGGTTTTTGCCGTGCTGCGGGGCGCGGCGTGGACGGAGGGGTCGCGGTGGATGTTGCCGGGGCTGGAGGGGCTGACGTGGCCGCAGAGGTGGAGCGCGTGGGAGGGGGTGGCGGTGGATGCGCGGAGGGAGGAGGCGGTGAGGGGGGTGGCGGGGAGGGTGTGTGTTATGATGAGGGGGGTGAGGAGGAGGTGTGCGGGGGTGTAGTGAGGTGAGTTTGTGTCTTTATTTTGTTGGTGGTTTTGGTATCGGTTTGTTCGTGGGAGGGCGGTTGTGTCGATAATCGCTCTTTTTGATTAGTTAGCTGTATATATAGGAGATACTGTAGAGTAGACGCTCACGGGTTTGTAACGGTCACAAAACCGCCCAGAGCAGCACAGCCAGGCCCAGGCCCGGCTTCTACCAAGCATCTCTAACCCTCCACTCTCCATCAATTTCCCAATATATATATATGCTCAAATACTGAAAATTAAACTCAACCAAAAAAACCTCCTCTTCCACCACCGCCACCGACAGAAAAACACCAGTCTATATGCCGCAGACGAATTCGCTCCATATCTCATCTCTTAACTACACCCCATACTATAAGGAGACACATATTGTGTGTGTGTGCCCACACACGCATGCAGATGCTTATCCGTCCATCACGGTTTGTCACGCCCCAATGCAATGCCTACATCCAGAACGCGGACACAACATCTCTTACAAAGCGCATATCCCCATCTCCGCCTCCAAATCAATCCCACACCTATGGCGCCACAGCCGCGTCGAGGCACAAAACCAGGCCAGATCACCACGCACCGAACCCCACCCCCCCCACATCCCGCACCGACATATCATCTCCACACGTACACTCCGACCTCAACACCCCAACAAGCAAGTGCCAGATGGCTTTGGCATTAATTCAAGCCCCGCCCACCCCATTATCATTCCAATCACACCCAATCACTCGCAGCCAATGATTACCCGCACCAGATTATTCGCACATAATCAGGGTTAGGGTTACTATCCAGGACCCAAAAATGCGATAGCACACCAAAGAATAATCCTCCGAGCCCGGCCCGGTCTTAGTACCGAGACAACTATTTCCAGCTACACGAACAGACCCCCATGCCCCAAGCCACGGTCAGAAAGGAGAAAAAGATTGACTAAAAAAAATGATCAGCACCTCTCTGGTAGCCGTGGAAATGCATCGATTTTGACATTTCCCATACAAAAGTTGCGAGATACACATTATTTGATGCAATACCCGCATTAGTTTGTGTTAAAGGCATTTCTGTCCCATTACCGACACTTTACTCGACTTCACCCACCCCTTCCTAGCTTACCCAGAGCAACCAAAAACCAAAATAGCTATGTAGCTTCCTAATTTATTTTTGGCTTAATTCATAAGATAAAAAAGAAAAAAAGAACAAAAGGTACTACAGCGACTTATTTATAAATGTGGGCTACTACCACCATTCCCGGTTTGAACTCAGGACCTCGCCCAAACACTGGGTACATATCTAACCTGCTGAGTATTCTATACACTAGACCACTCGCCCGTGGTGAGCGCCATACTGGAAGTGAAACTTGAGCTAGCCCGGCGTTGTGCCAAGATAAAGTCGAAGCAGAACCCCTAACCCTCCATAATATTCAACAGCTGGATCACACTCTATTGAACTGTGTCATGTGTAAATGGAGACGAAAGCCGTGTCATTCCGGTATTTTTCCATGGAGGGGTGTTACCAATGTTAGGTTATTTGAATTTGCTCTGGAGTTGTTTGAACAAAAAGCCAGGCCGGCAAAAAAAGTCGAAATTTTATCTCCTGCCGTAGGTCGATCGAGACCAAGTAAAGATCTTTCCGGTTTTGTCTCCCTCCTATTCTCTCAGGTATTGCATCGTCTCGAGCTTAAGTCTCAAGCTAAAGTCTCAAGTTGTCTTGTGCCCATGATCCTACTACACAAGAGCTTTTAAAATAAATGAGTAATTGTCTACGACCTTGTGTTCCCGTCAATGAAAAATTCCATTGTTCATTTTTCTTTCGGGGAATTCTTTATCCCATTTGAGAAATTCTTTATTTATTTCATTTTTCTTTATTCCTTTTTCTTTCATTTCTTTTGGCAATTTTAATTTCCTTTCATGCAGTGTAAATTTCTTTGGATTTTCCGTTTATTTCACAAAACGGCAACGTAATTTCACTTTCTGGAACTCTCTCTAGTATTCTGAAGGGAAAGTTCCACTACTATAAATAGAAAGCCAAACTTAAGTGGAAATTAAACGAAAATCATTCGCCATGTTCCTTGGCACATCATCTACCTGCACCCACCTTATAACAGATATCGGGGTCTAACTGTACAGCTTTAGCTCATGTTCCCCGAAAGATCCCATGCAGAAAGGTCCCACCATTCATGAACCTGATGACCCTCCCCCCTCACCTAAGTCTTGAGGTTTTCCACAATACTTACGTACATAGCCCAACGATTGTCAATTCCGAGACCTCCTTCTGTTATTCACCAGAAAAGACAAAACATCCTTAAGTACCGTCTTATTTTTATATTGTGCCCATCACTACATTTTATGACTCCTGTCGGCACGCCACAACCAAACGGACGAGAGCTTTCCGCATCAAAACTAGCACATCGCAACGAGCCACGTCACAGACGTAGAACAACGACACAAAGACTTAGGCGCACCTAACTCTTGATCTCCTGAACTGCGAGTCGTGCAGATGAGAAGATCAGATCGCCAAGCACCTATTCCTACACTAATTGTGGGTTGACAAAAGTTCTCATGAAGCGCCATCAATACCTCTACAACCTCAAAAGATATATATAGAGGAGGCAGTTATATGGTGAGAGAGCGGAAGATTGATACAGCATACCTACTAGCTATGAATCCTAATGACCATCTTTGTAAATTAGAACCTTGCGCACTTTCGCCTGGTTGTTACGAGAACTTTTGTCAGCCCACAATAGATATATAGATTGACCGTGCGTGTGGCAGCGTTTGGTAAATCAAGCATCTCTGACATGGGATTTTGCTTTTAAGAGGCCTCTAGAATGTCCGATAGCAGTAAGCATCATAGTTCTGCTGGTGCCCGCGTATGAATCTTGATGATATTCTAATCATGCCCGATCACTCAATCTCTCACTGTCAATGATTACAATAACAGGATTCTGTGACTTTGCAGGGTTAGGGTTGCACGAAATTGAACCTGAAAAGAGTTTATCGACACATTAATAAATTAATTTGATTGAGATTTGGCCGTAACGTTAAGATCCAGATATCATTGCGATCGTACTTGGAAACCTTTAAGTACAAGGCTTATGAAATTGTATAATATTGAGATAGGGAGCATATAGAAATTTCAACGTCCTGATAAACCCTGTCTTTATTGCTGTTGTATATAAACTCCGTATACAAGTGAAAGAAACGATGCCTATGACACCTCCTGGCTTGGTAGGGGTCACCGAAATCTCCTCCTTCTCATTAGCTCTTCTAACCAACTATACTCAATAACCTCTCCACCTTCCCCAGCGATATAATCTTTCAGCCACTCGCCACCCCCCCGCAGAGACATGTGATACGTTTTACCCTTTACCTCTGCGCCCTTTGACACTAGAAATTTGACCAAGTCCTCGGACACCGGCGCACTTTCTTCGATAGCGAGAAGCAAGGCGTCTCTCCCCTTATTATCCACTGCATCTAAGCTGCTTACAGGAATAAGAACCTCAAGCGCAGGGATATTTTCAGTTGCTACGGCATGCAGCAGTGGGGTGTAACCATCCGCGTCTTTTAAGCCAGGATCGAGCTTCGCTTCAAGGAGAGTTTTGATCACATCCGAGGAGCCAGTTTCTCTGCTTCTTGCTGCGAGGTGTAGCGGCGACTGGTCAGACTTGTTTGTTATGAGCGCTCGGCTTCCATTCTCCAAAAGTAACTTCACCGCGTCGTTCTGACCATGCAATGACGCGCACATCAAAGCCGTCTTCCCGGTACTGTTCAGTTTGTCGATCTGCAGGGTAGGCCACAAGCCGAGGATGCATTTCATCACAGATATCCTCCCATATCGTGCGGCTATGTGAAGAGCGGTTGACCCCGTTGAGGAAGTCTGAAGGCTCAATCTTTCTTTGATTTTTTGCTCGTTTTTTCGATCACCTCCCAGCATAATGTTGACGGCCGCTACATGCCCCAAAAAGGCTGCCAGATGAATTGCTGAGAATCCCGACACATCCTCAGGCCAGGATTTTTCAAGGTCGGAGAGATATGAAATAACGCGGGGGTGATTTCCAGCGACGGCCAGGTGCAGTGCAGTACGCCCGTCGCTATCATCAATACCAATATCCACCTTCCCCTGTTTGGGGAAATTGGCCAGTGCTAAGCGATAATTCTGTAGCGTTTAAACTGATGATATTGTAAACCGGATTCCCTTGACTTGGTGGTTGATGATACCCTCAAGTCTTCGCAGGATCCTGCCCTATTTATACATGTTGGAACCTATGCCAAGGCCCGCTTCCTAATACTAACTGATACAACGATAATAGAATAAGATAATGCTCCCGAAGATAACCCAGATAGAAAAGCGCCCCGGCATAGTTCCGTCCTCCATTCTAATTCCGACACGTAACCATGAACCTTGCAATTGCCAGTCATCGGGCTGTACCATACTATCATCCTAGACCTACTTTCCTAAGTAGCACAACCTACAGCCGTAAGCCCCGCTTACTATTCTATTCCGGGTGAGACACCCAATAGTAAGCGTGCCGTCATGATAGTATAGTGCTAGTGTGGTAACACCACGGGCCCCCACACTACCCGATACCTTTCTATGCTTGTCCCTTCGTTACCCGACCGTCCTCGCATCACAACCCATCACTCGTATTCCTCAATGTCCTAAGCCTCTAGGACAGTGCTCCGTAGTTCCTGTAATATCCCCTGCTCAACTAGCAGTTTGACTACTTTCAAATGTCCCTCACAAGCCGCCATGTGTAATGGGTTTCTCTGATGTTCGGAGACCACCAGAGGATCCGCATGTCTTTCCAACAGTACTTCAATTACAGTAGAATAACCTCCATGCGCAGCCCAATGTAGCGGCGTCCTCCTGTGATTATCGCGAGGATTAGGGTCACACCCATGCTCTATAAGTAATGCCACAAGTTCTTTTTGCCCTGTTCGAGCCGCGTTGTGAAGTGGTGTCAATCCGTCGTTACCCTTAGCAGCTACCGGCGCCCCAGCCTCGAGAAGTACCTTAGCGATTGTCTTGGATTTGGCGTAATGCAAGGGTGTAAGCCCAGCAAAATCTGTTTGATCTGAAACACCACGTGACTTGTCCTGGAGATGTTCCTTAACCTCCTCTGCCGTACCGTCTGCGACATACATATGCAGTTCGGTCCAAAACTCAGGTGCAGACCAATTGCTATATGTAACAGCACCTATATATTCTAGGTACTTCGACCAGAATGACCACTCTTCAGTACCTTCTACTCTTCCCTGCCAGGTATTTATCTGATTGATCTTCATCAATACCTTATGTACTCCATCGCAATTGTCTTCCAATGCCGTGACTATTTTTCTCCGTAGCGCAGTAAGCTCTTCAGTTCTTTTAAATCTATTCAAATCCCCACGAATTAGTCTATTTCTACAAGAATGAGTATAGGAAGAATGCTTACTTTTTCCCCTCCCACCGATGATATTTCTGTTCGCGAAATTGTTCAGTGATGTTTATTTCAAGAGTCAATTCCCGTATAAACTCCGTTAATGCACAGGTTGCATGCTCAATTGCTGTTTGCTGCTTAATCATATAGCGTGACTGAAACGCCATGAAGCCCTTCAAGTAGATCTCACCAGCTTCCTCCCATCGGTGATATGACTCTTGGATGCGCCCTTGATCCCTGATAGAGTGAATGACCGCGCTCATATCAGGGAGCATATCCTTCATGATCAGCGGAGGTAGGATACTCAACATAATGTCTTCGACAGATCCTAAGCCACTCCGCGATATAGTCTTAATCACTCGATCGAGTTCTTTGTGTTCGAGCATTATTGAGTTGAAAAGAACTGTGCCGCTCTCGTCCATTTCCTGCACTGGCATTGATTTTGTCGAACCTTTTATAATTGGAGTACTGGCCTTATTCTCGCTAAACTCAAATTGAACAAAAGACCGTATAAATGCAGAAAAAAGCTCCTGGGCGTATAAAATATCGAGAGGAGCATCGGACATCACGGCTAATACTTTGGCATCATCTGACGATTCGTCCTGGTATCCAACGACTCGATGCCTGTTAAATTTGATCGATTGAACCAGGGTTGATTTAGCGCTGGAAGTCTGGCAAGCATCATAGCCCTCTGGATTATCGTCTACCGTATTTCTGGTAGTTTCTTTAGGTGTGTGGAGTTCGATATCTCGATCAAATGGATCGACCCCTTCTGTTTCCGCGCTTGGGATTTCAGCTTCCCTTACCAACGCAACGGCGCTTCCAAGCCACCAGTACATGCATTGGAGTATAGACTCATCTTTCGGAGCAAGGAGTCGTAGACTATGGTTCTTCGACGCTGTTCCACTGATATCGCCTGCTATGCCGCTTTCAATCTTGATACCGGCTGTCTGTGATTCTTCCTCAGAAACCGAGAAGAGCCAGAGGGAGAGAAAAGCCTCTATCTGCCTCACATCCGCTATCCATCCCGACTCTTTCCGAGACAGGCTGAATTTTATATCGTCTACAGAGGCATCTGATGCTGAGGCATTTGATATTGACCATACTAGGTTCTCCACAGTCGAATCCTTCGGGAAAAATGCATTCATGAAAGCTTCAATTGCCGAGGCGACGCGAACAGCCTGCTCAAGGGCAGGCCCAGACCAGCCTGTGCTAGTCCTCAAATTCATTCTTGCTTCAATGTGTTTCATAGACGTCGATTCACTCCCTAAGACCTCGCTACCATCCCTGAGGGGTTGGTACCGACTAAAGCCTCCCACAGTTCTCACCTTCCACTTATACGACGTATCTTTATCCCAGAAATGATCGTCGTTCTCATCATCCCAAGGACAATGCAAAGATCCATTTTTTCCTGGTGTTCCTAGAAATACTGACTGCCAAGATCGATGTTTTTTTTGGCTTGGTTGATCTTGAACCCGCCTACCCAGTAGTCTATTCCGGTCTTCTTCATTCGACGTACGCGTAGCCACCCAATCGATTTCGTGGCCTTTTGGAATCGGCCTCGCCCAGGGAGTCGTAGACAAGCCACGACGAATGTAGGCTCGTAGGATAATCATAATCATGGTAGCAACAAGTTGAGATATCGAGGCATACCAGGTCATCGAACGAAGCCCAACAAACTGCAGTACAAAGCCTGAGATTGAAACTACGGCCCCACTCGTGGTGAGGATCGACGTTATGAAGTCTTTACGACTTCCTCTTACCCTCTTTCGCCGTCGGGAGGTAATGACATGATCGCTTGGGCTTCTCGCAAGAATCAAGTATGAATCGAATATCTGATCGCTGACGGACCCGCCTTGTTGTATCCACAGCATTTGAAGAGTCCCTACATCTGGGAGATGGATTTCGGCCGTGGCCGCACTTTCAATGATATAGCTGCAAACAAATACCCCAGTAATAAGGACTAGCGTCCCCATACACGTAAGGGGAAATGCGTATGATCTCACATCTCTCCCGCCTTTCTTTTGCCTGAAATCCGGGTGGTATGTTATGAACCAGTCAAACACAAGTACTCCAACTTGAAGGATGACCCCCATTGCTGCTATAACGTGGAGTTCTGTTCGTCCGCCATGGGGGTGCACGTTCAGGGATATATTAGGAGGCTCTTCGCTTATCGCTTCTAATCGCTTATCGCTTCTAATCGCTTAGCTTCCATCTCTTTCCTTTTTATTTTCGTATCCTCAGGCCATAAAGTCGCGGAGGATGCCTCGATCGCATTGCACGCTGTACCATATCCGTCCAGTAGCAGGTTGAGAAACTTTTCAAACATCGCCCCGCGCGATGAAGCTTGACCTCCACTCTCCAGATCTTTAGGATCAGGCCCTTGATTTTCATAGCGCGGTAAGATTTTTCTCAAAAGACTTGCACCTCGTTCCGATTTGATCAGCTTTTCCTTCACCCGTTGTAAGGTAGGATATCCTGGGAAATCTGCCAATATTAGTTAGAAATGAGCTATTTATCAGACGGAGTGGATCGATTCTCAGCTGTGCTCACTTTTTCTTGTTAGAAACTTTTTGTTCAGAGCCTCTGACAGCGTCACGAATCTATCAACTTGAGCAATCTCCTTCCCTTCCGCGGCCTCTTCACTGCATTTCATAAAAATAAGCTCCTTGATTGATGGTTTCCCAATCAACCTCACGACATGCCTGCCATTGAAAACTTCACACACCTCATCAGAGGTAGACGACATCAGCTCTGACTCGGCGACGGCAATGTTCTCCTTTGCCCTCCCTATGAGAGCTCTTAACCACCTCGCTCCTCCTACTCTTATTGCTCCGACGACTGCCGTAAGGACACCGATGGGTGCCATTGAAAAGATGATGCTGTCTGACCAGCCCATAGACTCAGACATGAACTGCATGGCTACTTGCTCTCCGAACAGAGCAAGTATTGGGGCGAGATCTGAAAAGAGATTGTTGGAAAATTCATCGCCAGGATCAGAATCAGCAAAGGTTGGTTGGCCTCCGGCCATGGTCAATTATATGCGTTTTGGTGTACACGTTACAGGTCGACGTCAAGTCCAGTACGGAAGAATTAAACGAAAGATGAAGATATCAGAAAAAATTCCTGATCAAGATATAATATAGCCAGTACTCGCTAGGAAGTCTTTCTTTTGTACCGAGAGAGGGTTTAAAGGTAGGGGATATGGTTGATTTATATATATAAGAATAAGGTTCACCTGTCAGCTGCGTATCCCTATTACAAGATCACTCTCCATTATACTGAAGACTCTGCAGGCATAGCTTAAGCCTTCGTTCCAAGATCTACATGTAGCCTGGATACAGCTGCATGCTCTGGACCCACTGGAAAAGTGATGGGGACCACCCTTCCCAGCTTAATCGAATTAAAATTGCTTCAGATCATAATATGACGTATAGTATACATGCGTACATTCAGCCTCTGTCTATTGATGGTAGTACGAGCAATGCGCACTCACACGTATGTATGCATACCAGGCCTGCACATTTCTATCGCCACTCATTTAATTTATCTTCCAGTGCCTTTTAGCCCCACAAAGTTTCAGCGCTATGAAGCTAGGGCCGGCGCGGCCCCCAAATTTCCCGACAAGTGCCGATGTTCATTCGCCCCTGTGCTCGCTCCAGAGGCCAACTATACTGTAAACTGTAGTACTTCACGCTACGCTTATATTCAACGTCAATTAAGTACGTGTAGACGTCTATAGAAAAGTACGTCTAGAAATATATATATATATCTAGCGTGCTACCAACATATATATCTGCCTTATAGGTACAACATAAGCGGGGAATTTTGAGTGAAGAATTCAGTCGAATCTTCAATTAACAGCTGCCTGCGGCTCGACGTCTACCTAGCTACTGCAGAATTTGTTGGCTATACCCCTGCTGTCTTGCAAATGATCATTTGCCGATGATGCTTTAGGAATCTCAAAATGCAACACATATGTCTGTACGTACGTCCAGAGTCCCCTCAAGAAGAAACATGGAGGCGCAAAGTGCAAGGAGCACTCAGGTTATATACCAATCCAGAGCTCAGCTTTTTGGAGCTTCGGGGATCTTTTATCGTGATTTACAAGTTTCATATTACATATAAACATCATTATCGATCTCTTGCATGGGTCTTCGCACTGCCCGACATGCAGATATGATATAAAAGTGATTGGTTGGACAACACCTAAAGGCACTACGTCCAAACAACGAGCACATTAAAAAATCAGTGCATACACACATACTCGTATTTTCCTGACGTTTGTGGACGCGATCAATATTGCATACCATACAAAAATACGCCAAGCTGATGATTTTTAGTGTATGCAACAGTGGCCAGTTCAAAAACGTCAGGAAGATACGAGTATATACTTTACATGTATGCACCTAAAATGTCTCTTGATCGCCACCCCACAATTAACTGCCCCAGAAGTCGGACAAAAATTAGGGTTCAACCTTAAAGGTTTCCAATACTCTCATCTAAGTAATTGGACTCGGCAATTAATGGCCCGTAGGATGTACCTGCACCCACCATACGAACTCTACGCAGGCATGGAAGTTTCAGTAAAGTACAGGAATTAACCCGCTCTTGTCCTACCGGCTGCATCTAGATGATTTATATTTCCATATATATATGTATTCGCTCATTGATATCATAAGGCAGGCCTGCAGGCAGGAGTAGAATTGTCATTCGTAGTTAACCGAAACTCATATGATCATGCCATAGTATGTACATGCCAGAACGTCCCAAATCTTAAAACACAACCATATCTCAATCTCAGATATGACTTCTTTCCTACCTGACCAAGCTTCCTTGTTAATTTAATATCCAAAACCCGTATTATTTCAGCCTCAAAATCTACTCAACCAACCAGATCAGACTTCAATAGGAATATTCATAGTCGATAAATCTAAGACATCAAAAATATATATGTATAGCTCGAGAAGCTATGGGGGGTAGGTGTGTAAACTTCGGCGTTTTTTTAAAGAATCGGCCAATCAAACTTATAGAAATTGGCCATAATGGTACTAGCGCCTAGGCTAACCCTGACATTTCCTCAGATTCCCATACAAACGAAATTCCTCCGAAGTTGACACCCGCCCTCTAGGCCTTCTCGCGCCATATATATATATATACGTACAACCTAATGCCGGGACTATCAGCAGTGATCATGGGGAAATTCTTTCTGCATCTTTGCCAAAACATTTATCCGCATTATATCCTAATTCTGAGGGGGTGAGAGATCCTACAAACTCAACTATTTGATGCGCCACCAGAGCTCGCATGCGCAAGTACATACACAACATCAAGATATATACCTGCGCGTGCCCCGTCCACCGATCGGGATGTTGGCGGTCGATCTCTCTTGGAAACCCTGCAATTGCAATTAGAACCAGATCCTTAACCCAGCACTTTGAATCTCGGCGGCGATAGGTAATCACAATCTCCTCCTAAGCATATATTAGATAGCTGATACAGCTGCACCTCGCTGTAGTGAATGTGCGTAATCGGGTGTGCTTCGTTCCTTATCCCTTAAACCGTCAGAAAATGCAGTTGCTCAGGGCAAGGATTATTTGTATGGAGTGGCGGTGATCTCTCATACAAACTATCCTTGTTTCCGTCACTTGCATTTTCTGGTTCTTTTCGTCAATGGGAGACACTTAAACCTTTTTCGGAAACATGATAGAATCAACGCATAGAGACTTGAAGTTGTAGTCTTCATCATGCGTGACAGGTTGCAAGATCCAGCGCTGCTTATATCACGATTACCATAAAGGGTTTAAGTGTCGTTGCAATTCAGCCTGACGGTTTACGGGATAGCAAAAAATTCCTTCAAGCAATTTTTGTAAATTGCAATTGTCTTCCACCAGTTTTGCGTGGTTTCTCGGTTCTTTTTTAACAGTACATGTACCGGGGGTTAAGGGTAAGTACTGAGAACCCCTTTTTGGGCTGTGAGGGCCAGCGGGTGTCTGCTATTGGTCGATTCAAAAAAAAATGACACTTGGCGGCCAAGAGGTTATTTGAATTGTGTGTGTTGCAGCTTTTGCAATGCAACCTCCAACCCCTCTTTTCCATTGATGCTCTTTTCGAACTCCGCGAAAAGCATGCTTGAAGGTTTGGGATTGCTATTAAGGTGATGGCCAGAGCAAGGGCTATCATTTGGTTATTTTTTTGTATTTTTAGGGAAATATTTAAATTTTTTGAGTGAGGATATATGAAGTGTCTTCGTACTTTTTTCCCCATACAAATTTCAGGGCCAAGACCAAGATTCATTGTTACTTTTTAGTTGCCATGGACGGTTCCCATATGTTACAAGCTGACTCTCAAAGACTAGGTATAGGCAGCTCTACTAGTAAAGGTAGTACTATATATACATGCATGTAGTCAATCGTGGAACTCCTGCAATGGCTAAATAAAAATGAAATAAAAAAAATAAAAAAAAGCCGTCAATGGGGAAAGAATGCTGAAAAATAAGACCTTGTTAATCACCAGCGACCATAAGAGGGTTGAGGAATTTCAACAAGCTTGGGTGATAATTCCTTACAGCAGATTCAGGTTGTACGGGGTCAGGGGTGTGACAGGGGTGTTTGATCTGGAGATTTCATCCACTTCAGTCGCACCTCGCTATGCCGGATGGCCAAGATTCACCAAATCATGTACGGGATAGCAAATATTCCCAAGAAATTCGGGATAGCAAATTGATTTTGCAGTAGAAAAATAGAATTCTCAGGAAATTTCATACGGGACAGCAAGGGATCCGGCATATTGAGTTCCGCCATAGCGAGGTGCAACTGTATACTATAGCCACTTTGTTCCTTATATCAAGGTATCTTTGCTGGGGCTGAAAACAATCCTCAAATCTATTTCCTTATAGCAAATATTCCGTACACCAGGGTTCTTTGATCGGATCCAGGAGAACCGTCGGCACAATCTTTATTCCACCCAATCACACAAAGGTGAAAGGACATTAGCGAGGGCCCAGAATTCCTTTTTCCACAGTTCGCCCCATTTATTATTGGAGGCTGTAAGCTGCTTTCCAAATTATGAGGATGTATCATAACATATCACTCGATTCAATCAGCGCCGCCAACGTCTTGATCATTCGATTTCTTCGGTTAAAAGCCTAGTATCACGAGAAAGTATTCTCAGCCTTCTAGCGTTTTCTTTACAGGTTTAAATGGTAGCCGTAGAGGATTGAATCTGTCGTCATAAGCATTTGTTCCGTCTAGGTGTGTCCAATAAACCGCACTTTGGTCTGTGCCATCCCTGTCAGCGGAATCCAATATCCCGAGCCTGGTCCCGAGCCTGGTCCCGACATTTCATCTCGCCGGAATGACTTATTGCCAAGGCCTATCTATACCCTTAGCACTCAACTACCTAGGTAGCTATGAGGATGCTAAAATGTTTGTTTTTAACGTTTGCTTCTGCAACTGACCTCTCACCTTCTAATAAATATTCAATGCTAAATATTCTATTAGAATACCGTCTTGTAATTAGCTATGTAAAATAGTCCCGCAAAGTTCTAAATTCTTTGCCAGCGTTCGGTCAGAAACAATGAGGACCCTGAATATGCAGGTTGGCAACCGCATATTAGTGTATCTGCGAATACGTTCGCCTAACTAACGTATAATGATTATCTCAAATTAAAGAATTGGCATTTAGAAAAACGGAACTATAGGCAAGTTTTCTTTGACTGCCTCCCATATTCTTGTATTATGAGTAGAATTTAGTCTCTTACCCAACCCGTTACTTGCAGCAAGTTGGGGCCGAGCCTAAGTAAAATTGTATCGACGCATTATGTCGCTTCTCGGGACATCCAGGAGCGGTTAAAAGAAGAAATCGTAAATAAATTCCTCTCCCGGTTTCACTAAAGTACTCCAAGACTGCATCGTAGGATCGGGCTTATCATAAATATGCGAGATTGGTTGCTTCTGTGAGAGTTGATGTCGAAGACCAGGCAGAAGTGACAGTAATGCGATATGCAGTCGTTACTTTCAACGCACATGAGCAGGTATTCACATATATGTAAATAGCTAAAATGATCAAGGCACTGGGGGAGCTCACTTTGAATAATAGCTTAGGTAATACCGCATCCCATAGGGCCACATTGGCTGGGCCCCTGAATGGCTTCCGTAAGAGATTGAGAACGGCGTCGCATAGAATCGTGCTAGCTTACCATGTGAGTATCGCTCTGCGCCCAAATGATTCAGGTCTATACTTCTTAAGTATGGGATTTTAATGTATGGCAGATAATCCGAGTTTATGGAGTTAGCGAAATCTTTTTGAAGATGGGAGAAGACATTGAGTTAATGTCAAGCAGGAAATGTGGGAAGTGAATTCACGTCTCAATCCCTCTCGACGAGCGAAACCGTGGTTTTCCAAAACGATGAACCAATATGTATATTATGATGACAGACAAAGAGATTAGACGTGAAAAGAATCTAAACTAGAGGTTGCCATTTCTGAACACCTATCTCATGCCCGCCGCGCCTCTCAGCTAGGTTCAGCTAGGTACTCCGCTCCATCGCAGCTTGACCACATTGGTCATCCTTGTTAAGCGAACACCGACCGCATGTACCACAATGCTCAGCATATAATTCATAGAAGGTCTACTCTCAGCATATAACTCATAGAAGGTCTACTCTTACTATTGATATAAATTTTATTCCCTTCTATTTGAAGTGAACCATCAAAGGATATATATATATACAGACTATTTTGCCATTTTGAAAGAGCGCATATATTAACGACATCTACACGACCAGATTCAAGGGACAGATATGAGCCCCGCAATATCACAGAGAAGTGAGCTTGGTGATAACATACGTATATCTCCCAATGGTTAATTGATAATGAGTGAGAAGAATTATATGACCCTTGTGCGGCGTTAAAGAACTGTCTCTTATATAAAATAAGTCAGCGAGTCAAACCTTGAAAAGCTTCTCCGGACCGCAAAACCTAACACTTCCCATTCAGGTGGCCGTCACATCTTCGAATCTATCACTGTAATAAAGAGTTAGATCTGATCACTAATCATCAAATATCACTCGCAGGGTTAGGGGTATTTCTTAGAGCTTATTGTTTCGTTTCTTTAAATCACAGTTAAGATGATACCCGTGGCCCGACCCTCCTGTATGCTAAAGTCGGCATGCCTGGGGGTTCTAGACTTGTAGAAAGTTTGTGTTGCCCTAGGCTGTCCGTGACGCCAATTGTTGGTGGCTGAGGCTGAACGCAATAATGTGGAGTACATCTCAGCTGAGAATGGTTCATATTTGGCTCTAGAATATCGATATCGATCTATCCCGTCCACCGTATAGTTTGTAGCGGAGGCCAAAGTGGCCCTTAGTAAGCGTAATCTCCCATAAGTTCATTGAGTTCATTGTGTCCCGTGCCTTACGTACCACCCTGGCCTATCAACCAACCCTGGTCGCCAGCCGATACTGGGAATGTTTACTTTCAACTAGCTGGCTTGGCTCAACGTACCGCACATGCTCATTCTTGTGGACATAGAGAACTGCAGCCACAATTGAATCCATCACGTTGAGAAGTTCTCTGCTCTGCATATTCGGCGCCATCTCAAGCCTTTCATCTGGTCCTCTGCCCCTCATGTGGTCCAGCTGTAAAGTATTCTCAGCTTTCTCGGGACAGTTGGGAGACAAAATCAGGTCCATTCATCTTCACACACACGATGATCTAAATTAATCTTCTTTCAGGCTCTCGCCGAGTATATAAAGCAGCTCTATTCGCCTATTCCCTTATATATCCCATCTGCTTTATACACCAATCAATCAGGTCCAAAAAATAAAGAAAACCTCTCATCAATCAACTACGTCGAAACAATGTCTACTAAGAAAAGTCATCGCCCATTGAGATTACTATCTCTAGGTAAATCTCCATGATCCTCAAGTGCACTAGTATCAGAGAGAACTCTAACAGATTTAGATGGCGGGGGAGTTAGGGGACTTTCTTCGCTTATAATTCTTGAACGCTTGATGTGGAGGGCCGATCCCAATGCTAGAGTTTCTGATTATTTCGATATGATTGGCGGTACAAGCACAGGAGGGTTTGTTCCCCTTATAGCGAGCATACGAGACTGAATACTAATTGCCGGCTAATATGAAGCATCATCGCTATTATGCTTGGATGTTTGGTACCACTCCTGTCACTAAACATCTTAAATTATTCAATGCTAATGAACTGAGTAGAATATGAAAGTCTCTGACTGTATTGATGCATACGGAGAACTTTCTCAAATGATCTTCAAACTCTCCTGGATAAAGGGTAATCCCGCTGCTAGAGGTCTTCGTGCAGCCGTTGGTGCTGCGCAATTTGATTCGGAAACCTTGAAGAAAGCAATTTTTCAGATCCTGGAAAAGTATCTTCCTAAGGAAAGGAGGGGAAACAGATCAGTTGAAGATGTTCCATTTCTTTGCGACACAGATAAGTGTAAAGTGTATGTTCTAGCCTCCCTCTATTCATAAGGCTCCATAGAACACATAAATGGGCCGGGTTCATAATGTTAACCGTCAACAGGTTCGTGGTGGCAGCCCAATACGCCGACGGAGCTCCCACTATTATCCGGAACTATACCAGCTCCGATTCTCCAGAAAATATGGATTTCAAGATCTTCGAAGCAGCTATTGCTACTTCTGCGGCCCCGACCTATTTCTCCCATTTCTCTAAGCAAAGGGAGGGCAATACTGATACGGCCGACTTTGTCGATGGGGGCATTGGGTCTAATAATCCCATTCTACATCTTGATATCGAAAGGAAAAAGTTTTTCGGAGATCGCAAGATTGGTTATGTCATCAGTGTGGGGACGGGAATTGCCACCACAGCTACAGAGGTCTCAACAAATCCAGTCTCACTGGCGAAAAAGATTTTAAGCATCCTGACGGATTGCAAATCGGCTCACACACTTTTCAACCAGCTCAATCGAGACTATAAATATTTTCGTTTTGCTGCAGATGGGTTGGATGGTATTGCACTTGACGAGTGGTCGGAGTTGCAAAGGATTAGACAAATCACCTCAAGTTATCTCGCGGCTAGTGAATGGCTTATCGGCGATTGTATAAAGCTTATGAAGCAATTAAACGATCCGAACCAGCTAGGTGGTAAGAGGAGAATAACTTACTCCTCATAAACATGTGGAAACCCCGTCACTAACAGTGTTGTAGAAGTAGAATCTCTGAACCCCGAGCAAAAAGGTATGTGTATATGCAGAGGTGCTCCGTTTTTTCTGGTGCAGCTTGCGTAGATGTGGCTAACTCAAAGTTTCCATGATAGATTGTATGGGTAAACTATCCTTCCCTCAGATCGATAACCGTCAAATCGAAGCACAAACGGCAGAAAATACCTTCGAGTGGATCTGGAAAGCCGATGGAAAGTTCCGCAAGTGGATTGATGGAGCAAAGGGCAACACATTTTATATCACAGGAAAACCAGGCTGTGGAAAATCGGCACTCATGAAAAAAAACCCTAAGTCTACTGCAACGCGATCTGAGTTACAAGAGTTTGGCAGTTGCAAGCCATTTCTTCAATGGTAGAGGAATAGATTTACAAAAGAGTTTGGAAGGCATGCTGCGGACACTCCTCGTGGACATCCTCATATTACACCCCCACCTCTTCGATCATATTGTGAAAGACCACAAGTATCAGAATGATCGACAAGCTTTAACCGCTTGGACGTGGCACACAAACAACCTAAAAAATCATCTTAAAACGATGCTTGCGGATCCTTCGATTTCTCCTATCATATTGTTTATTGATGCGGTGGACGAGTGTTTAGATGAGGATAAAGACGCAATAATCACCCTTTTGGATGATATTGCGGATATTCCAGGTGTCAAGCTCTGCATATCAAGTCGCATTCATCCTGGGGGTCGTAACCCAGATCTGATTCTCGACCGGGAAAATACAGATGATATCGCAGGGTGGGTACGACAGGAGATGAAGAAACTCCAGAGGAAGTACGAATATGACGAGGACGAAATGTATCCAATTACCGAAGCGATTATATCAAACTCTGAGGGCATTTTCTCGTGGGCCGTACTTATTGTCCGAAAAATACAGATAGGCGCGCGCAATAGGGACGAGATCGAAGACTTGCGCAAAATCATCGACGAAACCCCAACAACCATGACTGATCTTATACCGAGGATCTTTGAAAATATATCGAAGTCAAGCGAGGCCCACCTTGAGGAAAGTAGGAGGATCTTCCGCTTCTTATATTTTACCGAGCGGGCCCTGAGCATTTCCGAATTCCGTGATGGTGTGAATTCCGATATACCCCCTCCCTCGGGTGGGAGAACAGTACCGCTCTCTGAGAAGGCTACAATTCAGGCAGATGGGCGATTTGAGCAACGATTAATAGCAAGATCTGGCGGCCTTCTCGAAAGGGGGGTTGGCAGTAACCTCGTGCTCGTAATCCATTACTGCGTCAATGACTTCCTCATGCCCAAGGGATTCGGTGTCCTTGGAGTAGATCTGGCCGGATCTCCAGACCTATATACAGCACAGAGTCACGACTACCTGGCAAGCCTCTGCATTTCATATTTGACGAGAGAGGGTATGGAGGAGCAGGTATCTTTGATTGAGAAAGACATCCCCCCGGAGAGCGAATCCGAAGTGGAAAGGAAAAATTACACACCAGAAGATTGGAAATGGAAATATCCTTTCCTAAATTACGCTACCTCATATTGGTTATACCACGCTCGTGAAGCGCAAAATCTCGGGATTGACCAAACACACAATCTCGCGAGTTTCGATGAGAAGTATTTCAACCTTTGGATTAGAATTGACAACCTTCAAGGTTGCTATCAATCAGATCGATGGATCCCCGGGACATCTAAATTCCACATTGCGGTAGAAAATAACCTACTCGATTATGTCAAGGGGCTTGACCTTACAGAAATGATAGACACCCCCGGCGGAAGGCATGGCAATGCGTTGAGTGCGGCAGTGTTGCTAGGCCATCAGGAGATGCTGGAATACCTCCTTGAGAAAGGGGCGAATACTGAAGTAAGATATCGTTTTACCAACGAAACACCACTTTATCTAGCAGTGAGCTCCTGGAACGAGTCCTTGGTCAAAGCCCTATTGAAGGGCGGTGCCAACCCGAACGCTCAGTGTGATGAAAATTACACGCCGCTACATCTGACCAGCATTAATGGGGACGAGCAAATGGGCAGGCTTCTACTTGATGGGGGAGCTATCATAGATAAAACATGCGATGGACTTGATACTCCTCTTCATTTTGCAAGTAGGCACGGGAATAAGGAATTTGTTCAAATGCTTATCGAAAAGCAAGCCGACATCAACCTCACAAACGCAAAAGGAGACACACCACTCCATGACGCCTGCTACAATGGATATTCTGATATTGTTGGGATCCTCCTCTCCAATAAAGCCAATTGCAATATTGTAAATCTTGACGGAAATACACCTCTTCATTGCGCTTGCATTTCCACCTACGATGAACCGGATCCAGAATATGTCAAGGACCAAGTCCGTGCCGATGCTACCTCAGTCATTCGTACACTTCTCACGCACCCGAATTCGCTTGGTATCAATCCAACATTGAAGAATGGGTCAGGGAAAACTCCATTGGAATTGGCAGACGAAATTGTACGAGCCAGTGCCACGAAAATCTTAAAAGAGACAGCTGTTGGTGACGCGAGCAATTGAAATTTCAGAGTGCCATATATATATACTCTAGGTATGCAATTCTTCATCTTCGGGAGTGTAATTAGTTTAGCTCACTAATTTGCTTTAGTGGAAACTCATAAAACCGAATATTTTGCAGTGGAAAATGTTACATACGTAGTAGTTGACGGCTTGGTGGTATTGAGAAATAAAGACCAATGACGACGGGGTAGGGGGAGAAATTATGTCATGAAGGATGCCACTTTCTTTGAGTTTCTTAGTGCTAAATACACATCTATATATATAAAATATCACAATTCTCTTTAGCCAGCCTTAATACTCCACCCAGTTCCAACACCAGTGGCTGAGTCTCCATAACTACAATCGGGGTAAGAAAGCACCAGGCTCTGGAAGATGGAGATATATTTAGAAAGGACTACGAGTACCACTATCCACGTATCCACTAGTATAAAACCTATCGATATTAAAAAATAATCAACAAGGTTCTGGGTAGACGTGCTCTTCAACACATGATGCAGAATAACACAGTTCACTATGATACACTCTAGTAGCAAACTATCAATGACTATGTCGTTTAGTAGAGTCATTTACTATAAGTGACTTCCTCATTTACTATAAGTGACCAACTCAATTAGTCTAAACCACCTTTGTCACTTATACTAAATGACAATGTCGAGTGTATGAGGTCAGTTAATAAATGACTAGTTGTTTAGAGATATATAAATTTATTTAATTAATGAATTAAACAAAAAAACTCAATTTATTTTATTAATTCAAATGCTACTACTACTACCCCGCTACCTATTAGTAATGGCTATACTAATCAATGGGCTGGATATGACTTACCTTGACACTGGTGATGGTGATGGTGACCCAAGCACTGAACTACGTTAGCAAAAGGGGAGAACATAGGGGAACAGGTGGGAAACGTAGAGGAACAGGAGGGGGAGCAGAGGGGAAAAGGTAAGAACAGATAGGAACAGTTGGGGAACGGAGGGGAATAGATGGGGCACTGATCTAATATGATGAACCTGATGTAAATGAGGGAGAAGGGGATGATGCTGAAGACATTGGTGATAATTATTGTGGAGGTGTTGGTGGTGTTGAGGTGTCCGTGTTGAGGAAGAGGAAGGCCACCCGTGGTGGTTCTTTTATAGCTGGCTGCTGGCTAAATAGTCATTTAGCTGAACAGTGGAAAATTCTGGTGTTAAACTGAGCTCAATTATCTTATCTGCAACTTCTTGACAGTTTAAACGACGAACTGACTTAGCTAAACGACGTAGTCACCTACAGTTGTCCTCTAGAGACAACTACTTAAGTATATGTCCTTTATTGATGGCTGAGCACCGACATCGAAGGGTTAGGGTTCTGCTTCATCTTAGCACACTACCAGGCTTCAGCAACTGTTACGGGCGGGTGTTCCAGTGGATACAAGTAGACTGCTCGTCGGGTTAGACACCGAGTGTACCTAGGATACAACCACATATGTAAGGTCCTGTGTTCAAACCAGGGTGGGGGGGTAGGAGTGCAAATTCATTAATAAGTTGCTGTAGTACCTTTTGTAGTTCTGTAGAACCTTTTGTTCTTTTTCTTCATTTTCTTCTTGTAACGTCGTGATGAAATAAACTAGAAACGCTATTCCATGTTTGATTTCTCTAGAGGCGGAAGGGGCGAGTGGTGGGACTGGGAATCAACCTTTATTACTGACCTTGTACGATTGTCCAGCTTTGTGCTCTCGGTGTGGGGTCAAGCAGATGCCTCTTGAGAACTGTGCCATCTTGCATCATGTGTTATCACAGAGCACGTATACCGAAAACTAATATTTAATACGCTTTGCATAAAGAATAGCTTCATCAATAAGATGTATGGAAAGAGAAGTGTATTTCCAAAAAGAAAAGAATAAATCTCTAGACGAAAGGAACCCTAACCCACCATGTATCATAGATCGCCCCAACCCGGTCCCCGCCCCCAAAAAATTAAAATGAGGAAGCCGGTGCAGCATGTGAAAGTTTCAGGCCAAGACGGCTTTATTTGGCCCCTCTCCTATCAGGACGATTACAAGCTATAAATGCAAACCACACATGACCATGTAGAATATAGAATTCCGCTATTACTAAACTCTTACAGTCCAAGAACCAAGAGCTAAGAAGAAACTAAATCACTAAATCTAGTTTAGCTCTATGTGTCCTACTCCACAAGTACTACCTGATCTGGAGAATAGATCAGAACGAGCTAGATTCGCTATGATTCTCGCTGGTCTGCCATTTTATGTTGCTGATCTCTTCGCCCTCCTTGACTTTGCAAAAAAAGCAAAAAAAGCAAAATCCCCATTTAGGATTCGTACCTATGGTCTCTTTCACACCATTGTCTTTTAATGCACTGTATTTTGCTTAGTTTCTCATACAAACCCCGGTCCTAGACGGAGGGAGAGCGGGCTGGGGTCTTGGGTAGAACAAGCCGAAGGCCTATTATTTACCGCGCGTATTTCACTAAGTACATACACAGTACTAAAAGAACGGGGTAAAATCAATATCATATGAATCCGGGATTTAGGGAAGAATGCCAAATTCACTCGGCACCGATGTAAGAAGCACACCGTGTACGTGTCAGCACTATGATACTAGCTTATTAGCGGGAACACTGTAGCGAATCCACACCGGCACCATCTTAAGCTTTTTATCATTTCTTCACCCATTGATCTTATCTCGTGTCATAAAAATTTCTATTCTCTCTGATATGAGGGGAGCATTGGAAACAAAGGGATAATGAGTGTAGTCAAGACGTCGTTAAATTGAGGCTTGGCGTTGCCAATACTCGAGTGATTTCTCATGACCTCTTAATCATAACATGAAGTCTCACGCACACGTAAGTGCTACTCATGGGCTGTATTCTAGCTCACGTCCAAGTAGTCCTTCATTCACCACATTACTAAGCTTTTTCTGCAGGATGGCATGACGACGACTACATATATCCTCCAGGTTGCATGATACGTAAGTGGGGGGGGGGGGGGGAGAGCCTGATCAATGATCAATACACCGATCTGTAAACATCCTTGCTATCACCTCTCTCAATTCGGGCTTGATCTTCAAATACGTTTTCACGGTGGTGGTGACCATGTATACGGATATCGCTTCATAGCGTCCAGCCTTGCCTGGTATTTCTCGGCGGAGAAGACAGAAATGTTGTCATTTCCGCCTCGTTTGAGTCTTTGTGAGATCTTATGTTAGCCCTGTAATTCGAGCTTAATCTCCTTCAGCTAGCGCTAGTGAAGACTGAAGAGAAGATAACAATCTGTACTGGTGGTAAAGGCGCTGTGAGATTAAGTACCGCGATGTAAGGGAGCATGTGGACTGTCGGGTCATGATGGCCGCTGAATTCAAGGGTGTATTTTTACCTTCGCGAGCTCTACCTAGCTGATGGCATAACTACCTAGCCCCTTTTAGAACCATGTCAGGAATGTCGAATACCAGGATCTGGCCCTTTTTCAGATCCAGAGTCATTCTGTATGACCTTACCGTACCAGCGAACCCTACCTACCACCCCAATCAAGAATTTTCTAACGACAATATCTCTCCGGCTCCTCATATTCCCGGCGGGTGGCAGACAATCTCAACGGCTATGGTGGATTTCAACGGCTAAGACCAATTTCAACGGTTATGGCTGCGGAGATTTAATCTTTGTGGGATGTTGCGTAACCTTCGTATGTTGTTGGGAGCGGTCTAGGTCGATGCAGTGGATCTTGGTCGATGCCATTTGGTGGGTTTGTATATATTGGGGTATAGAAAGTGGAAACACTGCACTGACCCCCTGGGTTACTTGGGTTGATATTGATACCCCTATGATCGGGCAAGCATTCCTATTTGCTGTGTGCCAGTTTCGCCATATGATTGTTAGGAGCGTGATGCTCGCTGATACTCTGTCGGTGACAATTAGTGCTGTGCATATTTGGGTTATCCTAGTCTAACCAAATTGCAAATCTGCAAAGCTGGTAGCCGTGGCCTCTCCGTTTTCGCATTTTTTTTGATACTCGTACTCGTGACTTGTCTTTCCGGTCAGTATTTGACAACGTCTTCCATGCTGTCTGCAGCAATCTTAATTTTTGTCTTTCATACGAAGATCTTTTCTCTTCCGCCCTTGCAATTGTTCCATCCGATTATTCAACACGATATTCTTTCTGCCTCTGAAAAACCGCCACCTTTAGCAAAAGATATTCCCATTGACGCGTGACGTCTCATGATACCACTCATGTAGAGTATTGTACTGGCTCCCATATCTACCACTGTACCACGGTTATCAACCACCCTAGAGTATGTACTTTATCCAGTCTGTACCTACAAGCACAAGCCAATCATCTCCCTCGCCCATACCTGAAACCACAGCCTGCTCGGGACCTCAATCACTCAGCCCGAAGCCAGGCCATTCGGACCTATCGGAACCAACTCAAGCGAGCCGTCCTCACTGTCTTACAGCTGGATGTCAGGGGAGGAGGGGACCTGAGCCCTAACACAAGCTTTGGACTGCATATATTGAGATGTTACACGGGAGGCGTCCCTGGGATTCCGATTATCGAACATGAACACCGTTACATGCCAGCTATGTGTGAATCGACCGGTACCTACTCCAGAGTAGAGTGCTCTGCTCTACTCCCAAGCAAACTACCCAGCTCACCCTCACCAATATGGACGTTATTCCACCCCCGGAACTAATGGAAGCGGACCTCCCTCTTGGAGTGGAGATGTGAGTAGAGTAGAGTGTCTTCTGAATCTTCGATCGATCCCCCTCCCTACCTTCTCCGATATACTCTACCCCCTCGTACTCTATCATCCCCAAATGAAAGCAATCAATTTAGAAATCTGACACTTCCAGCTACTGTACCTACCCTACACTGTGCAGCACTGCAGCCATGCAGGCCAAGCCCCACACCGTGACGTCCAAATGTCTCACCCCCTCAAATAGTAGCGGGAATGGCACCGCCGCGCCGATCGGTCCCCACCTCCCATCCACCACAGTGCTAACAGGAAACTTTATCGGTACCAGAGGAACTCTAGTTTGGGACGCAGAACCGGGCCCGTAGCGAGGAGGCCGGCACGACTACGAGAAGCTCTGAGGGTACCTATATGTACACACCTGCTGAGCTAGAGTGCTTGCACGAGAGGCGGAAAAAAGCAAGCTCTGAAACACATACCATGACAGCCGGGTGCGGCAACGGCGGCGCTGGAATGGGAAGTTAAGCCGAAGGAGGCCAGGGTGTTCAGATCACAGCCTATCACTCGGTTTCCTGTATTTTTTGACGGTGATGCTGGAAGCACTGGTGAACTTGGCCGGCTACTGTGTAGACTTCAATCATCCTTACTGTCCCACTAAAATTTCAGCTGGTATTTGAGCATGTAATCAGTCATTTCGATAAACCCTCGCCCCCAATATGAACACCCCCCCCTACCAGGCCCCTTGGACGTGACTCAATTCCACAATCTAAAGTATGCCACCTTCCTCTTTGCAAGCGGTTCCGGCACCATGGCCAAGATACCTGTCTGCACAACATGCCGGATTTCCAGCAAACCTTAACTCTCCCCCACTCGCTCGTATCGCTCATACCTATCATCACGCGCAAACATCCACAAAAAAAGGAGCGCCTTAATTCTCTCCGCCCACTACCCCAACCTGTCCAGTGAAATGAACAAAAGCAAAGAAGATGGAGAGAAAAAGCACATATAATAACTTACATACCCTTTCCACGTGCGCTGTATGTATCATATATGTGCTCTGTCTTGGTTAGCACTCTATGTATCACCCACAATCACTCGCACCCCCCCCCCCTGGCCATTTCCTCTAACCGACGTACGGCGCCTTACATAACCCACATAACCCCAGACACTGACATGCGCCAACCCTGGCCCTGGGATCGGGGTTTCGGCGAAACCGCTCGGAGGTCGCCGGTCTGGGGAAGGCGAATAGTGTGAAGTTGAAGAACACTCTTTCCGGGCCAGTGGTGCTCATATGGAAGAATGTTAATCCGCTGAATGTGGTTGTGGAGTGTAAACTGAGTGAGGGAGGAAAGTGGAAAAGCTTGTCGGTATCGCCGAATTTGGGTGAGGGAGAGTGTTACGGCCCCCACGGGTAGAGGAGAGGTGTGTCTTAGATTGTCTGCACTGTGTAGGTAGAGTATGAAGGACTTTTTTTTTTCTTTGGGAGAGGAGGTATGAAGCTTTCTCCCGGCGTATTGGGATAGTTGTACTGTACCTAGAGTACGCCCAGTATTAGATTCTTTAGCTGCGCGAGTTGAACGAACGTCGAGCAGGTTGGACAGAAAGTCATTTTAGGAAGAGACTGCAGTCGTTCAACCAATAAGATGTGTAGGACTTTTTGTCGAAGTGCTCGACTTTCTGTCCAGCTCTGGCAGCTAAAATTAAGACTCTATTCTAGAGTACCTACTGAGCTACTGTACCTAGAGCTAGAGTACGTAGAGTATGTAGAGTGCCATGTGGATCATGTGGTGACAGAGGGCCATCTGTAGTTAGGTCCCAGCCCAACCCAGAAGAACGGTGTTCACCTCCGTTGGGTCTTGGTGGACGGACCGGTTATAACGGGTGGTGGAGGAGTAAAACATTAACTAATAGGTACAATGGGTAGGGTACAAACTCAGGTACTACTCGGGGCAGGTAAGAACCTGAAAATGACTTTTGATGGTAACAACCTCTGATTCGCGGCTGGCGAAAAGCTACACCAAATTGAGCACCTGCTTGCAGCTTGCATTTTCAGGTTCTTATTGCCTGCCCCGAGTACATACATGTACCTCCGTATATGGATAGGGAGATCTATCTCCTGAGTTTAAAATCTAGATATTTGCACTTGAGTTGGCACGGCCAGTTAATTAGACGTTGATCACCAAGAAATAACTGACTGAGTGAAGGGGTGAGTGAGGATTGTACCCCAAACAGTAACACGACAGACAGTAGGTACCCTTCCTCGGAGGCTTTCCATTATCGCAAAACACACCCCTCCCCAACCAGAACCCAAGACTGGTTAGTTCTCCCTCCCCCGAACCAGGGAGCGGATAAACGGCCACATATCATAAATCTGGGGGTTGCACGAGATGTCTTTCATGTGTTTCTTGGGTGTTATTTTAGGTCCTAGTTGCTACTAGTACATAGTGTAGATGGATTCGGTAGCTGGTAGGGATTATTAGTATTGTCCCCTCCTGGATCGATTGTCAGCCCTTCGCTTGTCTGGTGTGTAGTGATTACTCTGCAAGCACTCTAGTTTTTTCTTTCCTTTTTTCCTTTCTTTTCTCTTTTTGTTTGACTCGCCCCGATAATCCACGCGTGGGAAAGGGAGGTGCGAGGGTGCGAGGGTGAGAGTGTTTAACTTATCTAACCTCCACCCTCCCCCCGGGAACGCATGCTCGGGAATTGAGCACCGGGTCGCCGGTACGGTACTACCTATCTAACTGTATTTTATTTTACTTACTTCTTTACTTTTACTTGGTTGTACTGTTTCTTGTCCTCTCTTTCTTTCTCCTGAGATTATTAGGAGGGTTTGAGGAAGTCTTTTTAATTCTCCCGATAACCGTTGCCTGTGAGTGAGGGATTGCTGCCTTGAGAGTTTTCTACATATCGTGGGGGTTGCGTGAGGATTTTGGACAGGTGTCACTACAGCAGCAGGAGGCAGTCAGGCAGTCAGTCGAAGAGAAGAAGACAAAGAAGAGGAAGTGTAAGGAGTGTGTGGTCTATCATCCATCATCTATATCTGTCTGTCTATTCCCATTCATTCACTGCATTCGATCACTTACCTCACTCCACCTCACCATCACCATCAATCCACACACCAGCCAGCTAGGCCCTCTCCCACCCATCCCACTGCAGGCCATACTCCCTGTCCCTCTCTCTCCCTCTCTCATACACTCTTTCTCTCTCTCCCTCTCTCTGTCCAATCCCCATCTCTTTGCATTGATTCCCTTTCCCTCTGGCCAGATCCGATAAGCGACACGCCTACCCACCTACCGATCCCAGCAGAGCAGAGCAGAGCAGAGCCATGAAGCCCAAACCCACCCCCCCAAGCGGCAGCAGCAGCCCCCGAAAGCGTCTCTCACCCCCAACCTCGAGCATCCCCTCCCCCAGCACTCAACGGCCCACATTCACCGCGCCGTCATCGCCGAGGCGCCGCAGCTCTGCTGGTGGGCAGATCTCGCGCTCCATCTCTGCCTGCAACCGCTGTCGGTCGCGAAAGACGAAGTGCGACCAGCTGTTTCCGTCCTGTACATCATGCGCCAAAGCCGGTGTCGAGTGTGTGGGTATTGACGCAGCGACGGGGCGGGAGGTCCCGAGGAGCTATGTGGATTGGTTAGAGAAGAGGGTCAAGTTCCTAGAGGGGGAGCTGGGCCTGGTGGACGGTGGGGGCGGGATGGGGATGGGGGCTGGGACGGGCATGGGGGCGGGTGTGGGACTGGGAAAGAGGAAGCTGAGCGCAGAGGGGGACGGCGGCGAGGTGGAGAGGAGGAGGAGGAGCGAGAGCGGGAGGGGGACGGGTACGGGGAGTGCGAGGGGGAGCGTGGTGGAGGGGAACATGATGATGCAGACGGGGGCAGCGACGGAGGACAAGGCGCTACACCTGAGGCCGGACATTGAGAATCTGGTGAGCCAGGTCGGGCTGGTGAGTGTTCAGGGGACGAGCTCGCCGGGCTTTGTGGGGGGCAGCTCTGGAATCTCGTAGGTGACCTTGATTGAAGATATCCTGAGGAAGATAATACTACTTCTTCTTCTTCTTCTTCTTCCCACTCGCTCTATCAAAAAAAACCTTTCGTCCGATCACTGACTGACGGTCAATCACAGCTTTGCCCGCCTTATGTTTGCCGCCGTCAAGTTGAACAACCGCGGAGATAACAATCCGCCGTCGCAGCCGTCAAACAGCGCAACATCGTCCATCAAGTCCGCACCTTCAACGTCGCCCAACGCCACCACCGAGAGCACAACCACCGCCGCCGACTCCGCAACCCCAAACCCCCGCCAGCGCGTTAACCCAGAGCCTTTCCCCCCTCGCCACATCGGAGAGCAGTATATTGACATCTACTTCAATCTAGCGAACCCGCAGACTCCGATTCTACACCGCCCGAGCTTTACACTCACTTTCCAGCGTGCCTATGCATACATTGAGCAGCGCGGAGGTGGTAGCGTTGGTCTGGATCCCCACCACCATAGTGACCCCGCGGAGAGGGAGAATGAGCACCATGCGGACCTCTATTCCCTATTCATGGTCTATGCTATTGCGGCTGCAATGAACAGCAGGAATGACAACCTCCCGGAGCGGTATCACGCCTCAGCGATAGTGCATCTAGACGCGCTCTTCAACTCAATCTCGTACACCAATAACCGCCTTGAAGGTCTCAAAGGAACCCTCCTGCTGGCACTGTACTCTATCATGCGGCCGGCTGCGCCCGGGGTCTGGTATGTGCTGGGCACCGCCCTGCGACTGGCGATTGATCTCGGTCTGCACCAGGAGAACACACCGCGCGCAGAGAGGACCTGGGACCCGCTCACGATCGACGAACGCCGGCGTCTTTGGTGGTCAACATATGCGCTTGACCGCCAGTTGGGGCTCTATCTGGGACGGCCGTTCGGTGTGGCTGATGATGCGATCCGGACTCCGCTGCCGGTGGAGGAGCTGGAGGGTTGGTTAGATCAGGGCGAGGGAGTCCCAGCAAAGGTCAATGGCAAGCGGAGCTGCAGGACGATCTTCATCCATGTCTTCAGAATCCGACAGATCCAGTCGGAGATACAGCAGGTGCTGTACCAGAGTAGCTCTTCGCTGCCACGACGGTTTGCAAATGTCGACGAGTGGCGCAAGGACGTCGAGGACCGGCTGCGGGAGTGGTGCGTGACGGTTCCAAAGACGAACGAGGACACAAACTGTGGGTACAATCTCGGTTTCATAGAGCTGAACTACGAGCAGACCAGGCTTCTCCTGTACGGGTTATGTCCGACGGTCCCGCACCCAAGTGTCTCCGCCTTCGAGACCATCTTCGAGAGCGGCGAGAAGATCATCCGTCTGTATAGCCGCCTCCTGGGCGAGAACTGTATCAACTACACCTGGCTGGCCTGCCATAACCTCTTCATGGCGGGAACATCATATCTCTGCGCCATCTGGCACTGCGCCGAAGTCCGCCGCCAGACAACGATCGACCGGATCGAGCACCACGCACAGGCTACTGTCAATATTCTATCATCAATGATTAGTCGGTGCCCCGCCGCCCAGGGCTGCCGCGACGTCTTCGAGTCCCTCGCAAAAGCCACAATCGACCTCTACAGAACAGAGCTCGCGCGTGAGCGTGAGTCCAGCAAGAGGGTCAAGACCGAGGCAAGCAGCTGGACGCCGCCATACGCCCCGCCACAGAGCCTGCCGGCGAGCCTGGCAAATATCGTGCATGCACACGAGCCATACCCGGTGCCGCAGCAGCAGCAGCAACATATGCCGCCATTACTGCAAGGATATGAGATGATGCCACCGCCGGCGCCGCTACAGGGCGACCAGCAGCAGCAGCAACAGGGAATGTTTATGCCCCAGGAGATGATCGCCGAGTGCATGAATATGGATGGGCTGAGGGTTTTTGAGATGATGCAGCAGATTGGGGGTAGCGGCGAGTGGGATGGAGGTGCGTGGGCAGGGGGCGGGTATGGGAGTGTTGGGGACGCGGGGCTGTTTGTGAGTGGGTGGTCGTGGTTATGATGTCGTTGGCCATGGATGGGGGTGTTTGGGGTTAAAATGTGGGTGTTGGGTTGTGTTCTTTGCTTGAATTGGTTCGGGTTTGCGTTTGTGTCTGTGTCTGCGCCTGCGTTTGCGTTTTTTGTCTCCTTTTCTCCTTGCCTGTTTCCTTTTGTGCGCGTGTGGTTTGGCTCTGTGTGTATTTATCTAGCAGCGTGCGTGTGTGAGTTTTCTTTGTTTTTGAGACAGTGAGGAGTGGAAGGAGTGTAGTTAGCTGGGATATTATAGATAATCTGTGTTAGGGGAACGTACTACGTATACATATAATGTGTAGGGCAGCAGAGGCAGCAGTATCATGGGAAGCAATACCAATCCATATGCGTATATCTATCATTATTCTTGATTAGCTCGTGGATGTGGTTGTTATAATTAATTGTCCCCGTGTTATGATAGCTAGAAGGGGAGTGGAGGATGAAGTGGAAGGGGAGGGGGGGGGGGGTGCTTTCCTCCTCGTGACTCTCATGCTGCTGGGTGGTTTATTGGCGTTGGATGTGGGTGTGTGTGGTAGTGGATAATGCTGTAGCTATCATTGGGTAAAGCTGGTGTACCGTTCCTCCACTCGAGCTGAAGCTTCTCGGGGAGCGGATATGTTGAAGATTATTAATTACTGCGGAGAGGTTAGTTATTGGCTCATATCTTCTAATCTCATGGGGTAGCTGGGGGAGTGGAAGCTTACATCCATATAGGTCTATTGCTCGAGGAGCCCATAAGCTACCTGTATGCACACGCCGAATCCCAGAGAGGACGTTTACAGCCACCACTATATAACATTGTGATCTATCATAGTCCACCGCCCGGCCCGTCTGTAGGGATCTTAAAGTAATCCTGGAGAGAGGCCAGTTATTGGCTCACAACTCCTGACATTAGAGGACAGCTGGACCGGAGGGAGCAGAGGAAGTAATAGGGGATTATCGGGTCTCCGCCGCTCGGATCGTACGGGAGATACTCATATACCTTGACGGTTAATTTTCTAGAGAGCTTATAATTAGCCGCCGTCATTTTATTCCTACAATCAGATCTGCAGAGCTAGAGCTAGAGGACATGTGGATGCATGTCGACCTTTAAATTGGGTTCATTCTCGACTAGCTGCGGCTATCCCGTTTAAAGCTATATATTGAAGCCTCTTTTATAGGGGTGGATAAGTTAGACACTGGGTTGTATGTGCATATGTCACATCTTGTGTGGACGGAGGAGGAGGAATGGGGGTGTGCTCTTATTTTTTGCTGGGATGGAGGACTTACTCGATGGGCATGGCCATGGACATGGACTTACTCGCTTTCCCTACATAGAAGGCCGTTCGGGAAGTTAGCCACTCATTTGAGGTGTATCACATCTTTCAGCAGTCAATAAAGTGAGAGAATGGAGAGATGGACTGTACCATTTCTTGGCTCGTCCTGAAGCTCCTCACTCACTGATGACGATGAGATATTGGTGAAGGTTTTGGTGGATGAGCAGTCTATCTAGTCTATCTATCGTCCTATGATGGAGGGATGGGTCCTGTGATGGAGGGATGGAGAAAAGGCTCGCCGGTAGATATGAGCGGAAGGAATCTGTGGTAGTGATGAATGTTGTGGTGCGGTGACCTTATGGGCAACTGCCACTAGTACCCACCTCGCGGGCTACCACCTTTGTGGCACCTGACTGAATAACGACCTGCTATGGTCACAGTTACATCTACCATGTGTGTGGATGTACATGTATGTTCCCGCCTGGGGAAGTATGTGTGTATGCAGAGGTATGAATGCTTATCTTGCTGGGCTTTGGAAAAGTACATGTAGCTAAACCAGGGTAGATCTAGTACATGTATGTACATGTAGTGTGGGACAGAGACGGGCGGTACCTAGGGGATTGATCGATTTACCATGGTACCATGTGGTGGCTCCGTTTCTCTATGTCTTAAGGGACCACAAGTGATAATAATGAGTCTCGGAATAGTGATCATATTTACCGCGGTCTTTATGGATCTATCGGTCTAGATATTCTATCCATCCCATTTTGAAGGTTTCCCGCAACACATTGAGTCAATAACCCCTTCACATCCAACACCTCTTCACCTTTATCTTCTTAACAGGAATATACACCTCTCACGTTCTACATGCATAAATATAGCCGGACACACCCTCCTTGAGCCGTAACCACCCGAGACAGTCCCACACGTACCTAAAACTGGAAATGGTCTATCTGCCACATATACCCGTAACTCTGCATCTGTTATCACTAGCGAAGTGGCCCACACGTCAAGCACATACAAATACTGTTAGATATATAGACCACAAAGTATACGGCTTACTATTTCCAAATCTCGAAGATGGGTCGGTAGGGTTAGGGTTTTGCAGGCAGGTTAGTGGTGTTGAAGTGGCTGAAGCCAGGCTGGTTGTACCGAGTGCGGCCAAACGGGGAGATAAGAGAATAATCTTGATGGATGAAGAGCATAATTTTAAGGTTGTACGTGAGTGATTTGTGGTATGCGTCGAGTGATATTCCGTGATCAAAAATATCGTTCCATGTATTTCTACCTTGCAGGCTGTCGAGGTATGAGTTTGTGCTCGGCGAGTAGGATATATCTTTTCGCAAAGCTGTTCGAACTTGCTGTTGCTTCTCCAGCGTTTCCTTGTATTCGATGCTGTACACGCCGTGCTTAGGCTTGGTGGCCCAAAAGGAAGACTTTACGTCGCTTGTATGGGGATGCCATAGTTACATGTAATTGCCAAACTGCTGTGTAGGGATGCCACAATTAATTTCCAAACTGAGCGTTTGTTTGATACGGTGTGATCTTAGTCTAACTACTACAGCACCGAACGTTAACACTGTTCAAGACTCAATGCTCGCAGGAGGTGACTTTGGCAATATTACGTTACAGGAGGGCCAACAACCTCCGAACAGGGCCCTAGACAAACCAAAGCATCCCCATGTACCCTCCTAGTCAGCTGTTTATCTCTGGAATTCAAGGTTTTAGCATTCCCAATTAACACATCTCCACAAGGACAAAGCACTGGATACGCTCAGCGAGCTAACAGGGCGATGGATCCGTACAGAGGTGCGGTCCTAGATAACTCTGGACTTGTAGCTGATGAAGTAAGATGTTTGGGACGGTGGGGAGGGGTGGTGAGGTTCCTTCATGATTCTGGCTAGCCATAACTGCAGGGTTAGGGTTGTCAACACCAAGCTAGGGGAACTTCCTTCGTCGCCACCAACATCGACATCGACATCAACACATCAACATCAAGGCACAAGTGCCATCTCGAGGTCACTTAGTGTTGGAAGCTCTATCGCGTAAGTTGTTCCTCCCCCAGATTCTAATTGGGACATAGGCTTCTAACGCAATTGAGATCAGTGTTCGCCAGTAGGAGATGCAAGGTAATGTTGAGAGTTCAAGATGAAGCTTTTGATGATGAATAAATGCAGAATTACAACGAAGCATAACCCAAATACAACACGCACATAGGAGACTTTTACTATCATACAGTGGAAGCCAGAAGGAACTGCGAAAGGGAAGAAGCGAAAACGACACAAAACTCAGGACTCCAGCCAATCACAATATATCTCTCCAGTACTTCAGCAGCCGTCCCTGACGTCAGCCAGACTCCCCAAAACATCAACGACAAACTCGCCCCCCCTGCGGATGAACTCATTAAACTCCTTTCTCCTGCTTAGCTCTGCGATCCTGCACACGACCTTCCCCACCACAAATGTCCTCAATACCGTCTCCTCTTTCTCTCCATCAAAGACAGCCCCCACCATCTCTTCCACAAGCCTCGTCAACTTCTCCCCCGCCGCCTCCTCAAACAACAAAGTCAACTTCTCCAGCGCAAGCTTTGCCAACCCTGGAATCCCGACACAGGGCGCCTCGGCAAACCTCCACACTGCAATATGCGCCCTCAAGCACGCCACATCGTATGGCACTACCTCCACCGGCGTCTTCTGCTCCTCGAGTTTCTTCGACGCTCCCTTCAGCGACAGAACTGGTTCGTAAGCCTGGAACACTGGCGATGCCGGTGGTGACGGCAGCAGTGTATGCGCCGCCTCCTTCTTGCCCTCAAAGCCCTCACCACTGGTTACAAGCTGCACCTTCTTCCTCTTATCCTCGGCTGGGAAGTATATCGACGTGTAGGTGCTTGTGTTCTCGGCTACGTCAAAGCGCGGCGCCGCTTTCCCCCATATACCTATCGATCCCGCCATCGCGGCAGCAAGCAGTGGCGAGTTCTGTGGGAGGTGCGCGGCGGGTCGCGTTGTCTCGAGGAGCGTCGCTTTGTCTTCTTCCTCCTCCTGGGCGGCATCCTGAGCGGGCAGGGCGTAGTCGCCGGTGTAGAGGTACTCGAGGGCCTGCTCGACGGTGGGGACGGAGACGGTTGACTGGTCGAGAAGAATATAAGCGCTGCGGGTGCGCTGGGATTTTAGGAGGGCGGTTTGCGACGCGAGAAGGGAGCGGTGGATGGTGTATGTTTTATCCTCGGTGGTGGTGGGGAGAATGAGGCGGATTGTTGGGGAGGAGAGGAAGCTGTGAGTGTGTCAGTGGTGATGTTGGGAATGATCAGAGAGACAGATGAGTATCATACCTGGCGAACGAAGCAGCGGCCATTTTTGCGGTAGTGTTGTAGTCTATTCTCTATTCCGAATAAAGCAATTAACTCAATTGGCAGGATGAGATGCTAACAATGTCGCAGCTCTAAACAATGAAAGGTCTCGTTGTATGGGTCTAAATGTCCTCAGCTCATCCCCGCATCTCGTGAAAAGCGCACAGGAGCGCGACGAACCCTTCCTTTATCAAGGACCTCCCATTGCGCCGGTCCCCACCACACATCTCCATGGTTCCTTTTTGCCCCCCTCCACCCCCCACTGCGTCAAATAAAGTGCAGCCACGATCACGTCAATTCACGTGCCCCCCGCAAAAAAAAAAAAAGCGCGGCGCGTACCGTACCGTGTGTAACAAAAAGCAATATGGCAAAAATTTTCACTCTGGATCTCCGGGCTTTGTCATAAGCTTATTAGACCACTTATTGCGCTCCGATTTGGTGATGATGGGCGCGGAATGGTCAAAATGTGCCGTGCCTACACCCATGGGGCAGTGGTAAGATTCCAATTGGGCATTGAGCATTTTACCAGATCGAACCCTTCGCTACATCCTCTACCTCATGCGGTGTATGGTGACGAGAACCGAAAACGAAGTAGTAGTACATATGCCAGATCGCAATTAGGTGTCCTTACAACAGCACTCAAATTGGAAGCCAATGATCATTCTGCTGATTTCTCTACTCTAGAGTCCCTAGATCGGTGGATTTGAAAGAAGGCCACGATGTAATTACAGGAGCATATGGTGTGATCTCTGTCCCGCAAAGAGCGGGCGTAATTAAGCGCCTGAGGCTCTTATTTACAATTGGACTGGGGCTGGGCTGTCTTGCGCGCCTTGGGTTACCATACCATTCTTTCAGCTCGAGAAAACCTACATACATCCTTAGACAGAGGGAGAGTTGAGATGGCAATCAATTGATGGAAACAAAATTAGGAAAAAAGAACAAACAACCCGCAATAGAACACTCCTCCGGTCAAAGACGCTCCTTTCAACTCGGTGAACCATACCCCGCTACCACAACCTACCCCACTTTTCTGCCCGGGTACACAGGCAGAGTGAGACTGTGAGGCTTAACTAACTGTGGCGTCCATGCATGTGGGCTGGTGCATTCATACCGTGAAACATTTTGAGCAAGAAACAATTCCCAAAAATCAGTGATACAGTAGAAACAGTACCCCCAACCCAGTGGAAATGATAGCCTACCAGGTTCTTGAGTATATTTATCACTTAGTGCAGTAGAATGATTTATAATAGTGCCGTGCAACCCTAACCCTTACTCGACCCTCTGCCAAGACTCATCTCGCTTACTTGTACATATGTAGCTTACCCCTAACCCTGTTTCATATAATGTAAACCCTAGCCCTGATCCCCGGGTCTTGTTGTATTCATATTACCTCCACAGCGCACAAACCTCAAAGTTCTTAAAGCTGCTATGTTCCCAGACCTCATTGCTTTATGTGAATTAATGGATAATCGGTTTGTAGCTCTGGACCGCAAAGCCCCATCGATGCATTCATCTGGGTCCAGCGTGCAAAAGCACAAAGCGGGACCCATACTATGACACGACCCAGTCTCACAGACAGCAAGCATCTCATATTCCCTCCAAGATCCCATTATGATATCCACCTGCTAAAGCTGTCGTAGAGTGAGGCTCATGATCTCCCCGTGGCTGCATATGCAGGGTTCTCGGCTCCGGTCCGGAAGCGGTTGTCTGCAGGGACTAGGGAGTTTTCTTGTGGGGCGCGCCAAGCCGGAGACGATTTTAGTTTTTGGGGCCAACGATACAAGTACATGTAGTTTTTCTCTAAAGAAGTGTATGTATGTATATAAGGTATCTAGTCTTCAATTCATTAACAAAAAAAAAAAGAAGAAAAAATCCCAGCCAGGTATCTCTAGAGTAATGACGATAAGTCAGTAACTAACTAAATACAAAAATAAAAGCCTCCCAGCCCAGCAACCCAGCCAACAAAAGAAAAAAATCAGAGCACAAAAAATACAAGTCCGTTATTAATTAGCAACTAGCTACTTATCAATTAGATATTATTTTATTATCATTACGGCGCTGACGCCTTCTTGGCCCAATACTGGTCGAGTGCGTTTTCGATACCGTCTGCGTCTGTGTAGGCGTTCAAGCTTGAAAAGAACTCTAGTGCGCTGTTGGCCTCGGCGACGGTGAAGCCGTTGTAGGGTTTTGCGCGGAAACGGGGCTCCATGGGGTCGATGAAGCGGGTGGTTTCGGGGTAGTTAAAGTCGGAGAGGGCGGTGACATTGAAGGCGCCCATCTGCGGTGTGTTAGTCTATAACTACAGAGATGATTTGGATATGAGAAAGGGGAAATACCATGTCGTGATCTTCATGAACGAGGTTGTGGCAATGGAACATGTAGACACCATCCCATGGCTATTACCAGCGTTAGCGTTTTCCCAGCACAGAAAATTCCTGTAAAGGACAACTTACAGCGTATTTCGCCAACACAGTCACCGCCTCGTTATTCCCCAGTACAATCACATCCTTCAGCGCTGCCGCCTCATACGGCGTGACCTCTGTTCGCCCAAATGCACTGTTCTGCGTCGCCTTCCGTCGGGACAAGATTTGGAAGTCAACGAGATGGATATGCACCGGATGCGACCACCCGCCACCGCCCTGTAGTCGCCACATCTCTGTTGTTCCTCTCGGTACGTTCCTCAGGATCCCTAAATACTGCATTAGCATATGTGTCCTCTTCTATGAAGTGAGATTTAGTGACATACGATTCTTGACATTTGAGAACGTAACAGAGTTAATCGTCCAGTCCCCCCTGACCCTTCCAAAGACAAAATTTTGATCCAGTTGCGTCTTCGGTGCCGGCAAATCCAAGTCAACAAGCTTGTCAGGCAGCGGGCCATTACCAACCTCGGAGGTTACAGCATTCCCGACGCGGAACTGCATGACCTTGTCGTAGCCGGCATAGTTAGTGTCAATAAAGCAATTGCTCTGCTTCAACGTCATGTTTTGTCCCGCGAGGTTTGCAAAATCGATTACGATCTACGTGACGTGTCAGTATGGTATGAAATAACGAGTGATGACCCATGTATCGGCCCGGGGTGGAGATACACACCTCCCATCTCTCAGCCATAGCAACGACCAACGACTCCGTCTCGACAGACTTCGACATAAACCCGGAATCACTTCCCACCACATGGAACTTCTTATTCTCCCTCGTCGCGTCCACATTGAGCGTCAGATTAAACGTCCTGCTCGCCGCGGCGTTCAGCACGCGGAATCGGTATTTCCGCGGCTCAACAACAAAATGGGGGAGGATCTGGCCATTGACGGACGGGGTATCACCATAGGTGCTAATTGTCTCGGCACTCTCGTTGGTGATGTTGCCCGTGGAGGTGTAGCGTTTGGAGTTAAGCATGAGCGGGATGTCATAAGATCCCCGTGGAAGGTCGAGGCTGGCCTCGAGTGCAGCGTCCTCAAGGATGTAGAAGCCGGCTTGGCCGGAGTAGGCATTGAGTGCGGTGATGCCCATTGCATGGTCCTAGAGGGGGGAGCTGCAATGAGCATATGGGGAGAGCATAGTCGGTGTAAAAGGACTTACATGGTACCATAGAGTCCTGGCAGACTGGGTATTGGGGTAGTAGTAATCTTTATACTGCCCAGGCAAAATCGTGTCCTCGGCCCACCCGTCAAATGCTACATCGCAGCGCCCGTCAGTGACTGTCTCTCGCACATACATGCCAAATGTGAGGAAAACTTACGAGCCCGACTATAGGAGCCGTGTAGATGAATAGCCGATCTACGGTAGTACTCGTTCACAAAACGGATCACCGTTTCCCTCCCTTTTGGAACACGAAAGGTCGGCCCGGGGATTTGCCCGTCGTAGCCTATGAGAGTGGCATCACCAAGATCAGGGAAGAGGTTCTTGGTAGTCTCTTTGATCTTGATTTCATAAAAGTCCACTTGCACACCAGTTTTGGGGTTTGTGTAGGTGCTAGATAGTAGTGGTGGTAATGTTAGTTTTTTCTTTTTTCTTTCTTTTTTTGACCTCAATTTATATGGATAGAGAGAAATATAGAAAAGGAGATGGGGAATTTACTTACGTCAATGGCTGTTTGACGGGCATGATGGGAAGTGGAAACTCAAAGTCATGATTGTAGGACGGACTCTCCCGCAGTGTAATGGGTATAATCTGAGCATTTGCAAGCAGCGGGAGGAGGGCAACCAGAGAGGCAGCAATTTTTCTCAGCGAGCAGACGGCCATCTTGACTTCTCAGAGGCACTGCTATCTCTATGCAAGAACGAAACGGACGAAGAACGAACGAAGGAGTGCTGCCTGACGTTGCTGGTATTGCTGATCTGATGAGGTGGAAAATAGAAAGGGATACAATGGGTCCCTTTATATGTCTCCACTCATGCATGCACCCACCTAGCTCGTTCCTTCACGGACGGACAAGATGCACCCTTCAGGTTGGCCGGCTAGGTGGGGGAGTTAATGGCAAGTGCACGGGTGGGATCGAGAGCTATGGCCAGTCGGTACTCTTCCCCGTGCGTCATATCGTTCGAGCTAGATCTGTTGTTCTTTTCGGAGGAAATAATACGAATCCATATTGGCCCTGCGTTGTGCACGAGTGTACCGGATGGGTGGGTGGGAGTGGTGGGGCTATCCCGCTTCTGGCCTAACCACCAAGCTTTGCCCACTCCACACTAGCAATTAGTAGCAATAAGGAAGATAAACACTAGCTAACTGGGGCACGATGACCTACGGTTTTTCGCTTGATGTTCTCGAAGGAGTATCTGTTCTTACCTTGGGGGAAAGGCATTGGGGCGAGGCAAATTGAGCACCGCACTGTTGGTGCTGAAGGCAGGAATGTTTATGATCTAGAGCTTAAGCTAGGCTAAATTGAACTACTCTACTTAGGGATATTGCTGTCATGTCAGCTGAACTGGAATGTAAGAAGATGAGATGGCCCTGATCATTGGCTTGTTGCTCCAATGTTGAAGAGAAACCCACTCTCCAGCCAATACACCTCTCAATCTCAGTCTGCAGGAGTGAAATTGGCAGCAGATGCAAGGGCAGTGCCGTCGGTCTGAAAGTAGAACTGTACCTATCTCTCACTCCCACAGTACTCCACATAAAACCATCACCGCCACGGCGGCAGTTCACTGCACTGACGGACTGAATGACAAGAAAGAGAAGAAAGAGGTTGTTGGTCGTCTCGATTACCGTTGCACATGTAATCAGTCCGGATCGAGACGGTCTTCCCATCCATTGCTATTTCTGGCACCCCACATTCGGCGACCCAGCACGTTTGTGGAATCGTGGCACAACGAACCTTTCCAGAACAGGGCACTGGGTTGTCCAGATTTGCAATTGAGTTTTTTTCCCTTCGTATCTGCTGTACCTACATACATGTTCCAGGAGCACTCTTCTCCAGCACACTATATTTACTCTAATTTATTGTCTGCAGGTCTGCAGTGGCCGGCGGGCTGCAGAGACGTGGATAAGCATAAACCAGCGCCTTTGCTCGCACCCGGGATTTGGTGCATGCGTGGGAAAGATCCTGGCTGTTGGTGTTACAGAGGGTACTCGCTTAGTTAGTAATGGTAAGTGTCACCCTTCGTATCATCGAATGATCGACACTTTCCTAGTTTTAAGCTCTGCACTTTTGTCCGCTAATACTCCTATGCCGTGTTGATACTCGTAGATTCGTCACGTTTCCGGGCACGGCCAATGTTGCATGACATACAAAAAGGTGGATTTGGCGCTTTTTTGTATGGCATGCAATAGCAGTCGTGTTCGGAAACGTCATGAACCTACGAGTAGATTTCGTAGGACACGAAAATACCGCACACGCCGTCATGGACGCATATTTGTGCACATTCCAAGAGTCGGTGAACACTACAACAACTAGAGTACAGTCAAGTACAGGAATAGCTCCCATAGATCATTCGAAGCTTGGGTAGCAATAAGCTTTCTTCTCATCATGTGTCTAATTAACTATCCAACTATTATAATTATGACCGCCTGAGTTCCCTCTGCTTTGCATTTGCATACCCGGAATAAACTCATTTAGCGGTTGAAGGATTATCGAATACGATAGCATGGTTCGATATAATTCCGAATCTCTGTCGCAACGAAGGACTAAACCAACAGGTGATCAACCACAACGTAATAGAATCGCCACTGCAGGTTCCAGAGATCTGGTTCTCCCGTTTATTTCCCGGGCGAGTTCTTAGCATTTTATAATACGGATTGGCGCTCTTCATTTGTAGACCAAGTACTGTATGTACTTTCGCTTTGAAAGCCGAGGCAAACTAGCTGGTGGCTCAAACAGTCTTCGATCAGGATCTCGTATTACGGAAGAAAACCGAGACTTTCCAGCTATGTACGTATCATAGCACCTACGTGCCAGTATGGTTTAGTACCGCCCGAAACCTGTATTGTCGGGTATCAAAAATAACCGATCACTGGCACTCATAGCAACCAAAACCGACCTGCGAAGAAACCTCACATCGAGACTTTCGAGGTCAGAAGAGTAATTCCATTCCCCTCAAGCACCTAACTCCGTTTAGGAGACTTAAAATTACTTAATTGCTCTCCTGGTTGTTGAGTTATTCTGACCTGAAGTGATTTCGACGTTGTCGTGAGGTGATCGGTTATTTTTGATACCCGATAATACCTACTGTAAAGTACATACCATCGCTCATGCATGCGACCTCTAAAGATGAGCACCGCCAGGGAAGAGAACCAATGATTTATTCTCCTCCCTGAGACCGAGGTCTGGATAAGGTGCGGCGCCGCCGCTGCACGTGCTGCTATTGATAGCACAGCAGGAAGCTATGGGCGTATCGGATCGTTTATCTGTTTCTGTACGGTCATTGGAAGGTCAGATCTGGAACGTGGGCCTTGGTGCTCGTGAGGGAGCAACGGTTTGGTACTCACAGTACTGCATGCACAGTAACTAATGTATATTTAAGGCATATGGGGTAGTCGTTTATGATAAACAGGTAGAGCCACCTGCCTTGATCTTCATCTACTTGCGCAAAAGGCTACCGACGCCAGGGACCAAAGTATTGGGCACGAGGTACTTGATGCATGCTACTTTATGTAAACGGCTCTCGTATAACAATCGTATGTGGTCGTAAACTGTAATTAATGCTTGGCTCAAATCGATCGTGATTTCCAAGATGGAGCCTTGGGGCCAATGAGATCCTGTAGTATTCGTCTTTGCAAGAATTGATCTCTTGATATCGAAACATCCTTTTGTGCGAAGCTCGAGTCCCACGTGTCACGATCGACGTTGGGCACACATCGCTTGATAGGTCTAGGTAGCGATTCGGAGATAAATAGGCCGTGCCGGGTTGAGTTTTGTGTTCTTGGTGACATAATGAAAATAGAAACTTCAGATTAACATTTCCCAAATTCTATCTTTAACTTATCGATATTATACCCCTTTGAGACCATCTAATGATAAAGCTCTAGCTCTATAGGTGCCTACAAAAGGCATAAAAGTCATTTAGTACATAGTAGTAGAATTAAAACTACAAGTAGGACCGAATCCTTGAAGCAATTATCTTGCCTTCGCCTGGGTAGACAGTCAGACCCAATCGAATCATCACTGTAACACACTTCACTTGGAAATTGGTCCCACGGCATCATATTGGCGAGAAAACACGAGGTTCTGGCATTCTCTAGGCAGCCCCGGAAGCTGACGGACTCAATGCGTGATAGTCTTGTACTCCCTCAGGTTTACAGGTTTACGGCTTTTAATCTTTTACGCATGCGCTAGCACTCGGGATATTGCCAAGAAACTGGCATCCCATGCAAATTCAGTGCGTTTTATCAGGTTATTATGCGCATAGGTACATTCCTCCTTGTTATCTGGCGCCTTGCCGTGCTAGCATGGAGCTCTTAGCCTTTGAAGAGCAGTCGGCAAAGAGCGGCACTCCCGGCACTGCCCGCAAGTAAGGGAAAGTGATGAAGATGAGCCATCTTGATAAGAGAATGCTGGCAAGAGTGATGTATTCCTAGCTAGGAGAGTCGATGATATGAAACTGATAAGGAGATTGACTTTTTTGGTCGGCTCGACCGGTCTAGTTGGTAATGCCTTGTAGGTCGCGGTTAGAGACTCCTGCAGGCGTGTCACTGGGTCAACAGGAGGGTGAGGGCTAGGAGGATATCTCTGTTGATAAGGCTGCGCTGTTGATGGGTATGGCTGATTTGTCATGGTGGTGTGTGGATATGAAAAAGGGAAGCCAGTCAGTGAGGGTCTGGTTTGGCGAGGTGATAAAAATCTTCGCTGGCAAAATTAAAAGTTTAGCAAAGAGAACGAAAAATCAAGGACAAATATTAAAATAATTTAAAGTTAGGTACGTACGATGAAATGTTTCCAATGCCATTATTCCCCTAATCATACCTTTATGAACCCAAGTAATATCGAGAAAAGGCGATGTCAATCAATGGCAAGTAACCGTAGTAGAATATGTACCTTACCGTCGAAACGCATACAATTTTGAGCCTTATTCAGTCGGCTTATCCAGATCGTAGGCTCATAATAGCCTTATGAATCCAATAAGGTTCAAATAAGTATTATTTAAGCATGTTTTAAGGATGAAATAAGGCTTAAAAAAGGATTTTTGTACTGATAAAGCTATTGTGAGTCTACGTTCTGGATAAGCCGACTGAATAAGGCTCAAAATTGTATGCGTTTCGACGGTAAGGTACCATTATTACTATTATATTTTGGGATTAGTACATGTAGTCAGTCCCCTAACCCTGGCAGTTTGTAGGGATCTTTGCCAAGCCGAATATTGTGTTCGCCAAGAACAACCTATATTGGGATTTACATAATAATTGGACCACATAGTAGAAGCAGGTGAATCCATGCCGTCGACTATCATGCAACTTTCTGTAGCTCTATTCGTGAGTCACTTCAGTAGACTCACCGGAGTTCTACCCAACACATACATGTACCCATGGTCCAAGGATTTCTTTGTAGGTACAGTGACTCATGACTTTAAATTGCAGATCCAATCGAAAAAAGCCAGGGCCTAAGAACTTAGGCTCAATGGAGTTGATCAATTGAAGCTTTCATGCTGGCGTTTCAGCATCGTTTGTTCAGAAGAATACATGTATTCACATATATATAACTATATACATAAATACCCACGAACTTCAATCCTTCAAATCTTGAATAAAGACTCTTTCGCTTGAACTAATTTCACAGTACTACGTAGATACATGTAGTGGAATGAAGAATCCAAAATCTGGTACCGACATGTATTCTGATTCATAGTGTATGCGTATCAGCGGCGTGGAATTAATGATCTAGGTGCCTAGCTTGGCGCCATGACTCAACTCAGCACAATTGCAACCTCCTCCTTGTTCATTAAGCAGCTCATTTTAGGGTACTATGAAGATACCCCTCATTTCGTGCGTTCGAAAGCCATTTAAAGATCTCTCCAAAGCCATTCTTTTTTCTCTTATCCATCAAAGTTATCTCTCGACCATCAGTCCCCATGTCTTCTGCCTTCACCGAAACTCTTCACGCAATTACCTCCACTAAACTTGAGGTCCTCTCGCAACAGCATGCAGACTTCACATCTCATAGAGAAAGAGTCTTATCATCTGTCGCTGCCACCACCGATCCCTGCGAGAGAGTCCGTTTGCTCCTCGATGCCTTGAAGTCCTGGCGTACCTCCGACAACTCAACTGAGGCGGGTGGCACAAGCCCCTCCAAGTCTCCCTATCTCACAAACATTGAGTATTTCCTGAAGCAAGCAGAAAATGATCCCGGTATTGGAGGCTCTAGTCTGAGCGAGTGGGAGAGGAAGTTGACAAAGAGTCTGGAAACGGAATCGGTCAAGTTTGAGTATGCGGAACTCTTCGGAAAGCTTCTGACTGAGTGGGTCGGAAGTCCGTCAAACCAAGAGGGTAAGTCTAAGAAAGTAGACGAACCTGATAGCGAAGTCAGCTCTTCAAGTAAAAAGTTCGAGAAGGTAGGGAGGAAGACATTACACGAGGAGCGTGCAAAGTTCGAGGCCTACGTCGTAACCCCGAATGAAACCGATCCCGTATCTATCGAAGCATATCTCGAGGAGCTGTTTTCGCTGTCCAAAGAGGCTAAAAACCAACTCGAGCTGGTAAGAAAGAGAATAGCAACGTTTGGCGAGTGGTTTCTCCGCTCTAAGTTTACTGTGGAAGAGCTGGAATGGACCATTAAGTCGTTGCTATCCAAAGACCTACTCTCGAACCAGAAACGTTCAACACTCAAGGAGTTTATGCTCAATAAAGTAGTCCTTAAAGAAGTTGCTGATGTCTTGAACATGCACTTGTCCTCTCTTGCGTCCTGGTCCTGGCCTGCAGGTGGTGTCACAATAGAGATGAGGAGATATCTAAATGGGAAGTATCGGAACTTTATGGAAGAAGAGCTCCTGCAGGCTATTTTCTTGCATTATCTGGGGACAAAATGGTCCATCGAATTCAAAGGAGCTTTCCGCCAAATAATCATCAATCCACGTGTTTGGAAACCATCATCCACACCAATACCAAAGGTCGACCTCGAGAGGCGTGTATTCTTCCTTGGTGAGGTCACAGATGACAGTGGATGGAGTCCGCCGGTGCCGCAAACTATTGTAACTTCGAGAAAGACGGTGCAGCAAGAGCAATTTTTTATGGGACAGCTCCCAGACTCGATGGAAACTAGCGGTAATCCCACATACGACTCGGACGTCGTAAACTCAGATACAATCCCAAAGCCCACTCCGATGACTGTGAAGCAGACAATGCTTCGCATCATGGCTACTGAGTGTATCTTAAATAACACCTTGTACGGCAGTTTTACCGTTCTTGGCTCAGACCTCTTCTCGTTTGGCTCGAGTCTTTCGCATTCATCCCTCATCACGGTTCTTAAGTTTTTCGGTATATCTGGAACCTGGCTTAGGTTCTTTGAGAAGTTCCTTGCATCTCCACTCAAACTCATCATGGACGAGCCTCCTCAGATGCGCAGACGTGGAGTCCCCATGGCTCATAGTCTGAGCGATTGCCTTGGTGAAGTGCTTTTATTTTGCATGGACTACGCCGTAAATCAACGGGCCAATGGATTATTTTTATATCGCCAGTTTGACGATCTGTGGCTCTGGGATAGTGACCCCGAACGTTGTGCTACAGCTTGGAAAGAAATGCAAAAGTTTGCAAGAATTCTGGGCTTGGAATTCAACAGCCACAAAACAGGTTCTGCTTCTGTTGGGCGGCCTCTACATCCAGATCTTCCTCGAGGGCCGATTAAGCATGGGTTCTTGAAGTTTGAGCCTTCTGGTAATTTTGTGATTGACCAAGAGCAGATTGACACCCACATTGCCGAGCTCCGATACCAACTTCAAGCGTGTAACAGCTCAGTCCTTGCCTGGGTTCAAGTCTACAATAAATACGTATCATCCTATTTCACCACCAATTTCGGGACCCCAGCGAACTGTTACGGCAAGAAACACATAGACATGGTTCTCAAGGCTTTGAGGGAGATCCACCGTCAACTATTTCCGTTGCACAATGGTTCTGTGACCGCCTACCTTGCTGCTATCATCAAAGAAAGGTTCTCGGTCAATGACATTCCAGATGGTTGGTACTACTGGCCCCTTTCTATGGGAGGGCTAGAAGTCAAAAACCCATTCATCCCACTATACATCATGCGAGAGCACATCAATGATGACCCCGCAAATGCGTTCTCGAAGGTGATAGAGAAAGATGAGGAGACGTATGCGAGATGCAAGGAAAGCTGGGAAGATGGAACAAGCGCGGTACTAGGCGGCCCTGCGCACCCGACCTGGGCGAACGAAGGGTTTATTTCGTTTGAGGAATTTACAAGGTACCGTCAAGAGAAATCCGGGGATTGGGCAAATGTCTATCAAAACCTTTTGGGGGAGCCATTTGACTGCCGCGTCGAGACGACTACCGAGATCGAAGCAGCATTAAAACGAGTCTCGAACGAGGCTGGAGGGCTAGTACCTAAGCGTGTAACCGCTGAAAACACACAAGGGGGACGTGGTGGCCGGGGTGGTTTTAGAGGTCGAATTTTCATGAGGGGCCGAGGAGGCCGAGGCGGATACAGCGGCGGTCATAACGACCCCGAGCCAGCACAAAACACACAAGTTAATTGGAATGAGATGACTGTCTACTGGCAGTGGGTTGTGGCCTGTTTTGGGGAAGGAATGATTGCAAAGTGGGGTGGCCTTGAGGTGGTGAGGCCCGGAAGTCTACCAGTGGGAATGGTTGAAGCCTGGAAGAGCAAGAGGATGAGATGGGATCCTTAGGTATTTTATCTGGCTACTTTGAAGAAAGGTTTGGTATCAATACATTGTATTTTAAACCTGGTTTTTCCATCAAAACCTACGATATCTTAAGTTCTTGGTTCATAGTCAATTTATCTCTTTATGTCATAATGGTATGAGATGCTTCCTAAGATGTACTTAAGATATTAGACCGTGAGGGTGTCAATTATGTATTTGTCATGCACCACGTAACTTATATCGATCATCATGATAAGGATAGACCTGATATCTGCAGCTCGGGTAAGCCACAAGAGATGCTTGTCTTCCAACATTTCATCAGATTTTATCTCTGCCTCACAATACTATTCACATAGAAAATACCTGAGATAACTAAAGTCTCGGTGGCCATGAAAAGCCACAAAGAGCTCAGCGCGGTAATCTCACTATCACAGATATTGAGTCGAGATCCGACCATCGGAGCTGTACTTTGGGCGCCATCTGAGTACATTTAGGTACTAAGCAGCTAAGCTGACGGCAGAGTACTATTAAAGATCCGGCCGAGTCGGCGATCATTATTTTCACTTATCGAGGCCTGGGGTCTCTAAAGAGCCTGAGAAAAGGGAGAAGCGCTTTCATGCTTCTTGCTGCGCCGGTGAATTGCACTTGCTTAGCCATAGGGCACTTATATGCTTTACCGCCTCTCTCGCCTCTCGTAATCATTTATGCCGTCAATCAAGCTCGACAAAATCGCGAGAAAATCAATTTTACGTGGCAACTCTGGTAATAGTAAAAGACTTTTCAGTTGAAGGTTTAAGTGTCCTGGACCTGCAATTGCTTTTATGAACAACGAGGGAACCGAGTAATTGACGCTTGCCCTAAGCAGGGATCTTGCTGTCGATCAGTTGAGTATTTCCGAGTGATATTTCATGCATACGTTCCAAACACTATTTCCCCTAGCAAAAACCGCCATTAACGGGGAAACATTTTTTTCGGGTAACCGACATAATAGTTATAATTAAGTCAATTATTCCTAGATCTTGAGCTTCTGTAGTGCGTTATCTTTCGTTTAGTGTAGTAGCGTGTGTGATATTGCATGTGAATGAATGTAGTATACGTATTAATGTGTTCGCTATACGTATACACAGTCGTTTGCAGATATGATTCGGGGGGTCTTAGATCAGAAACGATAGAGAGCTAAAGTCACGCTTTTCGTATTACATCTTTTCGCAGTTCGTCCATCGAAGCTGATATGCACATAAGCAACTGCCCAAATGTCCAATGACCAACTTTCATAGCTAGAAGACCTTCCAGTGGCCATGAAAACATGCACGCCCCTTACAAGGCTGTGGGTGTCTCTGTAGAGACTACGGCTGTAGAAAATTTGAACAAAGATCTCGTGACACGAGAACTCTATATCATGTCTGGCTCTGACTATCAAAATATTAAGGCGAACTCCCTTTTCAACTTTACTCTAGGTCACTCCTGCATAGAATTGTGTCTTTACAATGTAAGCAATTGAATCGGGAAACATACCCAATTACTGTTTGTAAATGAGACTAGATTGTATGAATCATGAAAGAATTTTGTCGATGTCTGATATACTATATTTGGGCCATTAGAGCTAGGGAATGTGTAATATCAATTTGTAAAGGCAGAGCGAAATGTGCTCAATGACTGGTTTCCAGGAGCTAGACGTCCCCTATTAATGGCTCATTTCATTCATTGAACAAATCAGTTCAACGAGTAATGCGCCAATTGATACGTTCACATGCCTAAATTTATCAAGTGAAAATTGTAAATAAGCATCTGTAGCCTTCTAGATCTCTTCAACAACTGTTGTAGTCTCATGGTCATCAATCCCGAGAAATAAACTCGATTCTTGTTAACCATAAGAAGTCCATCGTCTAAAACTAAGACAATATAGATGCGCTGCGCCAATCATCCAGATATGCATGCCGATTTCACATGTTGCAGAAATCTCAGCTCTAGTGCAGTATTCAATCGATTTCCAATTCTGGGGCTAGCTCGAGTAGATGGTGATTTATCCTTTGATGTAATTAAACATTTTTTGTGAATTCCTGCGGCCAATTCAACGGAATTTTATGGCTACAAAGTACATTTGTAGTCAATTCTTGCACTGTCATTAGTTACATTATCCATCCTATGCCATAAAGAGGGATTTCTTGAGAACCCAGTCCTGTGGACGTTCATTTGCGGAGGTGGCGGTTTCTGAGTCGAAACACTCCCTCGCCCTATTTTCTCTATTAAAAGTCATGTGATTGATGAAGAATTCGCAGACTGTAATCTCTCTTGGCCGCTAGCTGTGGTGACTCATATGAAGTGAGCGAATTTTTATGTTTGAACTCTCTTCGTATATATATATATAGTAGCCTAGAAGAATACTTACACTAGAACTGAATTAATCTTTGGCTTGAATGTCAAATATGGTTGAAGTGCACAAAGCTGCATATATATGAGATGCCATGCATCTCATGCTCATTAAAGTAAACATGGGATCTTTAGCCTATAAATCTATCGATCGAGAACTTTTATAGATCAGATCAAGGCTCTAAGCCTTCGAAGGCTGGTAGCTGGTGTTATGGCTGTTTGTTTAATATTCTTTTAGACCTAGGGAATACATGTAGTTCTAATTCGAAGTGTAATCATCAGCGCACATATACATAACGTTATAACCCCAGCCCTAACAACGAGTACGCGTGCGAAGAGACCGAAATGCTCAAGTATTGGAGGCCATAATCCGTAAAATATGTTTCAGTCAAATTTTGGGACCGATAGGGGTAAAATCTCAATGCATTAAATGTACAGTCATTTGTAATAACTTCGATTAAGCATGCACAAGCCTAGGGCTGGCCCGAGAGTGTTTGGTCATAGGACATTTGCCAAGGATGATTCCTTATATAAGCGGGCCTATCATTTGCAATTGCAACAAGCAAAAATAAGGCGTATGCAGGAAGCGAAAGTGCAGGGAAAGTGGAGACGTATCTGACAAGATTACTCGGAACCTTCTCATGCCAGATCGATCTATACCCAGGAACGGGTTCGAAATCGAATTCATCAGGTCAAGCTATAGGTATGTAAACGCTGAAGATTTAGAAACCTTTGTTTCTGATGTTATTGAGGGTAATATCGGTATTGGGGAGAAGGAATATCTCTTGAATCTCAGTCCCCACAAGCCCATAACATTTACATAACCTACTTAGGTAATTACATAACTTAGGAATGCACTATAAAAATCATTAGCCATTATATTAGTGGGGTTCGACTCACCTGCCACGTTCTATGGCGCTCCACTGACCAGGTCCTCGGGATGATTAACCCTTACATACCTCTCTACAAATTTGCCGAAGTACCTGGACGCCCAAGAATTCCTATCAGTCAAAACAAAACGGTCAAGAGCCAGTCCCGGTAGTTTGGGTTTCAAAGACTTATTTCGAGCTTCCGTGAAAGTGCACTTTTCGGCACTCGGACGGCTAGGCAACCACCACCCCCCGATCTTCAGAGGCATTGTTCCGGCCGACAAGCCCGAATGTTTTCGCACATCCAATTCGGTTCACGAGCCTAAGTTGCCCTGCGGGTTTGATATCTTCACGTTTCATAAAGGTGGAGACAGAAGTCATACAATAATGTTAGTTGGCGAGCCCGGGAATGCAAGAAAAGATTCTCCGAAACAAGCGACGTCGGAGACGACTTTAACCTCGAGAGGAAACGAGACAGCAAATTAAAGGTTGTGGCTCTCCTAAGGCAACAGCCAAGCGTACAGACCATGGCTGGCTGAGAGAATGTATGAGGATGAAAAGAGATAGAGAGGCGTACATCATGAAATCTCCAAAGATCCTGAGCTGCTCAACTCACATATGGAGTCGATCGCTTGCAATTGTTCTGCCTACTAGCGCGCAGGCGCGGGCTTAGGCATGCCGCCAAGACCGCCATCCAGCAAAGGCTCGAAGGTACGCACCTTCTAATCTTTGTAGCCTTCTCCTCTCCGTGAAAAAGATGTTTTTAGTAACAGGAGACAGTAGTTCGTTTCATTCCGGATCACGATGCGGTTTTACTTGCTAATCACCACAGCACATGTATACGTAGGCACTACACTTGGCGCGCCAGTCCGTAGCTACATATACTCGGGAAGCTTGAGATATCGATTTGTATGCATGATCCTCAGCCAGATTCCCATATGTTGAGTTCTGAAAATGGGAAGGGTTGACTCTCATTCAGCACATGGGAGTGACAAACATACATAATAGTCTAATTATTGACATGGATCATGAGCAATTGGCCAATTGGAAGGCTCCCGGTGTAAGAAATGGCTTGAGGGGCTCAGCTGTCGTCTCATTTTCACCGCATAGTGGGGATTTGTACGCTTCATTGATCATGGTTGGTAGCCGCCGGTCTCAATTGGGGCAGTGGATTCTCATGATAGTAAGTTACGTCCATACATGAGGTACCGGCGCGTGTTTCTGGTGTTGTGTGTGAAGGTTAGTGTGGGTGTGCCCTAAGGCAATAGTCAATGCGGTAGTTAATGTGTGTCTAGGTACTTTTGGAGAATCGTCAACTTGAGTAATTCTGGCACCTCAATCATTGGCAGGTGCTCAAATGGTAGTATAGTTGTACCAACTGTATGTCTTGTTTCAGATGGGATGTCTCACATTCATTTTAGAGACACTTGGTAAGACATGTTGACCAATAGAATGTCCATAGCTATATATGTTCAAATATTCAGCTTGGTCAATCGCAAGAGCTGGATTAGTATTTGCAGACGTTCATGACGGGCGATGCGATGCTGAACCTGCAGCTGCAACCAATAATCATCAGATAACCTGAATCGTCTGCCCCGGTCTAAGCAACTGAATCAGGTGATACATGAAGCTTGATGAAACCGTTACCTGGTAATAGTAGATATTTACAAGTCTATTCTTTAACGGTTAAACTCTCGATTGATTTCAAGATATTAATTCCTACTGCTGAATTCGGTAACGCAATGACGAAACCTTCTGAAACCGGGAAACTGTTAAGAAAATCCACAAAAAAAAGCTTCCCTCTAGTACAACGATAAGCCAAGGCTCAGAAAAAAATTTCTCTCTCACGTTTGGCTATAGTGTTCCTAATAATACATACTGAAAGTGTATTTCTTGGGACACGAGTATTCGTTTATTCTTGACATGTTTCAATTCAACTTTCACCCAGGTTCATATAAGTGTACTTCGAAACGAATGGCAGTATACTAGTATACACGGGTATTGCGGCATGAAGAAATAGGTCAGCATCAACGAATACCTCAAAATAAAGAAAATATTGTGTAGTTGTACGTATGGCTTAGTGTTCAACCTGTAGAACAATTGCAAATTTAAACGATTTTCTCGCCCTAGGCCTAGGAATACCGGCCAGTTCTCAACCACGTATCCCCTGTACATACCCACTTCGGCACATTGTTTTTCTGCACTTTGTTTACTCCCGTCTTGCATTCTGGTTTTATCTTTGACACTATTGGACACATTGCCTGGTGTAACGGCTTTCAGGTACCTAGTAGTGACTTTGGTACAGCAGATGGATTCATCTCATGCTCTCATTAATCGTAGCTGCACTGGGGAAGCTGCGGGTTCAGCATGTAGCCTATGATATGAGATGGGATTGTAAACTAATCCAAGTGCCTGAGAAGGCTGAGAAGTAAAAACCTAATGGGTGGGGGTTGTGTATATAAGAGACTTTCACCCTCCCGTTCATTTTATCATTAGTTCTTCGGTGCACCAACAAACAATAGCTCACAATTCCAAATAACTATCGATCTACAGTCCTTACAGCTTCAGTGTCTATAATAACATATCGTTATTGAACACGCACCACTCTTACTCGAAAGCGAGCCAACAACTTCCAAAACAATATCAAACATCTTACTCAGCTCGCGCATAATCTTTTTCGAATCTCACTTTTCTTTTTCTCATAAAAGTATTGATATATATTCTACCCAAAACCATAGTCAAGTCAAAATCACATTCAGTGATATCAAATGTCGAGCTACCCCACTCCGGGATCCTCGAGTAGTTTTACAGCATCACCAGGCACTGTAATTGAAGAAGAGCAGAAATACGCAGTCGCAAGGATCGGTAACGCCCAAGAGCGAAGAAGAGAACAGAACCGCAAATCACAGCAAACATACCGTACGCCTTCTCCACTCCATATAGATAAGGCAAGGCTCGCGCTAATCATTTACAGGTACCAAGCATAAGAAAGGCGCGGAAAAGATAGAATTTCTCATTAAGGAGGATAAAGAGGCCGAGGAGAGAATTCTGTTGCATCCAAAGTTCCCTCTTTGCCCTGAATACGAACGGCACCTGGCACAAGGCTTTGTTTTTGACGAAGAAACCTACGGAAACGTTGATTGGTCCGTCGAGCCATCCTTTCCCATAGCCAGCATCATCGGACGCCAATTTATGCCTTCTATTCCGCCAGAGCTTGTTATTCCAGCCGAATCCTGGCTGGAAGCGACAGGACCTCTACGGGGTGGGTACGAGTTTTTCAAAAGACATGTTCTCATTATCATGAATGCTATCGACATTCACTTGCCTCAGTTGGGGATCACAACAGAGATGTTGATCGATAAATTTTCAATTTCCCCTTATGTGATGCCCGAGAATACATACAATGAGGAATTAGAAGCGAGAATCAACGGTTTGAAGGAATACATTCCACACCTGGCTCCAGTTGATCTCCAAAGATCAGTCCCGCACCATCCTTACATCGATCTTATCCCCTTCCCCGCCTTCCGCACCACAATCCTCGAGATTCTCCGCGACATCCCCAACACAATCAACCAAGTCGACTTTTGTCAAGACATCGAACTTGGGGGCCTTAGGCTTTGGGGAACGCACTCATACGAACCCATGAGTTACGAACTGATCGAGCCCTTCGCTGCCAAATGGGGATATCTTTTCTGCCGAGATGCCGTGGCCCTTAATGCTACAAACTACTGGCGAAATGCACGCGGAGAGCATAGCCTAGGGCCTCTTGATTTCGGGGGTTCCCCAGGTGCTGGGAGCTCTCAGAAGTTATTTGACGACTTGTATCTAGTGAAAGTGATGAGAGAGTCATTGGGTTTATAATCCGCACCTCTAGTCGGATAGACACGAAAAAGACCCCCAACAAAGCAAGTTTCTACGAAATATTTTTCAAATTATGTATTCCGAGTGGTATTAGTGGAAGCGCAAATTATATGGTATCGAAACCCCCAAAAGATGGGGGTAGCTGAGCCCAAGCGGCAGGGCCCTTGGGTATCTTTTGCAGAACGGTTTGAAGAGTCAATATAGCTCTTACAATTATTAAAAGGCAGGAGTAAAGGCCATATAAACAAAAACAAACACTTTCTTATCAATACTCAGCTCATTTACCTATTTATGTTTTTCCTTTTTGTTCTGGGTTTGATCTCAGCAAATATTTACACATGACGTCTCTTTTCTATTAGGTTATTTCTTGTCTGGATTTTACTCTGCAACACGTCTTATGAGCTTGTATTTCAGTTATATCAAATAGCCTTTCAGGATTAAAACAATTTTAAGAATACCCAATGCCCCTTTCAGGCCATATATCATAGATGTATAGAATTTTAAGTAAACTAGAACCGTATATAAACGAGTGATATTTCATGACACACTTTAGTACCCGTCTAAATATAGTATCAAGTCTTAGTGACCTAGTGTACTCGTAATTTCATAGCGTTTGCGAACACAACTGGGTGCGCATACCCGCAAAATCCCGCATGAGGCTTCAGGTTTTGGTCTGTGCAGACCCAGCTGTGCACGTGTTCACAAACGCTATGAAACCATGAGTAGCCAGCGTGAACGAAATTTTTCCAAGATTAGCCACCAAATTTTCCATTTATTTATCAGGTTTACACGATTATTCAAAGAAATACTGTTTATCAACTCCGGAATCAAAGAAAATAGCTGGCTGAACATTCACAGCAATTGAGATATAAATGTGGACGTGGGTTATATACTAGCTAGACAAGGCCATGAGCTACAGGTAGGAGAGCCATTGAAGAGTTTGCCTAGAAAACCCTTCCGACGGATAGGAGCTAAGCTATAAGGCTACCCACGTGCGTGAGTGAATCAATTGGTGGTAGTCCAAAGTGTGCAAAAGTCTCATTTCGCCCCAAGATGATTGAGAATCGGAGCTCTTCCATACGTAACCTATCATAAGACGTTGCACAATTACAAGTGCCACGAACATGAGACATGGTAACACGTTGTACCAAGCGGGCGTCACACGCAATCCATGGCCACATAATACATAAGTATTTAGTAAAGTTGGCAGCTTTCACGGCGTAATAGATATCGATACATACGACAATAAAATCGCTCTTAGATAACTGACTACGTAAAATATAACAGGTCATAGTAGCCCAGTTATGGCTGTGTACAACTTTGGACAGGACGAATTACCCTATAGCTGGTTGATATACTTCGATACGTCTAATATGATTTCCTGGCCAGTGGCAGCCTTGTAAATATTGATGGTACACTGGTCATGAGCCATATTTAGAATAGGTACATCATATGAGGAAAAATCGGAGCCTTCTAATACGCTCCATGAATCCTGTGGTGTAACCCATGCGCAGAGCCTCATTCTCGGAGCCTGTCGATCAATTGCATGCAAGCCAGCCCCTGGTCAATGCCTTAATATTTCTCGCACCTTTTACCAAAACTTTTATCTAAGGAAGCAGTACTCCAAAGGCCAGTTTCTTGGTTGCAGGGAAAAGTAAAATTTAAAAACCTATTACCATGCTTTCTGGAATGCGGCACGGACTCGTCTCAGATCGAAAATGTTAAAACAAGGATCACAGTGTTTATTGCGAGAATTATTTTATTACCTCACTCGATCATGATCAAACCGCAGCTTGGCGTCTTCCTAAATGAGATTCTGAGATCATGAAATGTGATCTTGCCTTGATGCCTTATGTGAACTCGGGATCTGCCTCTGGGTTTAATAAAAAACCGGCTTTTTTTTTAATCCTTCTTCAAAGGCATGGAATAGTTAAATGATTGATCGCTTATATATATGTGTGTGTATAAATTCTTTTCTACATGAGGATTTCGATATTGTAGTCATGATGTTATCGTACTCAGGTCTTACGGCGCCTAGAATCGTATGGCGTTCAGCGCAGGATCTTATGTAATCGTTGGCAAAAAACAAAGCCCTTTGTTCAAAAATAAAGCTCCCTTCCGGCATTAATTGTTCGTTGACAGAGGCGTAGGTTGTGTGTAGAGCTGTTGATGTAAGTATGTGGCGCCAGCCAAGAGATAAGTGATCCTGGTCATGGGTGGTAACTATCACCGAGAGACAATCCGGTATGTTTATCGAGCTGCCAAGCCAATTATATCGTTGTTTCAATCATTTTCCGTAGATCCATATATGCTCCTCTTGAGCTCGAGGCCATTAACGCCGTCCGGCCCTGGTAACTATAAACAGCCCGTATCTAGTCTAGCAACAGTAGCAATAATTTCTCCGTTCGGGATGGCCCTTGAACTTCTCAGTATGACCCATTCAAGGCGTTTTTGTACTCGGTCAAGAGATAGAGTACGTGTAGAGTCGTGCCACTCTATTCACCGATATATACTTATGGTATAAATTGGATGAAAGGCCTAGGACTAATATTTGTATAGATCTAGAGACTAAAGACTTATAGCTTATTTAGCTCTTTTACAATCCTTACGTTCATCATTTTTCAGTCAGACCTAACTGTGAATATTAGCTTGTTTGAAACGTTGCGATCTACAGTGCAATAAAAAACATACCTCACGATCATTACCCCTACCATGCGTCTACCCGCCCTCTCACTCATACGTCCCTCCCTCCTACTCCTCTTACTATCCACCTCTGTCTTGTCCTTACCTACATCCACAACCACAAAAAAGGTCACAAAAACCGTTTTTGTCACCGCCGCCCCCACAATAGACGCTCATAACAAAGCTCAGGTGAAGCCCGTCGCAGCCAAGGGCGCACCCGCCCCAACACCAGCCGTCATCCCCGTCCAACCACCAAACGCAAAGACACCTCCGCCCACAAGCCAAGAAAGCCCTCCAAAACCACCAAAATTGCGCCGCCGGCAAGCTGCCGAAGTAGCAGAGTGTGGCAAGAACTCTCCCGGAAAGAAGTCATGCCCAAACAACGCTTGCTGCTCGTTCTATGGGAATTGCGGCATTGGAGATGATTTTTGCGGGAGCCCTGATCCGGCGGCGCCGTGTCAAAAGGATTATGGACGCTGTGGGAAGTCGACAGCTGAGACGCCGAGTTGCAACGGGGCGAGTGCCAAGGCCAGGAAGGTGGGTTATTATTTGTCTTAGTAAGTGGTGCGGTTTTTTTTCTTGGTTGGAGTATTCCCAGGGTGTTTGTTGGCCGTGGATAGCAGGAGCTAGTGGGAGGCGGATAACGAATGAGGATAATAGAAGCGCCCAGAGTCTAATGAGAGTCAATTGGGGTATATAGTGCATATGAGAGAGACTGTGATGCTAGCAAGCCAGAAAGCATGAAAACAGCAGGACTGACACACATCAACTTCGCATTCGCCCTGTTTGACGGTGACAACTTTGACTTTTACCCCCAACGTGAGGGCGACGAGAAGTTATATGCAAGCTTCACTGCACTCAAGAGTGACAAGTTGCAGACTTGGATCGCCATCGGTGGTGGTCTCTTCAATGTAAGTAAGCTCATTTCACGCTAGACGTCTCAATGTTGTCGGGAGCTAGGCGTGGCCAGACATCACAACACACGGCGGGGTTTCAAAATCCCATACGTAGGCCAATCTTAGTATTGCGAGATACCACGTCGAGTATTCTGATATAGGGTAAACCCTAGTTTTCCGATAACTCTCTGGCTGGCCTGCTATATCAAATTCATATCTAACATTGAATAGAATCCCGACCAACCCACAAAATCCAACTGGGCAACTATGGCCTCCACTGCAGCCTCGCGTGCAACCTGGATCGCAAACCTCATAAAGTTCATGGCAAAGCACGGCTTTCAAGGGGCCGATCTAGACTGGGAGTGGCCATGTGACCCAATGCGCGGTGGTACACCAGCGGATACAAAGAATCAGGTCTTATTACTGAAGGAGTTGAGGGCAGCATTTGGAACAAAGTATGGGTTGAGCTCGGTGCTGGTGACCGACTGGGCAGCGTTGAAGGATATGGACGTCAAGGGGATGGAGCCATATGTGGACTTTTTCAACTTCATGTCTTATGACTACCACACACCTGTTGTGAGTATTGCTCTTTCCTTATCATCAATTCAACTGAGGTTTTGCTAACAGGAATTTCGATAGGATGTGCCGAAACCTGATGCGCAGGCACTGTCGCACACGAATATCACAGAGACAGACTCGAAGCTTGTCCCACTCTGGCACGCGGGAATAAAACCTGCTAAGATCAACCTCGGGTTTGCACTCTACGGGATGACATACCAGATGAAGCCCACCTGCCTCGAAGCCGGATGTCCCTACGTTGCCAAAGGGACCGCCGGGAAGTGCTCTAAGGCTGCCGGCTCACTTACGAACCTTGAGATTACAAGATTAGTTGCAGCTGGTGGGGCTAAGAGCGTATTACTTGAAGGTATGAATCGCTTTTTTGAAGATACGGGAATAGAGAAGCTAATATAGAACAGATGCGCTGGTTAAGCAGACTTTGTACGGTGGTAACCAATTAGTTCTACATGATGATGCAGAGACATTCGAGAGGAAAACAGCTTTTGCAAGCAAGAGATGTCTGGGAGGAACAATGTACTGGAGTGTTGACCAGGGACTTCAGACCTGAAAATTTTAGAAACATCTGGGGATGCGTATATTAGAGTTGGGTATTGGCGTACGGGCGTTTTAGGACTTCATTTTGGTTTTGTAGACTTTGGAAGTACATACATGGTGGGAACAGTGTATTTTATTCTTAGATTTGTAGTTAGAACGGTTATACATATGGATTATTCAGTCATGTAGATATTAGTACGTACATGGACTAACTACCGTTTCCTTGATGGAATTGGAATAAATCAGTACGAAACATTAATATCGATACTACAACGGCATAGAAGATAATTACGGGCAGGAACTTTTCATTGGTAATTTTGTAATTTTCGTGTCCTTGACACTCTCGAAGGACCTATATTGGAAAAGATTATTTCTATAATTAGAGATACTGTCAATTCGAGTGATATTTCGTGATTAACGATTTAATTTATCAATAAGTACAACAAATGCAGCAGTAATATTGAGGTCCCCTTGCCCTTCAAGTATAATACGCTCTCACATATACTCTCGTAGAATTTCCTCTACCACCTTACTAAATCCCAGGCTTGAGGTACCGAGATAATCGCCTGACCGCTTGTTCCTAGTTTATCTATTCAATGGATAATGGGCGTTCGAGATTTTATTTGAAATATGATTTACTCTATGAGCTGATAGAGCTCCTACCTTTCGGCTGATTATTCGGCAGTTTCAGTCTATCTAAAATCGAATTGCAGTCCTCAGGGGAAGCCCATATATATACTACTGCGACTAAGTGGCTATTCTTAGGTCTAGTGTTGAGTTTGAATGACTGAAAGATTCACGAAAATAGTTACATATAGGGACGACGAGTCTTCAGATAATTGCCTTCTCTAGATTCTTTTAATAATACTATGACCTAGTGACGGGTACGAGACAAGTTATCTCCAGACCTTTAGCAAAACAAGACGAGATCGACCTGGGGGTTGACAAGACAAGATGAGACAATACCAGGTCATAGAGAGAGTCTAGACCTTTTATCTTCATTAATTAGCATAATTATACTACTTTCCCAGTCCCAGAGTCATGGAAAAATGTCTTGTTATAAGAGTATCGATAGTACACACAATGGAGATTCCGCTTTATATAGAGTTTCAAAACGTTAGTCACAAAATGTATGTCTGCAACATCAATATCTTTTTCAGTGCTCCGGACTATTCATGAACCGTCTGTAATTCCTGAACGGACCAGATAGAAAGAAAAAACTCTAGCGTGCATCTAGTTGCTATTTTACTTTCCCTAGTGTCTTTATAGAGGGTCTCGTGACACAGAGAAATTCCCACACTCGGCCGAGCGTCGTCATAACACATACGTAAACCAATTCATTCAAAAATCCTGATTCGGGAACCCGAGCCACTGCTACCATTTAAGGTTTCGTCAGGGTTTCCCGATGAGGATATATATCAGAATTTCCTAGAAAGGTAATCAGTTTATGATTTTGAAGGGTTCGTAGTATATGGTGTCACACTCGGCCGAACCAGTTGATGTCTTGGAAACAGCATAAAGCACATCGACTAGCAGAGTGTATTTGAGCGAGAAAGAGATGACGGCACGTGTAGCAAAGGAAAACAGTCGCACCAATAAGCCCCACAGTGCTTCTTTCACACTACTCGTATTTTCATTATGCGATAGTGGCCCAGTTCAAAAATGTCAGGAAGATACGAATACGCTAGTGACAACTTAGACATGTATTCCAACAGTCTCGTGCTATTTTGCTTACTTCGTCTAATCGGCTTCTAGTACTGTCTCACCGAATTTTCTTAAAACTTTTTCTCTCCCGTTAGAATCTTCCGATACGTCATGCGAGTTTCCACCCTGCAGACAACGTGCAACTTGTGTGTTGTACCTACTGTTGTCTTTCAAGAGTTCTAGAATGATTATCTATCAAAGGAAATGAACTAGGTACAGCGATTCACAGGCATTTGGCGAATACACCCATTTGGCGAATTTGTATGTAGCAACCAGCCAGCAACCAGTAAAACCTCGAGTTTGACTAAGATATCTTGATTCTTATTGGCCTTAATCCCTGTTCGCCAAATGGGTGTATTCGCCAAATGACTGTGAATCGCTGTACTGGACTATGTTGATTCTTCATGAACAGCTGAGAGAGAGAGGTCCGTGGTGTTGCGAACAACCACTCGTCATGTGGCGCTACTGCATTGATCTCTCGCCAATAGCTATATGATCCCTCACTATTGCATTATCCGGTCTTCTCGTCTCTTCACACCATTCGACATCCACTCCGGGTTTCACCGCGTTCACAACCCTCACTCGCTCGGCCGGTCGGTCTTCTCAAAGATGGGATGAGACTTCTCGAGCTCCCTCCAAAATCTATTCTCGCACAGTCTCACGGCATCATCTACCCCGACATGCCAAGGCCTTCGTTCGGTACCAAGCTGACGGGCCGTACCACAAGAATGCGGCTAGGATTCCCCTTCCTCAACCCCCTTAATTCGGGCCACAGATATCTCCGGTTATCGTTTTTTCTTGATTGCGCAGAGCAACTAACCTAGATACACATTGTGCAGAACCGAACGGCTTGAAGCTTCATCTCCACACGTACGGGAGAAGTGTTTAGGGAGGTTGAGTAGAGACAAAATTAACTGACTTTCGGCCGGCCGGCAGTGGTGCTCTCCTGTGTAGAGAGTACTGTACTCTGCTTTAGTTGATCTACTCTAGTTAGAGCAATTACCCTTTCTGTGCCACATTTCGTGGGAGTGCCGACTTTTCTATCCATCATACTCTAGATAGCTAGCCTGTCTCACCGGCGCAACATCAACGGGGGCCCAGACCTCTCCCTCGAAGCGGTGCCGAAAAAATTACATTGCATTTGAAAGCTTATGTGCCAATTATAAACGCACACCTTCTTGCTCTTCTGGTTGCCAAGACGACTGTTGCTACAAATAGCCGCCCGATAAGATCAATCGCTGATAACGACCCAGCACGCAATGGGTAAAGTCGCGGCTAAAATAGCGGTAGCTTATCCGGCGAGCCGACGCGCGGCAAAAATAGAGTGAGACAGCTGAATCGAAAACGAAATTTTTTTTCACTGGGTCGCAAAGTTGCCCGTGGGAAGGAAAGCAAATGTGATCTGGGAACTAATATATGATTATATCTCATGTATATATTGCAGAAATTTTACCCCGCATAGGTTTGCCCGAGGGTTGGGTTGGGTACTATGGGCCGCCGCTGCGCTTTCTGGAAAACGCTCATGCTCCCCAGAGGAAAAAAAGTAAAATAAAATAAACTTTCCCGAGAGGAAGAGGAAGTCGAGTCATGATTGGTGAATGGAGAGTTACACGCGACGCCTCCTTTAGCTGTCTCTCTCTGCCATGAGTAATCACCACCGACAAATACGCTAATCCAGCCAGCCACCGCTCTGCACTGCTCTAGTGTACTGGTTTATCTATTCTGCTCAGCTGTGCCGGTGGATCCTCGGTGGCTAGGCCAGCAGGAAAATAAAAGAAAAGAAATAAGGTTACAGTGATCCATGGGGGCCATCGAACCATCTTGCTCGCGAACCTCTCTCTTCTAGCTACCCTAGACCTATTCGGGAATACACTTACTCAAGGGAACGATGCAGGAATTAGGGGCCGGCTGGGCTCAACCAGTCAGCACTTAGAATCATGTATGTACTCTAGGTGGAGAGTATAAGTGGTATGCACTCTAGGTGGATGGTCGTCAGGGCCAGGCGTGTAGGCGCTCGTGGGGTCTGACTAGCGAGAGCGGAGAATAACGGCATTTCGTTATTTCGTTTGGGGAGATTCGGTAGAGCACGTCTGTGGGAAAGAAATCTTAGAAATGGATAGGTAATATTCACAGAGAAGAAGAAGAAGCTCATAATCGAAGGTTGGTGTGGTGGACCCGGCAGTGTGAATCGAGGATTGGATTCGACCCGTACCGTACCGTACATGATACCAGGTATCGATGCAGTCTAGTTTGCGTTTCTAGGTCGTGTAAAGGTAAATAGTAGCCAGCTGTTTCCTTCTCTGTCTTCTGTCCACCTACCATTGAGATTTAATTCTTGTTCGGTACCGTTTTACGCGGGAAGGTGTGTGTGGTGTGTGGTTGCCGTTCTACGCGTCACAACGACTCACTCGATATCTCTATCGACATGTACTCTAGTTGATGTAGTGTAAAAGGTGTTGCGCGACCACCCACCGTGCGCACGTCTAACCCTCATTCTTACTTGTGGAGTGATATATGGTGCAATACTGCGAGTGAGCACTGATACGGCCAGCTTGTACTCCACCCCCTACTAACAACTCGAAGACACCCTGATCCTTGCGCAGTGCCGAATTTCCCGCTATCTACATACTCTACCTAACTCTCTAGCGAGGGAGCTCGAGAGCAACTACGAATCTTGAAAATCAAGGAAGCCCGCGAGAATCATGAGCAGCTCGCATCTAACTATGGTGGGCAAGTGTTTATGCCCCAGACACGTGGTCTTTATAAATAATAAACCGTTTAGAGCATTAGGGGTAAAGAAAAGGGATGATCATACTACTAATTATCAATTCTTTTCCACTCTACTCGTAGCTAGCAGGAAAGCCAAGAGCCTCAGGAGTGATGGCTGGTGCAGTAGGTTGGTTTTAGTAGACGAGGCGACTAGGCTGTATTTGTCACGATCAGTAGAGACGTGTCTCAGCAGTTTGGCGCATTTAGAGTAGAGAGCTCGAGTGCTATTCCTTGACCTCTTGCAAGTTCCGAGACAGTCTCAGATATACGGACATCCAAGTAGATATTACAAAGGTAGCCTAGTAGATGACCGTTGCATCATGAAGAGGGGAAGAGCTAGATGGACTTTGGAAAGGAGCGCGGGGCTAGATAGGACGAGCTCGAGAGGTTTCGAGACTTGGACAATGCTTGTGTTGTCTTGGATTCACTGGGCGAGAAGAAGGGTGTATTTGTCAAATCTCGATCTTGGATCTCGAGATTTTGACTGGGAGAAAGACACATCTTTCCTGGAAGAGGTGTTTGGGCCGTTGTGGGTGTGCGCGTGCGGGGTGAGGGCTTGGAACATCATGAGAGAGTTCTAGAATTCTCGGGGCGGAGGATTCATGATGGTTTGTGGAATAGATCTTAACTGATCCTGAAACAAATCTCGGAGCTGATTATGGTCGCGACTCGTAGTGCCCCGAAGATAGTTTGCTATGATGAGGTTTTTAGTCGGCCATTTGATGATTGTCATTGCTCTCTTGTATCCGCGTGGTAACAGTGCTGTATCTCACGTTTCTGGCAGTTAATTCTTTCGTCTTGATAAAGTTTATTCATCATCATGAATATATATGGGTATCTAAGTATCTCACCGACAAAAGAAAGTAAACTATCATACAAATAAAACGAGCCATAACCCCAATTAAAATACAGCCCAGTAAACAAAGGAAACAAAGACACCTCCCAAATAATGTGTATTATACACCATGTAATATATAGGTTTTTTTTTACTCCGCCCTGGCTTTGGGACCATTAACTATCACAACTAGAGCCAGTCCAATTGTATACGATATGCCCATTACTGGTTCCTCCTCGGGCTTCCATTCCCCTCCCAGCCCACAAATCCACTGTTCCCACTGCCTTCACTTTCCCTATCACGTGTCCCGACCGTCCTCGTCTGAATGGTGATCTCCGTCGTCTTCCTGATGGCGCCGTCTTCACCTCCCGCATCCACATTCTTATCATCCACATTTGCCAGCTCAATATCACTACCGAAGGAGTCCGCGTCCGAGTGTGCTGTGACCCGAGACTGCATTTGGCCGCTGCGTAGCGTGTGTGGTTTGTCGTTGGTGAGGCGAGAAGGAGTACCGGTTGGGCCAGAGTTGCTGTACGAGGATCCGTAGGCGCGTCCACGATGACCGAGGAAGAGAACTCGAAGCTAGGATCCGGGATTAGTGTGACTCGAGGAGGAGAGGGTTCTGTAGAGGGTGATGCTTACGGTTGGAAGGGCGGAGATGATCATGGCGACATAGGTCTCGACATAACTGAGGTTGGAGATTCTGCGGACGGCTATTAGTTTTTTTTTCTTCGTTGCTTTGCTTGGTTTATGCAGGTCCACTTACAGGAAAATATCGGTTGTGTTGAGAATTGTGACAATACGGATGATGGAGACGATGATGACAACGAGACCCAGGAGAAAGACTCCTACAAGACCTAGCTTGACTTTCATGGGTTGATGAAGGTTCCGTAAGATGGGGAATGGGAGGATCATAACTATCAATTAAAGCATAATATTAGTATTTACTCAACTCCACCAGTTCAGCGCTCTCCCGCTGCAGGAAAACTCACTCAACACATCCGTCAGAACATTAACTGTGACCACAAAAGTGAAAACCGGATTATTTGTCTGAGGGGGACACTGATGTGCTGGGTCCGGATTCCACTGCCTCGAAATCGGCTGGCAATGCAGCGCATTTATAAAAATCGCAATGATTCCCATGATGAACACAATTCCTCCAGAGATGTTGATGAGGAGCTGCAGCTTCCCCAAGTTCTCCATGAGCCGGTGGTAGAAGACGAGGAGTTGAGCTTTGATCATCCAGAGGATCACGAGATAGAGCGTAGATCCTGTATACGAGTATTTCATGAACCGTACGATAGCATCCATATTGGTGCCCCAATCGGGGGCGTCGAATTCAAGCATCATCAGCGATGTGACAATGAGTTGCACGATAAGCATCAACATGGTAGCAATTGTAAGCTATGATTTTGTCAGTATGAGTCCGAATCGTGGGAATATTGCTATGGGATGGCTTACCCAGTCATCTTTGCCCCAACTATTATCACGACGAGAACGAACCCAGAGCCGAAGACCAACGAAAACACCCACAACTCCAAGTGATAGCCACCAGCCAATCTGTAGAGCATTCTTTGTTAACAAAAGGTCATCTGTAGTAAGGAGATAAGCGACGGGCATCATACCAAGTGATGTGTAGTTACCGACATGATGTTGTGCAGCAAAGTTAAAAGATGACCATGTAACGTTCCCTCCGGCGCTGACTGAAAGCAGTGTACAATTCTGTTGATCACGATCCTCGAATCAAGGCCCCACTTCACTATTGTAGAATAGGATGGGGGGGATGTGTACTTGTATTCGAAGGAAAATCGTCAACGTTGAATATACCGGCACTTAATAATCAACCAACGGCCACAAACTGGGTATAGTAAAGTGCTGCTGTCTGATTTGAGTTTTTTCTTTCCTATTTCCTTTTTCCCGTCTCTCATCCTCAGGAGACCCGAGTAGAGATAAAGCCTATGTATGTGTGATGGGGGCTAGGGGAGCTAAAATTTTGCTTTATTTCCAGGTTTGTTCTTTTTTATCTATGAAGCGGTACCTACTTTTACTTATTTTCTCCAGCGCTCGCCCAATCGGAATTTAGTTTATACGATGCCCGCAGGTGGTGTGTGGTGGAGGTGTGTGTTCCACTGCTTCATTTACGCAGTTGGTGACCGGGAAATGGGAACATGAATGGGATGGCTTGTCTTGTCTCGCCATCGATGAGCAGTAGACGATATTGTACTACTGTGAAGAACTAGCTGCGACATAAAGACCACCCAGTGCTAAGCATTTTACCAAGAAAATACAAGACGTACATTCAAGACAATGCAACAAGCAAGACACCGGGAGTAGGAAGAGAACGATTTCCCAGAGCTACTGTAGGTACTAGCTATTAGGTACTTCCATCTAGCCGTACCCCCCGGTGAAGTTGGCCCAAAGCCGAGATACGATACGCAACCCTTACTATACCTCATCTCCTTGTAATTCTATTTCTTCCTCCCTCTCTATCATACTGTATGAACTCCAGATGAAGCCTAGCCACGATTCCCAGTACAGTTCTGACACCTGCAGTACTGCAGAGATTAATGACTGCCACGGGCCAGTAAACGCCGACATTTGACCATGTCCTTGCCGAAGAGAGACGGCCTGTATATTGGCTTTCTCTCGATGCAGGTACTCCCTTGAATACGCCTCTTCGTCCGGTAACTCGGGAGTTTTGTGGGTGGTCCGAGGAAACCTGGGGGAGACGCTCTCACAGAGAACCCCCCGAGTTTTGTTATGGGGGTGGCTTGGCGGTGGTTGAGCTGGATTGGCCCAACATGAGCAAACGCGGAGTGATACAGTGTGAGGATGAAAATCACGCAAACAAAAAGTGGCCAGACTCTCTTATTCTGCTTCTTCATTAGGTTCCTTCGTTCATTGGTAATTATAATCGCTTACCCCAGAGCACCCCCAGATCAATTTCAGCCGCCTCAGCCAATATCACGCGTGAAAGCAAATAGATATTTTATGATTAAAAGGATGAAAAGGATTAAAAAGGAAAGAGGTCATTCTCACTCTTCATTGGTATATAAACTAGACCTATAATCCACTTTTCTTATTACGGCCTCGGGTGTTTTTTTTTGACCCTCGGATTGAGACTCACTCTCTCAGCAGCAGCAGCAGCAGAAACTCATCTCCCGTACATCTCATTTATAAAATTGGGCATCAAAACGATACCTACCTCTTCTGGATATCTAACTGTTAGTATTCGTGGACTCCTACAAACTCCCCGGCTTTGAGACGCGAACGCCATGCTCAGCATTCACTAGGACTAAGCTCAGCCCCTAATAACGGCATGTATCAGCATCAGGATTGAGTATATTTTGTCGCCCTCCTGCCCAGGGATGGGGGCGGGGAAAAACCAAAACATCGCTTTATTTATGCTGTCGCTCATGTTTCAGTTCGTTCGTCAGCATTGAGTTAAAGATCTTCTAAGCGGAATAATATTTATTGGTGGACGATCGTCGCAGACCACTCAAAGCCATGCTGTCGAAATGCCCTCTTCTCCAACCAAGGAAGAAGATTTTCTCTTCTCTACCCGCCCATAAGTAGGGGAATCTCGGAAAAACTCCATTAAGCCTAGACCAAGGTATTCTACTCTATTGAATACTCGCCGTCAGGATCGAATCAGGAAATTTCCTCCCTCATGGATAATAGGTACAGGAAGTGCTTTCACTATTGATAGGTTTGTTTATTAATTATTAATTAAGAACCGGTCTTTGCCCGATTGGTTCCCTGGTACAGTACTTAAAGAAAGTAGGAAGAGTAATAAAGTAGACAGGGAAGCTTCATCTGCAGCAAGGATAGGCAGCGGTCCGCCAGGGATATACCTCGGAGGGTATCCCTTGACCTGGTCCTCGATCATGGTGTTCAGCTACTTTCTGGGACCTCCAGAAGGTTACGACTGGGGTTCAAGAGCGTTTTCGGCTCACTCGGTAGAGAATAAGCACAAGACGCGAACGAATCAGTAGACACAGCTGTTTGCCACGAGACGATGATTTACGGGGAGGTAGCCAACGAGAAATGTGATCCGGGATTCCTCGAGACAGTGATAACCTGGGCTACGGAAGTTGCGCGGCCGATGAACAGAGTAGATAATAGGTTTCTACTAGGGGTGTATCTCGGTCCGTAGTCATGGTTCTACAGACTCCACATATTTTGCGTCAATATAATATAAAATCAGGCAGCATTCAGAAACATGTGTCTAAGATGATGATAAAGCACATACGCAATTCCAATTAATTGTCCCTCTGCATGAAGAAGAAGATAGGAGCTCTCTTTCTAGTTAAAACTCTTCTGCTACAGGATATCGATGGGACACCCATGGAGGGGAATGAAGAGATAGCGAATTTAGCCGCAGCTGACGCCAAAGCGCTCGAGCGTTCCTCATCATGCGATTAATTGTGAACATTGAATATGTAGAGCATGATGTGGCGAGCACATACGCCAATGACTCTAGCTGCGCAGATTAGCCACAGTGATCGAGCAAAAGGGAGGATAGAAGAGAGGAGAGCTGTGACAGAAGGAAGGAGTAAGAGAGAGGGCGAGATTGTGTTCTTGATCGTTATAGGATGGAGAGTACAAATGCGAATTCTCGAGGGGTCTATAATTTAATTAGGGTTGAACCGTGCAGCCGGAGAAGCCTCACCCGCCCCCCCCCCCCCCTCTACTCCACATGTGTCTAGCTGTAGGGAAGGCGGTGCGCCATGTAACTCTAGACGAACCATATCCCCACTGACTGAATCCACCATGCGAAACGGGCGCTTTGGAACTACTCGCCTAATATTTACCGATAGCAATTAATGGCGCGCACTAACCCGTGCTAACTGTGGTGGATATGGTGGTGGTGGGACGAGTGATCCTAATTAAAAAAGGGTGAATAACAAATTCCATATGGCATTCTATACAGGCTCGTATAAAACTGTGCTTATTGCCATACCATTGGAATCTTGGTTCATACTTCGATCTGTGTGCCACGTTTTTTAGACCTGATCAATTCAACACCCTCCATCTTCAGTACCACATACCCTCATACTCATTCGACCATAATCAATATTTGTGAAGATGAGTGTCTCGGTATCTTCTTCGACGCGCAAAACCAGATTACAGGTGGCTCTTGAAAACAAAAGAGTTATTGCATACTGTAAGTCATGTTCCAGCTAGAGAGTTCTTTGCCGTTGGTTACTAATACCAGGTTAAGGTCTGTATGTCTCTCTTGCTGCCATCACATATGGTTTCGATGGTGCTGTGAGCGGTTATCTTCTATCATTACCGGTGTTTGTACAACACTTTGGTTACAACTACAACGGCACTTTTGTCGTCCCTGCCATCCATCAATCCACATGGAACGGTGTAGTAGTAGCAGGTGGTGTTCTTGGTGCCTTCGTTGCTGGTCCTATTGGTAACCGGTAAGTCAACCAATCAGCGCGCCTAACTAGTGATCTACAGTTTACTAACGAAACTACTAGTCTCGGACGACGATACCTCTTCATCATTGGTAGTGTAATCTCAGCATGCGGAATTCTTGCCCAAGAACTTGCAGACGAATGGAGAGTCATGGCCGCCGGAAAGTTCATCAACTGTAAGTTTTGTAATCCTTACTACTGCTGTAATGCTAGAATATCCTAGCTAACGAATGATGCAGACATCGCCATGTCCATGTACGCTGTTGGAGCTCCGACATACATTTCCGAGATCTGCCCAGTGGAGCTTCGTGGTATCGCTCTCACATTCTTCAACTTCTTCACCCTGATTGGTCAATTCATCTGCTCTTGCGTTATGCAAGGTACGATGAAGCGCACCGATGCCTTGTCCTTCCGTATTCCTATCATCGTGCAGTACGGTGTTCCATTGATTCTCTTCGTCGGCACCTGGTTCATTCCCGAGACTCCCTACTGGCACGCCGAGAAGGGTCAGAACGACGCTGCCAAGGCTTCATTGGAGAGATTGCACGGAGGAAAGGTTGATTTCGAGGAGCGCTTCAGAGACATCCAGTCTGAGATCGAGCATAACCAGAAGGCCTCTACTGTCAAGTTCATCGACTGTTTCAAGGGCTCAAACTTGAGACGTACAATCATCGCCGCAGGTATTCTCAGTGGACAGCAGCTTGTTGGTGTAGCTTTCGTTTTTGGATACACCACATACTTCTTCATCCTCTCCGGAATTGCCACTGCCCAGGCTTTTACCATCACTGCTATCATGTTCGCCTTGCAGGTTGTTGCAAACATGTGCTCTTGGTATTCTATTGACCGCTTCGGACGTCGTTTCCTTCTCCTTGTTGGAACTAGCATCATGTTTGTGTCCCTTTACATCATTGGTGGAGTCGGCACCAACCCGCTGTACACCACCGGACACTTCCCCAAGGTCGTTGTCTCATTCATGGTTATCTTCTCGGTCTTCTACCAGCTGTCTCTCGGATCAGTCGGATGGACAGTGGCGTCAGAGGTCAGTTCATCTGTGAACCGTGCCTCCACTCAGGCCATTGCCGTCTTCTGGAGTACCATTTTCGGTTTCGTTATCTCCTTCACTATCCCGTACCTTATCAACCCCGATGAGGCCAACCTTGGACCAAAGGTCGGATTTATCTATGGATCCTTCACTTTGATCGTCTTGGCATTCATCTGGTTCTGCGTGCCAGAGATGAAGGGCAGAAGCTACGAGGAGCTTGATTACATGTTCCGAAATGGAATCCCAACCAGGGCATTTGAGAGTATGTTCACCCTCCCAATCTTTTTATACTCGTTCCCTTTACTGACTTAAACCTATAGATTTCAAAGTGCCTGCTGGTGAGATCACGGAGATTGGAAGCGCGCATCTGTCAAATGAGAAGCACAGATCTTCACCAGATGTTGCGGAGGTTGCCGTATAAGGTGTTGCTTTGAGTGCATTTTCTTTCAATTTCTTTTTCCATGAGCGGCTTCTTGTTCAGCGGTTAGTCAAAAACCTAGAATTTGAGTTAGACGTTAGTTATGAATGCTTGTAATAGAGATTTCCACAAAATCTTGTCTTGTAAATGAACCCCAATTAGTAAATATAAGTTTGCTGTCCAAATCAAAACTAGTACATGTCTGCCCCAATGATTAGCAATATGCCAGCACAAATGTTAATATGCACGTTCTACTGGCCAGCTCGAGAAATTGAATGTCATAATGTCTCTTAAATGACGCCTGCATGTATTTGGCTTAGATATTAAAGCACACTTGCGTGATATTACTTGCAGTCTAAAGCTCAAGATCGGCTGGAAAGACATCCGAACATCCCACATGCCATTTAACCTATCGATAACTGTTAGCGAACAGGCATTGACATGACCCGTCCCGTGGGTAAACAAACATGTGGCTTCATGCAAAACGCGGAAGTAAAGGGAAGCCCACATGTAGCTTCGTATAAGAAGCCCCCGTCTGTCCGGGCCCCTGATGTGTAGATGACACAAACGTTCCTTACCTTACATACCTGACAGGTTTCCTTCTTCCTTGCTATAGATAACCCTTATAATCATCTTATTTTTATTTTTTCTCAAGAGACAATGGCGATCGATACGCAAGTCCTACTATCGCAGTTGACGCTGGAGGAGAAGATCTCCCTTCTTGCCGGGGGTTCAACATGGCGCACCGCACCAATCCCCCGTCTTGGGATTCCTTCCATTAAGGTACCCCTTCTCCCTCCGCACTTCTGTTTCCCCACTACGGACTCACAAGGCCAATTAGGTGACCGATGGGCCCTCTGGCGCTCGCGGCGAAACGTTTGTGAGCGGGGCAAAATCCTCATTCATACCCTGTTCCACGCTGCTCGCTGCCACATTCGACAGAGCGGCCGTTGAAATGGTGGGGCAGCTGCTGGGTGATGAAACAGTTGCGAAAGGATGTCAAGTCTTATTGGCGCCAACGGTTTGCCTACAGAGATCGCCGCTGGGGGGACGGAACTTTGAGGCATTCTCAGAGGATCCATGGTTGACGGGGATACTGGGGGGAGCGTATGTGAGGGGTCTGCAGAGCAAAGGTGAGAATTATGGGCCTATATGCATGTGATATAGCTGTGCTGACAGTAATGGATTAGGGGTGTCTGCGACGTTGAAGCATTATGCTTGTAATGAGCAGGAAACTCGCCGGTTCAACGTCGATGTGCAAATCTCTGAGAAGGCGCTACGAGAGACGTATCTTCTCCCCTTCCAGATGATTGTGGAGGCCGAGAGCCCCAGAGCTTTCATGTCAAGCTATAATAAGGTGAATGGAGTTCATTGCGATATGAACGAGTTTCTCCTTAAGAAAGTGCTCCGTGAGGAATGGGGCTACAAGGGCATTGTTATGTCTGATTTCGGAGGCACAAACTCTGTCGTCGAGAGTTTACGCGCCGGCCTAGACCTGGAGATGCCAGGGCCTCCGACAAGGCGGAGGGGACTCCTACCTGCAATAGAGGGGGGAGAGATTGCAGAGAGTGAGCTTGATATCCCTGTCTTGAGAATCTTGGAAATGATCAAGAGCTCAGGAAGGTTTGAGAACCCAGAAGAGCGGCCTGAAGAGGGAGCAGACTCACCAGAAGCTAGAAGCCTGTTGAGGAGAGTTGCAGCAGAGGGTACCGTGCTCTTGAAGAACAGGGAAAGAGCGCTGCCGCTCGATCCTGTGAGGTTAAATAAGATTGCAGTAATCGGAAGATTAGCAAAGAACCCTACCGCTGGTGGAGGTGGAAGTGCAACATTGAATCCTCACCATTTGTCTAATCCGTTTGATGCCATCAGCGATGTCGTCAAAGACTTTGGCGCTGAGGTTCACTACGCAGAAGGGCCAACACTCCACAAGTTCCTCCCAATGATTACCGACGGCACACTTCTAGCAGAGGATGGCGTCACCCCTGGTGTCACAATCAGATACTGGATAGAGGAACATCAAGACTTCAGCGGCAAGCCTTTAGAAACGGGCACAATCCCTGGAACTTTCGTCATGATGTTCGGCCAAGAGCCCGCTGTTATCCGTGGGACGCAATTTGCATTCCGCGTCACGGGAACCCTGACTCCAAAAACCACCGGAAACCACGAGCTTTCGCTTTGCAACATTGGTGGCTCGAGATTGTACATCAACGATCAGCTTGTGCTCGACAACTGGGAGTGGAAGGAGCGATCAGAGGCTTTCTTTACCTTTGGTTCGAAGGAGAAGAGGACCAGCGTACAGCTTGAAGCCGGAGTCTCATACCAGCTCCGTGTTGACAGTGTTGCATTCCCACCCCAGCGGAATGATGAGCATAACACTTGCTTTGATAATCAGGCTGGGACACGGATAGGGTACCTTGAGGAGATAAAGGTGGATAAGATAAAGGAAGCACAGGAGATTGCCCGTGGATGTGATGTTGCAGTGTTGGTGGTTGGGATGACGGATGAGTGGGAGTCAGAGGTAAGAAGACAGAGTAGAGTGTCCCTCACAAAAATCGGGAGCTGACATCGTCTTAGGGCCACGACAGAGAAACTCTGGCACTTCCAGGTGGCCAAGACGCGATGATCAAGGCAGTTGCCGCAGTCACAAAGACAATCGTCGTCAACCAATCTGGCGCCCCCATCTCCATGCCCTGGCTGGACGATGTCGATGCGGTTATCCAGGCCTGGTACCAAGGCCAAGAGAACGGCTTTGCAATTGCAGATGTACTTTTTGGCGTGGTCAACCCATGCGGAAAGCTACCCATCACGTTCCCAAGACTACTGGAGGACGCACCTTGCCATAAGAATTTCCCCTTTTCCGGAGAGGATGTCGTGAGATATGAGGAGGGAACAAAAGTCGGGTATAAACACTATAGCTCCGACCTTGTCAAGCCGCTATTCGAGTTTGGATTCGGCTTAAGCTACACCTCATTCAAGATCGAAATGGTATCGGGAGAGACTCTTCGGCATACTACAAGAACACCGGCGCGTATATCGTGTAAGGTAAAGAACACCGGAAGTGTAAGAGGAAAAGAGGTCGTCCAGGTCTATATCGTTCCTCCAGGAAGGTTTCTCCGACCGATGGCCCGGCAGCTGGCTGGCTTTGCGAAAGTTGATCTTGCGCCCGGAGAGGCGAAGATAGTAAGTTTCGAGCTCGACAAATACTCTCTTGGATCTTTTGACGAGGCGCGTGGAAAGTGGGTGGCGAAGAAGGGGGCACGTTACACTGTTGGTGTCGGAGCATCTTCCCTTAATGTTCCTGGTATTGTGGATTTAATTCTTGACGAGAGTATGGAGTGGTTATAAATGTATTTTGATAGTTGTACAGAGGACTAGAATAGATTCCGGAAATCGATTGGACTTAATTATTATTTGTCGAGTGATAACCTGTGAAGCGAGTGATATTCTGTGAACATTGTATAATAACCAACTCTCGAGAACGAAGTTTTCTCTGGAGATAATATGTAAGTTGTTCAGTACTATAGAGTGTAGAGGAGAGAAGAATACGGAGCACTTGGTAATTCAAGTGGACACGACGACCGCATGGTGAATGACTCATATGGGTCAAGAGGGCGAATGAGAGAATACCAATCATCACCAATTAACGATTGTGCCTTTCCATTACCCCTCATTCAATACAAAAGGCCATTCTATACTAGAATATAAAGCTCGCCCTTAACCATACCCTGAGTTGATCAAAAGACCTCTTCGACTCCTGACCGCTTAAGCAGATACAATTCCAGAAAACTGTTCTAGCTGTAGGTCTCTTTTCAAAGCTTAGCCATCAGGGTCCTAAAATCTCAATATCCCCAATGAATCCGTTACGCATCCATTCACTCGTTGGCTAAGCCCGCTATATAATGCACTATGGGCCTTGTATCTTCTATACATGACATCACCCCCCCACCATTGACAAAAAACATCTACTCAGCTCTGACAAGTCTCGAATCTGTTAACGCAGCTATCACAGCCAATCACAAGCAACCTCTCCACCAGTTCATTCTACCCACAAGCTTTCCTTACCCCATCCACCCCCCACCACCACACAAAACCAATCTCGACACCCCACCCCCACCTCCCCCACCATGGCCACCATGAACACCTTCCTCATGCAACGCACCTGCCTCACACAGCGTCTCCGCACCCTGCACCAATGCGAAGTAGTCCTCATGCGCGACATCGTCAAAGCCAACACCTCCTTCCTGCGCGCGCGGGCCCGCGGCATCCACAGCGTCACAACCATCATCCGCAACGGCGAGAGCCTCCACGCCGAGTACAACACCCTCATGAAGCAGATCGAGGCCATCGTGTATGAGCTCACCGTGCTCGAGTTGGAGATGATGGACCATGATTTGGCGCACTTTGTCGTGCTAGATGACGACCAGAGTGGTGGGAAGGCGGCGAGGAGTGATCCGGAGATTTATAGGGCGGGGCCTGCGTCGGCGTAGCTGGTCTAGCCTTGGAGGAGTACAGCTGCTGGGTTTTGTTAGGGCGTTGGGGGTGGGAGTTAGGACAGAGTGCTGGTGGGGGCTAATGGGTAGATGCTGGGTCATCTATGGCGACGTTGATACTATTTACTGCTTGCGGGTTTAGTATGGTATCTGGTGGGCCCTTTCTCTTGATTCTGCTATTTCGATGAGAGCTTACAGCTTGCTGCTATTTTCGTTTTTTTTTTTTAAACTCTAATTCTAATGTTGAAATATGTGCTTGGGTTGCAATTGGGCGTTTGGTAATTAAAAGAACGACAATGGGGTTCCCAATGGGTGGGACATGGGAAATTTCGGGGTATAATTTGTTAATAATAGAAATAATTGCCTACAATCACGGTGTCTTAAGGTGCTTCTTCGAAAATTTATATGATCACTTTCAAGGGTGAAATGAGTCATAATATGCAACATATTCAAAGCACTTTTTACTGCATCGAAAGCATTTCTGAAACGTCTCAGCTAATAAAGTCTTCAATTTTATTTCTCATATATCTCAATTTCTCTTTTTCACGGCCATCAAAACCCTCCGAATCCAATCAACAATTGCAACAACCCTAACCCACGATTCCAGTTCCTGCATACGCCGCGACAATCGCCGGAACACTCGCCGCAGCATCCATACTAAACAACCACTATCAGCACCGCCGAAAAAATACAAAACAAAACTAGAAGCAGGTGGAACTCACGTGTAAGTATACGGCGGCGTCAAGCTCCCAGTCTGAGTGATTCTCGTGGTCGAATCTGTGAACACGTTGTTCCTCTGGACGGCATACCCTTCATCGTCAGAGTCAAGGTCGGTGACAATGGCAAGCTGGACGCTGTTGAAGTTGTTGTTCTCGACGAGGACTTGGGCGCCCATGCGGGAGTTGATGCCGGAGGTCGGGCAGTCCTCGAAGTAGGAGCTTGGTCATAGTGTTAGAGCGGTCTTGGAATAGAGTGGTGGGACTTGGAGGTACCTGTAGATGTGGCCGGTTCCGAAACGGAGAGAGGGGAGACGAGAGTTGATGTTGATCCAGGAGTTGTGGTGGTAAGTTACCTGCATAGAATTTAGGTTCTGCTAGACGGGAAAGAGGTTATATTGAGTCAAACCTTGAGATAACCGGTGTCTATAATAGGTCAGTAAGCATGAGGACATAAAGTATTGATATATGGGATGTCTTAATCGTACCTTCACTAGCATTGCTGTCAGAGTGTCCAACCAACGATCCCTTCCAGTGGTCATGGAACTTGTTCCACGAGACAGTGACCAAGTTTGATGCGTGGGTGATATCCAACAAACCATCATAACTGCACCATACTATATCAGCACCGTTCACAGCCCATCACTCACCTCCCCCAAGATCACAAGGGAACCTACTCATCCTTTCCACCCGTCAATCCCACCGTCGAGAAATCACAATGATCGATCCAGACATTCGTGGCCCCGTCCAAGGCCACCAAGTCACCACTTGCAGGCGGGATCTTAAACACCATGTTCCTGATGATAACATTATCGGCATCCTTGATCCTGAACCCACCGTTAGTAAGCCCACTGTTGCTTCCAACTCCCAAAATCGTCTTTGTGCTCTCAATGTCGATGATGCCGCAGCCGCTAAGAAGGCCGGAGACCTTGATCACTTTAGCGCCAGAGGCGGCGACGGCGGATTCGAGGGCAGAGCAGCTGGTGACGGTTGTGGCTGCGGCAGAGCCACCACCGGTTGCGGCACGACCGTATCCAACGACTATAGAGAGTTAGAAAGGCCAAGTTGGTCTATGGAGGAGGGGGTTAACTTACGCTCGTCGACTTTTGCGGTGCCAGTCCCGGCAGCAGCTGCGGTGGTGCTGGTGGTCGAGGTGGCGAGAGTGGTGGTCCTGGTGGTAGTCGTGGTTCCAGCAGCAGCGGTGCTTGATGTGGTACCAGCGGCCGCAGTGGTGGAGGCAGTGCCCTATATATGAGCACTTGATTAGATGATTAATATCTCTATCGGAGACTTTCTTGAGCTTACTGCGACACATTGACTGTACCACTCATTGGAGTATCTGTTCCCAACCAGTCAGCTTCAATATCAAATCTGTGATCAGCTCACGAGGAGACATACTGGCAGTAGAACCCGCTAACACAGGTAGTTGCTCCAGTCCAGCTTGCCTTGAAGTCCATTTTTAGCAAGTTGGCCGAATGAGAAGATGGGGAAAGAACATACTCCACCGCACTGGCCATAGGCAGTCTGTTGAGCATTGGCAGAGGACATGAGTGCCAAAACGGCAGCTGGAAGAATAAAGTTTCTCATGGTTGCTATGGTGCTCGAGTTCTGTTTGGAATGCTGAGAGATCGATGGTGATGATGCTCGAATTGAAGAGCTCAGAGGCTTCTCTTATACAAAACATCTCAGTCCTCAACCCCACAAATTCTCTTTGATGCCCAGAGAAATCCCACGAAGCTCGGGGATAAAAAGACGCGATTCTGCGAGCTGAAAACAATAAAGAAGCTCTGTACGCCCCTGCCAAGTCAAATCCCAGGGCCCGTCGGTCCGGGCTCAAATGCATAATTGATACTAGGCTGCATAGCGTCTGATCGGAGGTCGGGGTGTAATAAAGCGGCCTCGGAGATATATATTGGACTGCCCTCTAATTTAAATCCATCGGCGGGTGCTACTCCGTTATTTGACTTGGCGTGGGGAAACGATTTATTTTGCATGCCCAAGACTTTTCCCCACGTTTGGCCCGGAGCGTTCGGAAAATTTCACGGAGCACGACGTTGAAATAAGAAGTGACATATGCACGCAACGTAAAGCATCCCCGAAAGAGGATGGGGTGTGCGATGTTACCATGGCCAAGGCCTCGGTATCTTATTGAGCGAGGATGAGGGAATAAGTATTTCGCGTATTCGTGTGTTACACTCGAGGTGGGTATATCGATACGAGAGAGTACATACGAAAAATACAATATCTACTCACCTCAACACTCAAAATACGGTGGCGAGATATAAGATTGAGGGTTCGGTCAGCGGAGCATTATGAAACCGAGAAACATCCGCGTCAGACGTAAATTAGCCAAGTCGTTGGAGACTGAATGGATGATATCTTTAATTGAGCGTGTTTAAAGGACATCGGTGTTTTATCCGCTTTGTATCACGAGGCAAAAAACCTAAGCGATGGCTTGGTGATAAGACCTCAGGAGACATCTCCGAGCCTATTGAAATCGATACTGCACGTTCTTAGAACCACAAGGGACTGTTGCTCGCGGGCGAAAACGGTGTAATGATTAAGCATCTATCACGAGTTGTTTTCCTCTGATGGTTTTATAAGAATCGTCTCGTTATGTGACTGTCCTGTAGTTAAGTGATCGATATTATACTAAAACTTCACCACTTGCCCAGAATTGAGAACTAGGCTTTGGAATCTAGAGAAATTCAAACCTTGTCCGATACTTGGCTTCACCATCCAATAGCTGTTCTTACACCATAAAATTCATAATTACATTAGTCACTGGTGATATCATAATCATCCCTGTGTAACATGATAATCCTATATTATTGGATAAGAGTTCATTACTGGGCCAGGCAGTCTATTCACGCTGTCAAAAGGAGGTTCGAATGACTAAGTCCAATCAGAAACCTGCACAAATAATGATTGCCAAGGCCGAGTGATATCACATGTCTAAACACTAGTATTTAAGGCCCGTCTGTCTCTTCTTCTCGTAACCATAACAACGGAGATTATCTTGGGCTCTAAATAATTTACTTTTCCCAAGCTAGTTTGGGGACACGTCACGAATCTTGGTCGTCTGATGTCATCCAAAGTTTATTTTATTACAACGTCACTCGTTATAAGAACCAATCTCACTCCACCTTCACCTCCAATCTCCACTACAACAACCCGAATTTATATGTTGCCTCCCAGTTATAATCATCACCTGGCCCATAAAACTGGTTCCGTCCCCATTCAGGGCTGCATCAACCTGTTAGTATACCCCGATTCTGAAATGCCACAAGGAAGACTTACTGATTGATGCCATCATTCCAATCCTGTGCCTCCAATGCCACGCATCCTCCGCTCTTGATCAAACCATTTCCAGCTGCTCCTTCTCCACCCTGGGTACTCTTAATCGGCGTCGTCCCTGGCATCCAATAGCACGAATACAGCTGCACCGCTGCCTGGCCCGTGTAGATCTCCATCTTAATCCCGCTCCAGTCGCTCGACAGAGTCGCCACAGGCTTGGCTATTCTTGGGCTCTTATCCACCAGCCAGCAGTTGTTGTAACCCTCGCATCCTGAGCCAGTACCACAGTTACCCACCCACCCGGGGGTGAGGAGGTTGGTTCCTAGCTGCTTTGGTGCCGACCAGAAGTCATTGATATCGCCCTGCGGGATTGTGGTGATCTCACCAGTCGGCACCATGTTTGGGTCCGGTGCGAGGAGACGCTTGCTGTACGGTGTGTAGTATGTGTGGTTCCAGATCAGATCGGTTTCCGGGTTTGCGAAGGCGTCGAGGTTCCAGTATGTGTGTTGAGTCAACATCAATGCTACCTCCAACACACATGTCAGCAACTCCTTTTATAATTCACAACCTTCGAGCAAAAGGGAGCTCACGAGTCCTCGCCTCCGGCGACAGAGCATGGATCTTAATCTTCCACGTCTTCTCCGTCAACGTATACGTGACATTTGCATCGATGCTGCCGGGCATACCCGTACTGAATGCCGGATCATGGATCCCAAAAGTGATGCTGTTGTCGCTCACAGCGACCACCTCGAATGTACGATTACCCCATCCGTTGGGGCCAGAGTGTAGGGTGTTGCTTCCGTCGTTCTGCGGCGTGTGGTAGGTTACGCCGTCAAGTGTGAACTGGGCATTACCGATACGGTTGGCATAGCGTCCCGGTATAGCGCCCATATGTGTACCTGGGTCTGCGGAGTAGTTGCTGGGTGAGTCGTGGCCGAGGATAATGTCTCGTTCGATGCCATTTTTATCGAGGACGAAGAGGTTTGTGATGGCTGCGGCGAAGGGGATAAACTAGTTCTTTTGTCAGTCAAACAATTAAAGGATCGGGGGCGTTACTAATCAAGCAGAGTACTAACCTGTGCCCTAATTCCAGGTGCACTGATAGTATACTTGCCATCCGCACCCGGGGGTGGAACCGCCGCTGCAGAAAGTGAGGCCGATAGCCCAAGTATCAGGAGTGAGATGCTCTTCATTTCTGCCAAATTTACCAAAGGTGCAAAATCCAGACAAGACCTTCACAATGAGGAAATCAACGGGTTCAAATACTCATTCTGCACCCCAGCTTACCAGAAGCTCAGACAGCTACCACGTCGGCGCTGCAGATAATACTGATCACAGATACATCATTGGCACCGATCCTGTACCTTGCAACTACCTAAAGAAGGTGGTACCAACGCTGCTCCCTCCCGACAACCCCGACGCCACCAGGGGTAAATATATTAGAGCGGGGTAGAAAGTCCGGGGCAAGCATATAGGGCAGATCATCCCCCCTCGTGTCCAGCCCTGTTGCGATTGCTTTCGGCCCCCTTTCGACTGGGTATCTTGAGGAATGAAATTGCAGCTGCAGAGAAGGACCTGCTTATGAACGGTTATAAATCTGCTCATGAACGGGTTTCCCGGGAGGTGATCGGGCGATTGTAACGAGTCGTACGCTTGATCCAACGGAATGCTGTGAAGAATATAATCAAGTTGCGGGAAAGGAGACATATTTCGCCGAATATTGGCGGACGTCGGACCGGGAAAGCGCTGGCCCCCGACTTGAAGGAGTAGTGTAACTGAATTCGTCCCTCAGTATAGTACTGGAGTGACTTCATTAAGCAGATATAGCGAAGCCTTTCGGCATCACGGCACCCAATCGCTTGATAGATAAGCTTAAGTTGAGGGAGTATAAGGTTATCGATACCTGATATAATGTCAATATATATATATATTAGACGAGCTTCAAACATCACAAAATCGAACATCTCGCTAAAAAACTACCACCTCCAAGGTTCCAGGGTATATAAACCAAGCCATGCGACCGTCGGGCGTTTGATGATAAATGAGATATTGCTGAGCTTTAAGGTGTCGTTTCCAACAAATATGGCCCTTAATCACCAGTCAATAATTAGGCCATCAGATAACACAAGTGCCATGCCAGGCTTGACAGAGCTAGAAAAGCGTACGGTGTTTGAGCCAACATGAAATAGAGCCGACAAAGACCGATAAAGACCGATGAATGTGCATGGAAGGGACATGACGTTGTATAAAATCCCATGTGGTTTGAGGGTAGGTTGTTTGGTACGGAGGAGGAGCGGAGCGGCGCGCAGTGTCAAAGTGACAAAGCCACGCTAGGCGCCACCAAGCATCACCCGCTGGATGGACAACCTCCAAAACAAGTCCTGAGAAACTTTGCGAGGTCGTTGTTACTAAGAATTCTCGGGTTTAATTAATGCGTGAGTACATATGTGACTCTCAATATCGAGACCTTACTATATATAAAGAAACAAAGCACATATATTGATGCCATGCCGGTGTTCTTTTGACTCGACGGTCCGAGTGCTAATCTGTGGTTACAGAAGTAACGTTGTCTTCCGGCGTGCTTGAGCTGAACACGATCAAAAGCTAAAGTCGAACTGACTCGACTATAAACCACCCTGCCTTGGTTATTCCCGCAATTACTTAGGTCTAATAAACTAGAATTACGTACGTACTCCGATCATAATCTCTGCACTAAATTTATATCCGCTTGTGACGACCCAAGGGTGAATCGAGAGCCGAATCCGAGCCTATACCCCCATATTGTACGGTGGTATACGTAGTTAACGTTTAACTGATCAATTTTCACATTAACTGGCCCGCCGTCTATCCAACGAGGAAATAGGAGGTTTTGCGATATTTCCGTTTCCATATCTTAGCCTGTCGTAATGGAATCCCTTCAGAACGTAAGAATCGTTAACTAAATGTACATAGTATTAAACGTCGCTCATCTCGCAGTTCCACTATTACATACCACCTGGTTCGATACTTGATGTACTATGGAGCTACATGTAGTATGGAGCTAGTAAAACAAGCTAGCCCCGCTGGGGACAGACCGAATAAACCCTATTATTGTCCGTGCATGGGCACCAGTATACCCCTAGCACATTAACATATAACCGAGCTGTATCTGCAAGCTCTGGTGGTGCAGTCGGTTAGCATATCCAAAATAAGCCTGTAGAAGAAAATGCTGTGAGGAGGACTTGGGTTCAAATCCCAACTAGAGCATCAATCATTTTTTTTTTCTTGCCTAGCGGGAGCCGCTTCTGATAGCATGCGTATATGCATTTATACACATAACGAACGCTTACATCTCAAAAGCAAGGTCTCAATCTCAGCACGTAATCAGGTAAACTACTATATTCACCAGATCTATGCAAAGATATGGGATCCGGAATTAAACCTCTGCTGATTCATAAAAAACAACGGTTGTTTAATTAAGGAGAGATGACGGACACGGAGTGAATACATACGAACAAGGGTTCTTGATATGACAAGGAACAGCCAAGCTACCAAAGCGATCCTTCACATCATTTATGGTGCGCACACTCTTAAAGGTGAAATGGTGGCACACGGAAGTGGAACAATTGTGGCTTCAATAGCTATATAGGGCCTCATGGGCCAATAAGAGGACCCATTTCTAGGCATTTTGCTGCCTCACTGCCACGGATCAGTCAGGTTTGCTTTTTGGGGGGTATAAATGGGTATAATACGGTTCCACTTTGTTCAGTCTTGGCGCATTTTACATACAAAAATACACAATTTCAACCTCTAATAACTTTCCAACCCAGACAAATATCAAAATTCTACTAAAATAGAACCAAAACCCATCACCCGAACCAGAGTTCTATTTATCGCTTTTCTTTTACCATTTTTCGTTGCAAAGTTATCAGCCATTGACATTTCGTCGCGATCCGACAGCTTTAAGCGTGGGCGCACCATATATTTGTCCAAAAGCCCCTGATGCTCTACATCCAGTGTTCGTTATCACCCCGTGAACGACTAGCTGTACATGTACGTACTAATAATGGTTTTAATCTGGCTGTACTGACACAAAGGGCTTCGACATAATGAGTCCAGATTCATACAGGACCATAAATGAAGCATGTCCTAAGTCCATGAGGATAGATCGACATGTTGTTCTATATATATCATTTTTATGAGAGGATTGTACTTTATTAATATTTAAGGTGGCAGCCTGCACGTTGAATCCTATATGTGTCCGGGTAATCTTGATTAACAGCAATATGGCACTGGGTCTGTTTATTCATAGACTATCACTCGCAGAAATGACATCGAAGATGAGTGATATTCCATGAACCTTGGTTCTTCTAGGTTGATTTGAATGCGGTGATGGTACAATTGCGTTCTTAATTAGTACTATATATAAAATATCTTTTTGTATATTGATAGACACACAGAAACGGCGCATATAATCTTAATTCTCCTTGATTTGATTCCTCTAAGGAATAATGACACAACTCCGGGTGTTGGCTAACGGTAGGGAAGCCCGAGGAGGAACCACAGGATTGGCTATACCACTGTACTCTTTCTTCCCTCGCAACGAGTGGAGGTATATTTACGATTATACCTACGACATGTACTTGGAATCCTGCAGTTAATACGAGGTAGTAGAGGTAGAACAAAACACTTTACCATAGAACCCACACGGATGGCTAGGCGGCCATTCCTAGATGACTTAGGCCTGTACCAGCCCTACTTATGCTACTGGGATTATTGTACAAGTAGCGACGGGCGTAGAGCACTTCGTGAACTTCATTAGCACCTGCTTTTACCACAGTCAAGATCAGCACGACCGGTGCTGCCGAGTCCAAATGAAAGCCTAGCTTACCAAACTAGCCCCCTCCAGAACCCCAAGCCCCGAACCCTGACGAAGAACATTGACGAAGCTGGCTACGTAACTTAGCGTGGACCACACTGCGGAAAAGAACAAGAAGACAGCCCCCCCAGAGATCGACCCATTTCATCCACAGTGAAAGAAAGGATTCAACACAAGCCCTCCCCTCAGCACAGCCCCGCTTCATCAACTTACCATCATACAAACCACCCTCTTCCTTATCCTTCATCTCAGCCTCAATGACTACCCAGTACAGGGTGCTCGAGACTATGACTTTGGGCAAAATTGTCCGTCTCGAACGACACATCTTCGAACTGGAGGACGAAAAAGTCACCGTTGAAGCCAAATTCAAGGCTCTCATGCGTGTCAACCCACGCCCCCATGGGCACTACACCAGGAAGCCTATTATTGGAAACTTGGGACTAGTTGGTTTCATCATCCCGTGGCCAAAACGTTACCTCAGACTGTGCGTGCGCGCCCAAAAACCTACCCAGGAGAGTTGTACTGCAGCAATCAAGGGATTCGATGATCAGATCGCGGTCAGGAAGAAGGAGATTGAGATCATCAAGGATGTTCTCGAGAAGATCAAGGAGGTGCCCGAGGAGAGACGCACCAAAGCGTTGCTGAGTTTTACCGATCTCTATAAGGACTGTGAGGATCCAGAGATGGCGTGTGAGATTAAGCCAGTTGCCTGCTTTGAATTCGTGGCTTTGAATTCCTAGTGCGGTTATTTCGCTGGTAATGGAGACGTGGGTTTTGTTCCTTCTGTTGAGTGTGTAACTTACATTGATTGCTAATTTTGAGGTTAGATAAAGTCATGGGATTGCAAGAAGGGGGACCATGGTGCTATAGGTCGAAGGGGTTCATTTCATGAAATTTACTTTACTCAGCTTCAACCAGTTGTTCTCGCTATCGAAGTATGGTATCAAATAAAGTACTGTAGCTTTCTGCAAGTTGATAATAGTATTCAATGTTTATTACGTTTAACTTGATGTCCTCTGGGGATATTTTGCTATGAGCCGTGAGAGTAATAAAATCAGGAAGACTGTACTATCTGTTGAGAGCATCTTGGCGCTGGAGATTCAACGCTGAGAGATCTAAAGTTGCTGTACATGTGCAATAAGAATATATAAGCTTAGGGAATGATATTTGATAAGGTCTGGATCTGGTGTTCTTCGGAATATTCTAAAAGAATGGCAAGATACATGAGCTCGGATGAGAAATTGCAGGTTTGGGCATCGAAATATGGCACTTATTGATCAATCAATTGTATTCCACAATTCTAGTTAGTTCTCTGATTCTTGTATGTACAAATATGGAGCAGACTCCGCATATCTTGTTTGAATAGGAGATAAGATCTATGTTTGGTTCTACGTAGGTATTCTAGCTAGATATTGAAATCAACACCCTATTCAGCGGCCTGAAAGCCATAATAAGCCTATTACCTACATGTAGGTTGATACTACGCATGTGAAAAACATAGGTAGTTCCTATTTCTAGGCGTAGGGTTCGTACTATATAACGTAATAATATCGTTCAGGGGCATATTTAAGTCACCTTTCCCCCGCTTTTGCTCTTCATCCCGCACATTGTCATCAAGTACTTCGTCCCAGAAGTTCATTCAATTCTTTAAATTCTTACAGTTCACCATATCACTGCACCCGTTCCATCAAGGAAGCCAACCTTCCAGATGACATGATTACCGGTGGCAGGTATGTCTACAAAAGATTCATTCATTACTCTCTTTTATCCGTGAGTAGGTCAAACGATTTCTAACGCACTTTGGGAATAGCACTATTAATTGCTTGGTGCCTGTCGTCTGGTTTCAGCCAGATGAAGATTGTAAGTATCATTCCTAAGATAATATCTTCACTTTTTTCTTTCTTTACATACATCTAATCATATTCTCCACTTTAGATTCATGTACCAGACAGCTTCCTATAGATGTAGGTGTACGAGGAGGCCTCTGATGATTACCAGGGGGCTCAGTTCGTATCCACACTGTTATCAAAGGAATTCATTAAATTTACTAATACTTTAACTAGAAGTGCTCTATTCGGCCAATTTTATTTAGCACACTCATTTTCGGGTGGGTGTTTTGGGTCACAACCCCACATCCTTAAAAGGGGAAGCGTGTTCACCTGTATTTTTTCCCAATACATCCTAGCTCTATCTACCTACCTGACATGTCAAAAGTTATATACTCCGCCGCTCCTACCACCATCAACCAACTATGATCCTGGCGGCTACGGGAGCATCTCATTCCTGTAGGGCAACTGTACTGCGGGCCATAGGTGTTCGCCTGAGGAATTTGGTTCGTATTCATTCAACAATTCGATCGTATATCTGTTTTTACTAACACCTTTATCAGACAGACTCTACAGCAGCAGCCTATTCGGCTGCTCCTTCACGGCCTAACATTCGGCTGGGGTCTGGACGCCCCCGAATTCAACGCCTAGAACACCCAGGAGAATGGCAACATGTCTTTTATAGGGTATTACTGGGCCTAGAATGGGTTTGTATGTACCCTAATATCTCTCACCCCTATTTACTTGTCTAACCTTTACTTGGGTAGTTCCCTTCTAGTGTCGGTGCCCGATAGCCAGTTGCCGGTTGGTCGAAACATAAGCAATAGAGCTGATTCAGTTTTGCTTTATTCCTTCCCTCTTGTTTATTGAGGTCTATATACCTCAAAATCAAGGAATGCCTCCCAGCTCCCGTTGGTAAACATATCCGTCCTTCTTTTCAGAACATGTAGCTATATCATGGTTCGGCGCACAAATGAACAGAAATTCCAACACTTTTTTAATTACACCACTAACATCTTTTATAGGACTCTGCGCATATTCGGCTTCTAGACCTGCCCACCAGAATACTATGGCAGTTGAATTTCGCGGCAAACGCATCTGGACTAGAGCTCTTGACGGCTCTGGTAGGGGAAACAGAATTGAGGCCAACCTCAGGAAAAGACTCGACACTAAGGGGGTGCTTGGTTTCTGTACTGTCGAGAACACGCAACGGCAACGGCCAAGAATGATAGGTATGCGTAGGTTTGTATTCATATCAATATTTATTTAAATCCTTTAAAATTCTAATCAGAATTGTTTATCACAGGATTTGGCAAATAACCATTCCATTGCGGGGATGCGGTCACCTTAGCTACCGTGATGGGGCGGCCACGTCACAACATATGCATTGTGGCCGCTGGCGAAAGAGACACTAGAGCGGTTGCTCTCCCCGCTTTTTGTAACATAATCAATACATGACACTACAAAGATCAACAAAGTACATCTGGTTTTTAACATTATTCTGACCACGTATTCTCTATCAAGTACATGTACTCATGCTCACAGTCACGGTGAACCATTGTGTTACATACAGCAGAAACCAAGCGTAAAATGACACCGAAAGCTGTTGAAAGATATGTTTCTTTGATATTCACCCTATAGCTAGGTCTGTTGACCTTGTACTATATTTTTTCTCGGCGTCCACATTGACTATCAATCCCTAATAATACCCCACAATGTATCATAAGGCCTGCAATCTGGAAAAATCCTGTAGGATGACTGTATTGTCGAACTACATGTAATATATAACAAAGTGAGTTTAATTTATTATTCAACTGCAGTAAGACAGTGCACCATGTAGCTATTCAACATCTATCAGATCATGTCTATATATTGCATATATTACGAACGAACTACATTAATGATTATCCTACTATATGCCTTTTAGTAGCCGCGATTTAGAAACAGGGAATGCATAAGTAAAAGATTCCAATAAACCTAGGGGTACATATGCATGAGTTTGGTTTAGCACTCTGTTATTCCACTACCCGATATCCATTATGTAGTTACATGTATATATCTACTGATCAAGCGGGATACCGAGAGGCGTCTCGGCGTAGCACAAACAGCAGCCACTTAATGCGGCTCTGCGGCTCGGCCCGCAGCTAACTAGTGTTTATTATGTACCCTTGCCAGGGCAAAAGTAAGCCACGATCTGGCTCTTCCTTGGCTTGCTTACCTCCGAGATGAGATTTGTAAACTCTGCTCTTTTGCTTATCTGTTGCAACCTAATCAGGCACACTTCCCAAGATATCATCGCTGTCAGATGTGGGTAACACAACTTGAGTAGGGGTCGTGTGGGGCGTACAAATCATTACCATGGACGTGTTTCAGTAGTCGATACCGGAAGGGAGCGGGGGTGGTAAATATGGAGACGGTAGTTAGGGAGAACCCGCACCGGAATGCGCAATATATCGGTAGAGTAGATAATAATCGGAATCGAGGAATGTGGAGATATAATTAAGAGAGAAATGAGCGGCAATATATTGGGATGGGGCAAACAAACTGCGTTGAGGTGTGCATAGAGTATGGCGTGGTATTCCAACAGGCTCAAGGTTTACTGAGCATGAGACAGCTAGCTGCGCAGGCATCTCATGTGGTGCGAATCGAATCATTATTCCACCAAATGTTTCACGAAGATCAAAACTAATTGATGACATGTATAACACACGCATGTAGACATCCTATCCCACCTCTACATGGTTTAGCATGTATGATACCGATACCGGAAGGCTTGACTTATGCAAGACGTCCTATGCCTCATGCTTGAGCGTGCATATACATGCACCTATATTCGAAGACGTTCGTCGTGTATGCTAGGGTTATGAAACTGCGGATAATAATTAGTAAATTTCTCTCTCCTAATAGTTGCCGTTCGATCGAGATCACCTACTTGTTGTGGATATCAAGTCTGGAGATGTATTATAATCATATTTTAAGTTTCTGCCACCGGGTTTGAGTTTGCAATTGTCCAAACTGTGATATGTACTGCTAACAATATAATCTGATGGTGACAATTCTGCTTAATGTAAATTCTCACAAGGCTTTCGCTGGTCCGCGCCAAATTGGCGTTTATAAACACGTTTCTCTGGTCCAAGTGGCATAGTGTACTTCAGATTTCAGCCCTATAATAAAATATTATCTAACTATTAAAATATACATCAAAAATAAAAATATCGTGAAGACGTTACTGGGGAAGAAAACCTTAATTGGTGCGACAGGTGTACGTTGAACCGAGTAAGAGATGTGCCACATCAACCACACCGGAGGAAACCACATACATAACACCACATGAAGCAAGTCCATGATATACCTTTACTCTTTTGCGCAGAAAACGTGTACAGTTTGTATTCTCCGAGTTATATATCACACATATCGAATCGACCCCTAGAAAAGTCCTCCGAAATTCTCTACTAGTGTAGTACGGATGCGGCCTTGGGGACTTTGTTGAAAGATGTTTGTTGAAATTGCGCGAATTTATAGACTTAGATTTCCCGAACAGGCACACCTATAGCTACGATACTTCATGATTTGTGTGAGAGGTTTAATTGGTCTTGCTACATTAATCATTTCATGAGAGTTCAAAAAAAAAAGTCCTTCAAATTGCGCCCAATATGCCCGCGAAAGAACGCCCCTAATTCCCAATAACCCAGATAAAAAAGAGAAAGAAAAAGAAATACACTTGTCACAGGTCTCTCTAAACCTTTCTAGCATAACACTTCAACCACCTGAAAGCCGTGTTCTCCTTCTGACATTCCTCAACAATCTTGTCATCCTTCCAAATTAGACACTCCCGGCGGACCTTCATTCCATAAACCATATTCACCACATTATCATCATCTTCTACTGGTGTATACAGATGATCATATAGGTGCCTTCCCACCATACTCGTAACCGTACTGAGCTCGTCTCCAATGCTAGTAGTAGGCATCCACACCCAGCACTCCTTCACCTCATCGAACAAGGAATTCACACCGGAGAAAGCACTCCCTAACCTCTCCAACGCTGTCAAAATTATCTTGCTAGGTCTCATGCCCCCGGCTAGAGGAATATTTTTCGCAATCCATGTCCTCGTCCGTGGACCCATATTGTTCATAACCGGGTCCACAATTGTTATTTCAAAGTAACCATGTGGCTTCAGTACACGTGCACACTCACGGAACACACCCATAGTGAGCTGTATTAGCTCTTCGGTGGTCTTGTGTTTGTGTTGGAGAAGCAAGAGGGGAAGATTATGTGAAACAATGACGTCTATGCCACCGGAAGCGAGGCCACTGAGGTTTGAGAGTGTAGGAGCAGTGATGTGGTGGACGTTCGGAGGTGAAGTTGAATTCCGCTGTGGGCGAGGAGAGTGCGGGAGAAGTACATTGTAGATTGTGGTAAAAGGATATTCTTCGGCGAGATGCCAGGAATAATCGGCTATAAAACTATTAGTAAGTTATTTCAAAGATTCATCTGAGAGGTTTACAAACCAGTAACTGCACCATCAAGATCAAGGATACTGGATTCCGATACGCCCATGGCAATACCAACATCTCCGCTAAGCTCAATCAAATGATGACCTGGAGAAAAGAGAACCCGCCCAAAGGATAACCATTTCATAGCCATCAAAAACCACACCTGTTTCTCGAGTACCGCTCTCAGTATTCCTGCGCTCTCGTCAAGAAAGAAGCTTCCCTCTCCACCATCCACGCTCCATTCTTCATCCTCCTTCACAGATCTCACCACAGACCGCAAAGAACTTGTGTAAGATACTCTCTTAATCTTTCCGTACTTGGGATAGGAGAACAAGATTGAAGTGTCTTCAAAGTCCTGTAATAGTGATAAAAACATATCTCGCAGAACTGTCGACATCGGAGGACGCTTCTCCTCCGGTGGAGTATTTGGTCTAAAATTCAATGGTATCGGTGACACGGGTCTAGATTCCAATACGAACTCTTCTCGGACTTTTCGAATTACTAGATCGGGGGGTGCTTCAGTGGACCGCCGAGAGAGAGCAACACTGGGTCGCGAGTGCTGGCTAGAGAAAGAGTGACGTCTACTTGGTGGCCTGGTTTGAGAAGTTGGTGGGGGACCCATGAGAAAGATGTCTGCGAAGTTCATAGGCATAGCATCAAGTATCGCCTCCCGGCCTCCATTACGTGCATCTGTGTGACGTCGGGTGAGCGAGGAGCTTGAGGAGCTTATTGAACTGGATGTAGTGCCTGTGCGTTGTAGGAGTGGTATCGGAGGCGCATTTGGTGGAGGGAGCGGAGGAGGAGAACCACGACTGATTGAGGCTGACCTCTTACGGAAGATGTTGAAATTCATACGCTGTGATTTCATAGATCGGCCGGAGACTGATGAGGTTGAGTTTGTGATGGTAGAGTCGTTTGTAGGAACGGTAAGTAGCTCTGGTGATAGAGTCAAGTGGTCGAAACGTGAAGGGTCAAGTGTCCCGTCCTGGTCTTCTTCACTGAGCTGGTATTGATAGTTTTTGAGTCTTTCAAACCTCTCCGCCTCTGCAAGTGCTTTCTGTGCTTTTCGCCTGAGACGCAGGATCTCACGGTCTTCTTCGGATTGGGCATTCGGGTTAAAGAGTGAGACGGCTACATTACTCCGTTGGAGAATAGATGTGGAAGCCTTCTTGTTCGGGAGGAAGGCTTCTGTTGGGTAGTGGACTGAGCCCATCGTGCTACCAGAAGAGGAGGATGTGCTACCTGACATTCGGGATCGTTGGTTCGCAGTGATCGAGGGCGCAGTCTTACTGTTTGCATTGCTATTGAAATCAAACATCGCGCCTGTTGTCGATGCAGGTGGATTCGAGTGCGGTAGTAAGCCCTTCTTTGCTTCCTCGTATGCTTCAGCATCTATATAACCCAGCTCTTTGGCCTTCCGGAGCTCTTGACGTTGCTTAAAGTATGTTTCGCGGGTATTCTGATCCTGCAGAGGTTTCTTGAAGACCATGTGCGCCATTATGTCGATATTCTAGCTGGAAGAATTCCTTGAAGCAAAGGGGTGTTTATGATATGAGCGGGGTCCATATATTTCTTTCCAGCATGAGGAGAGGTATAGGCAGTAGGTATAGTAATCTCCATGAGCCTGCCTACCTGAGCGGGAAATTTTGGTGCATTATAATTGCTTCCAGGTGCTGCATGCTTAAGGGCATTTTGATAGGGTGCGCATCCCACGCTTTTTTTCCCTTCCAGATGACATGCCGGCATTAAATTTTCAGCCGCTTAGAGGCGTCTATCCGTATTCCGTGAGGGTACATTATTCTAGAGGACAAACCGGGATACCCCCTTCTAACGCGGAAAAAAACATATGGGCACGTTGTTGCAGACTTGCAGTGGTGCAGTGCTAATGTGTGGGATTTCACATGTGGTGGGGTTTTTCCACCCTTCGAATAGGCTAGGGCTAGGGTTGCACGTGCGAGTTGCTACGAATTTGATTTGTAGACCCTGACTGGGGTGTCTTCTCGCGTAGCCTCTGGGCGTTGCTTAGCCCTCCCGCAGCACGAATCAGGCAGTGGCAGACACGGACTGGTGGGAAGGGTTCGATGTGAAGAGGGTGATGATGATGATATGCGCTCCATGATATTATACCTGATTGCTTGCTACGGGAATTTCACTTGCGATTGATATGGGGCACACGTTGTTGAGCACCAACGCTGATAGCTGGAGAAGTGATCTATTCTTGGTACGTGGGGCAGCACTCATGTCATAGAAGAGAGTTGCTGTATCAATTGATCATGACCACTCCTCCTCTAAACAGTGATCCCCGAAAGAAGGAAATCATGGTAAGTGATATCATGGACACTTTACATATGAGGAATGTGTTGTTTTATGGATTAGTAAATGCTAATAACACATCTAACTACATTCACATCGGAACCAGCTTCTGAGTGAAGATGTAGTTACATAGCTGAGGACGATTACCACAACACATTTATTGCTCATTCACCATGCCGAACCCGTACCTTATGTTCTGAACTCCCTAGATATTTTCTAGCTCCACAATTGTGGTGCATATTTGCATATGAAGCCGTACCTACATGGTACTGTAAGTTCCAATCTAGTGAGCTTCCTCAAGTGCCGACCCCCTTCCACTGTACTGATTAAGCAACCAAATGCATGTTTCATAAACATTCGAGGTATGCTTCATCACTCCCCAGTTGCTTACTGACCAACCAGAATCAACATACTTCATACAAAACGGTTTTTCCCTTTGCTTTCATTTTTCCTGAATGTGAAAGCCACCCACTATGCAGGGTCGGTAAACGTACGGGCGCCCCCTCCCCGGACAGAAGAAGAAACAAAGAAAAAGTGTAAGGAAAAAGCATATTGGATCTCCAGGTCCGTGGGCTTGGAGACTCGGGCACGTACGTAGCTGCGCGTGGGGGAGGAACCGGAAGTGGTGGGGCGTGGGGTGTATTTATCCTAATGATGATCCCAGGAGACCTTCGGTACATAAATCGGTAAAGGGGTGTTTTCGAGGTTTGTTTAGATATCTGTCTTGACTTGGCGAAAACGTGGGAATGACTGAGGATTCTTGATGATCACAGTGATCTTTCAGGAACGCGAATCTAAGATCGGAGCGCGGTACAGTTCTCAAATATGTATCCTGCACAAAATGGACCTTGATGGCATACTCCATGCCGAGCCAAGTCACCTATATGATTCTTGGGGTTGCGAAGCTACGTCCCGAAGCTCTTGGCCAAAGAAAATCCATACTAGCCACAACGTAGTATTATTACCCAATGAGAACCCCTCCATACCCCACGCTCGCAAGCCACATCTCTCGGCCCGGAGTATTACACGCCTACTGCGCGTGAAGTCGCATCAAAGGAAGAAGGAAAGAATGGGAGCAAAGAATGAACATGTGTTGTAGAGATAAACCCGGGTGTGGTTGCTTCTCAGGCTAGAAACATCCGTAGAGAGTTTTTGGTTATGAACGTGGTTGATCGTCGGAGTAGGACTGGTGTAAAGTTATTTGTTTTTCTTCCCGGACAAGAAAGTCGATGGTGATTGTGATTGTGATCGTGAGTGTTGAATGGCTTTTTGCTTGGATTTTGATACTGTCACTACCCTGAGGTGGAGTACATGCTTAGGATCGAAAATATATCTTCCCCCATGTTAGTTTCTTTTGTGGGGGCAGTGACTCCCATAGGTTTTGATCTGCTATTGGTCCAGCACGTGTTTTGAGGATGTTCCTGAAGCTCTGCTTTTGATCAAGTGTTAGGGCGTCAATGCGATTTGATTGGTGGGGGAACCTAAGATCTACCAGCTGGCCAGGTCAGCCCTGATGAACAAGAAGCGAGAACCTTAATTATTGAAAATATTGAATGCAGATCACACACATCCCCTTTAACTGCCGGTAGGCTTGCTGAAGATATATGTCTCTCCCCGTTCTATTATTAGAGTTGTTAGCTGAGTGATGACTGGAAGGCCGCGCGGTCATGGGTGGATCTTGGTTCTCTATCACACAGTGATGACATCCTCATGAAAGATTGCACCCTGAGTTGCGATGCCCACAGGCCCATTTCAAACCCTTAATCTGCAGGTCTTTATCGTGCCATTCGCACATATATTCTTCGAATGAAACACTATCTCCATCATAGTCATCTTTCATGCCTTACTCTCGATTTCCGACACCCCTTAGTAAATACATGTACGTACTGCGAAGGAGGATTAAAAGCGCCAGTTCATTCCCATCTCATCACTCTTTTCTTTTCTTGGGGAAGATAAAGCATTGAGAAGGAGGGCGGTCTCATTTGGCCTTGAAACGATGCAAGTTAGAAAGGAGAAACGAAATATGATCAATCAGGCTCTACAGTCGCCCCTCGTTCTTCAATGTATTGGGTTATTCTCGGTCCACGACTTCAGTATATTAATTTATACACATGCTTAGTGTGCGGCATTCTCCATCTGACTCGGCTCCCACCTCCGTCATTTCTTTCAACTTATTCAGAAGTGCAACAGTTAACGGAGGTTCACTAGACACCTGAATTAAGCAGAGAAGGTGTTCAAAGAGTGGTAGAGCTATCTACCGTTTCAGTACTCTTCGAATGAGATTGGGATACACCCTTATCTTAACTGTTTGTTATTACTTCTTGTAATATAGGGATCTGACTTAGATATCTCCACTCGATCTTCGAAAATCCAGCGATTGAATCCGGAGACACGCCTGAGATTTTTGAACCCGGTTATGGGCTATTTCTACCAGTCAATGCTCCAGCTTTCAGTTATCAGTCATCCTCGTGTAAATAACGGTTACCTCTCCATATTTATACGTCTTCGATTCAATTCCGGCTCGTCTGCTCCTAATCTTGGGGGTTTAAAGGCTTCCTCCCTTGCTTCTTTCAATAAAATTCATGGCAATTTGTCTACTTGAAGTGTTCTTAAAAATACATGTATTAGCACTGTTGCTACTTTATCCGAAAGCTTAAATATCAGTATTAGGGCAAGGCCCCCTCGGTGGCAAATTTAATAGGAAGGCTTGTCCATTCAGGGGTCCAGATTCATCGGCACAGTGCAGTACTAATTCTTGGCAATTGCAAATGATCGCGTCCTCCAGAATAAGTTTCTGTCTGCTAATCGACACACCACCACATATACGTAGTGTATAGTTCGCTAAAACTTTTCCCGGGATTTTTTCTTTACTCTCAGCTGTATTTGAAAAAGATTTGTAACGGTCCGGGGGTATAGCGGAAATCGCCATTGCAGGCATGGGAATACCCATGTCTTGGTGGCTTAGTTGGTTAAAGCGTCGGTCTCATAGTGTGACCGGTTCTTCATAAGAGTTGGATATCCGAAGGTCGAGGGTTCGACTCCCTCTTAAGACATAGATCTTTCTTTTTTTGACCCCTCTGGATATTCAGATGCAATCAGGGGCTCGAGTGTCGAATTTGGAATGCACCGCGTACTCTAAATCCCCTTTTACCGGTCTTCGGTGATGAGTAAGATCAAAGCAGTATAAAATTTGTGGTTCCCAGCTGAATCGCGCTTAATCCCTGCCTGCTTAGACAAGGAGTTTGAAAAATATTATCGATAGGGATATATAATTGGCCCGCTTGGAACAACTGACTATGGGCAAATTGGCACCTAGTACAGGCACATTCTTCATGATAGCAGCACACTAGATAATATTGCCGACTACCATAATGCTACTACTATTAAACCCCGTGTACAGCTTTACAAATCAACAAGTTTTTTATATAACTATCATATCCATCGATCTAGTTGACCGGAGTTCGTATAACTTTGGAACCCTTGAATATTTATTTTTGGAGAAAGAACACAAAATCGATCACATTCTCAGGCAGCAAGCTGTCATGGTTGTAGATAGTATCATTTCGAAAAGAGAATCATCTATAAGAGAATACTGTTTTAAACGAGCCTCGTCTCATCCTTCCTACACAATTTCCTGGGTATCAGATATACTTCAAAAATCTGTTCAATCGGATTTGTTAATCATACAATATCACTCGGTTTCTAAAGAGCGGGTGTGTTATGTCTTGGCCCCATCATGATCTGAACTTCAACACAGAGAGAAACTCCAACTGATACTCCTTGAACGCGCCCAAGATAAACTCGAAAAATCACTCGACTTCAAAAACCATTATATAGTAGTACGGATAGAGCCACTTCAAATTTTAATTTTCTTTTTTGATAACGAACATCTCTATAACGGGGGTTTCTAATCTTGGCCACTTCCACGCCAAACCGGGTTGGCGCACTATTAAATTCAACTATTCTACCGGAACTGTTGACAGACTGGGCTCTGGAGTGGATGGTAAGATACGTTACTCCCCGCCAGACACTATGGATCAGATTTGATGGCCATGGGGGGAGATCTTTGGTGGGATCTAGAGCAAAGGCCACTCACAAACTTTAGACACACGAAGAGATGTCTCAACTCCTTTCAACGTACCATCCCATCAGTAAACTTCTAGCCAGCTCTCAATTCCCATAAAATACACCCCATCAAAGCATCACCATACCCGCCGCCGGACGCCCTCCTTGAAATTCCATTGTAGCCCAGGTCGGCTGAAGCCACAAGACAACAATCATTACTCCATACATACTTCTATCCTGTACCTACTTACAAATCGGTTCTCCTACTAATTTTATTCGATACAAGTATGTAGACCAGATACGAACTCCATACGATCTCCATGCAGGATGAGGTTATACCACAATTGCAACTCCCCGAACCCACTTCTCGAGTACCGCTACTACACCCGTCACCCCCGAGAGTACCGAAAACGGAAGAATACTACACAGTGCATACATACCCATCGACAACACCCCCCGATCTTCCCCATAAACGTCATACACATATCCAGGGCTAGGTTTCCTACTCCCAAAAAGCAATTCACACCCCTAACCCTTCACTTTCCACCTCCTTGCTCCTTGGCCGCCGTTAACGTTGTACAGTGCATCTCCATCATGCACACGCACTCCATGCTGCAACCTGATCCCAAAAACGTTATCCATGTGTAATGTGTCGCACAGTCTGTTTTGGCCAAAATACACATATGCCTATTCCTTTTCGCCCTGAGGTCTTTTATCGCACATCTCCGACGTCATTTTGTGGTGTCGGCTATCGGGAGTGTTTATCGCATAGGAGATGTGGAAAAATATGGGTGGAGTGGTAGGGTCATAGGGGATCACTCGTGGAATTGGAGAATTTGATGCCCCACGAGTAAGGCCTCAAGTGTCGTTTTATGGATTTCATGTCTCTAGGCTACGCTAAGAACATCGCAAACATGAGAATATCAATGCCCTCACGTTAAATTTGGAGTCAAGCGAGAGGGGAGGGGAAAAAAAAGAAGAAAGGAGAAAAAAAAACGAAGGGGAAAACGAAGGGGAAAAAACGAAATACAGTACAAGAATGAATGCTACCTCAAATCGAGGAAACTGAACACCGCCCAACCAAAACACCCTATCCCGCCTAGAAAACTGCCCCCCTAGGTGTACGTACAACGAAAAAAAAGATAAAGAGCCGTCCCACAAGATTTTGTACCACTAAGCAGATGTCCCATTCTGAGTAGCCTTCATTTTCTCCAACTGTCCGTAGTTCCGCTTGATGGCATCCATAAGGTATTTGTGCGCTGTCATTGCGGGATACTTTCCTAATGGTCCCTGAATCTCCACATTCTTGTTTGCCTGGTTGAAGTACGCAAGGCTGTACCTCGACCGTTGATTCTCCCCCACACTGGGACACCTCACCCTGTGAAACAAACTCTTGAATCTATCATCACTCCATGCCATCAACATATCTCCGATGTTGCAGACGATTTCTCCCGTCTTTGCTTTCACCGGTGTCCATTGATCCCCCATGCCGAAACTCGTGTGTGCTTCTCTGCCAGGGCATATCTCTAGTCCATCCTCGCCTGTGCGCTGATACAGCATAGTCAGGCAGTCATAATCCGTATGTGCTCCTGCACGCCAGTAGCTAGGGGGGAACTGAGACCCGGTGATGTCATGATAGTGCAGGAGGCGCAGTGTGGACTGTGCGTCGTCTACATTCATAACATGTGCTTTCGAGAAAAAGTCCTCGGGGAAGCCAAGAGCGAGGGCGAAGCAAGAGAGAATCTGCATACCGAGGTTGTGGGATTTGACCATGAATTCGGAGATCTTGGGGTGAAATTCATCTGGGAGGGCCGGGTGAGAGGGCCATAGACCTGAGTGACGACGATGGTACTGGAGCGATAGGGACTCCTTCTGATCGGGGAGACCAGTAGAAGGTCGAATTTGGGATTTGCTTTCCCAGCCAGCATTTTCGGTACGGATGAACGAAGTTTCGGCTTTGATTGACTCTGGGAGAGCAAAGAAGGATTGCCTTAATTTCAAAGGATTAGTGATAGAAGTTAGTGAGGCTGACAATAAAACTTACGTTAAATCAAAAACCTCTTCAATTTCAGAAACAGAGGGCGAGGCTTGGTTCACAAGTATGAAGAAACCGCTGTTTTCGGCAGCCTCGATAATTTGGGCTTGAATGATTGACTTTCGAGCCTCGTAGTCATGAAGTGAGATACGAGGGATGGCTCGCGATTTTGTAGCTGGTGTTTGAGACCGGATCTTTTGTTCGTATGGTACCGTCATGGTTGATACTGTAGAATCTTTGTTCGTGAACGGGTTATAGCTATATAGGCCTTGTTTTATATCCTGAAGCTGTTTCCCTTCCTCCCTATCCCTCGTTTTTGGGGAGTCCAGAAACCAGGAAATAACGGCACCTATTAAATAATCCTCAACCCCCATGGGTCTACCAAGACAAAAGCAAGAACAGTCTTCTGGTCATCATTTCCCACATCAACGATAGGACATGCCCGCCGGAGGAAGAATGAATTGTGTGTGTCAAGGATGGTCAGTCCTTGGCCGCATACCATCGGGTCGGGGATTAACCAGCCACATCTGCCTTCCAAGAAATCATAAAATGCTTTTTCGACGCAATCAAGGTCGTATCACTCCGATGCTGTCTCATCTGAAGCCGTCCGGTGAGCCAAGGTGTGTTCTCCGTCCAAAAGATGCACGTTCACCTCCAGTGGACTATTCTAGAGCTCTAGATTTCACATAAAACCGTCTTTCCTTGAGGGCTCGGACATCTTGGGACCTTCACAAACATACTCACTTCTGTACCCAGACCACTGCACAAGCCCTAAAAAGGAAACTTGGCACAAGGAAACAAGCCTTCAGCCCTTCAGCCTCGGCCAGGTAAGTGCAAAGTTGTTGGAGATCGGCGGCAACATGGGGAAAGATAAGAAAAAGAAAAACAGAGGCTTCTCTGACGGGCATATCCGAGAGTAATGGTGCCATCCTACGTATCAGTGCCATGTGCGAAGTGATTCACCGTGTGGAATGAGACTAAGATACCGGCCAAATGCGAAAATCGGCTTTTTGATATGCTCACGGAACAGTAGCACCCGAAGCTTCAATATCAGAAATCGTTAATCCGCCTTCGCTTACATATAACTTACATAGTAAGTGCCCTCCTCTTCGAGCTCAAAACTAGCTCTAGTGATCATGCCCAGAGGTCATATTAGAGAATTCCCTATTGTTCGGGTCAGGTCATGGCAGGTAGATGTTTATGCGCTCAAGTGGGGCGGTGTAACAGTCGGTCCGAGTCTCCGGGATGAAAGTTAGGGGGGGGGGGGGGGGATAAGATTATCGAGAGTTCCCGGTTCTGTGGGATAGGGCCCTGAGTTTCTTATCCGTATATTGGATGAAAACAGGAAACTGGAAGTTTGGATCCATGTGAGTGGTTTAGCTCGTGCTCACTCTGGACGGTAGTTTGCGTGCTAAGTAAGAGAGGGAAGGTAGAGGTTCTAGTCACAGGATGGTTTGGTATAGCAAGTGGGTTGGTATGTTTCTGTGTCCTCCAAAGTGTGATTCTCCTCGATCCTCCCAAAGGTGTTCTTTCCCACGTAGTACATGTTGCTTGAGATATTTCCTGAAGGTGTCCTTTGATAGTAGGCCATAAGCTGGTGCAGACTGAATAGAAACGAACAGCCAAGGTGCTTGAGTGAATCCACCCTGCATTCAATGATATCCATTTCGGGGTTCTGGAGGTAGTAGTGCACATGTAGTACCGCATGACACGGCAAGTCTACTCGAGTACCACCGTTGGTACTACATACCAAGATAACCCTAATCATTACCCCGGTCCACCACCACAAACCACCTCACAAACACACAAACGACACTTCCTGAACAACAAGATCAGTATCCAGACATGTAGGCATCATCACTCCCTCCGTTGTTCTTTCCGCAACGTCCACGATGCTGCTAGCTCAACCCCTGTGCAGCAGATCGAGCTATATCTATGCACACATAATGCAATTCCGGGGCACCAATATCGGCATTCCCGAGGCCCCGACTCCCCGACTCCCCGACTCCCCGACCTCTCCCCACTGCATGGGACAAGCAAGAAAGCTCAATTGCACGCAACCTTAACCTTACTCCTCCACACATCCACAATGATCTTATCCGTGCCACCCCCGTTGCTTCTTGGCAAACCCGTGGTCTGCATTGTGCAGGGCAACGATGTGGGTTTTAGTAATGGGAATCCAGGATTGGGCTTCTGAAGATTGAGGGAACCAGTTAGCGATAGACGTTGGGCGGTGGTCCAATGAGGTTATTGCTATATTTGAAAGTTGTACAAGCAGTGTATTATTCTACACTTCTACCTGGCAGTGATTCTACGAAAGCAGGTAATCTAGACCAACCATTGGCCAATTACATCAGTCCGCTAATCTATCCAAAGACCCAACCAACTACACTACACGGTCAAAAACACCACTACATACGAAGCACATCTAGAGTAATCACAGAATATTGCAGAGTAACCCCCAGCTTCGCTTTTCGCCGAAGAACACTTTGTTGGCCTTAAAACCCTGGACACTACATACATGTATCTACGTTTTTGTCCTTCGCTGGCCCATGCAACCCGCCAACGTTGCCGGAGCGCCATCACGGACAAGCCCGAGGGTACACAAGGGCCCCAGTATACCTACGGCACCGACTGGCGAAATCCGAAAAGCCACCAGCGTACAAGCCTTTACATACAATGATATATACCTGGAATAGTAAGGACCATCAGCTTAGGTCTAGACCAAAGTACCGAACGGCATTTATCCTCTGCTTTATGAAACAAGAATATAGTAATTGATACTCTACGTGTCCAGGGTCCATATAGTAATATTGCCATGTCTAGCATATTAATTCACTCAGCGCCGAACGGGACTCTATAACTCCCTTATAGACAATGGCCTTAAAAACACACCCTAATAATTCCGTAAATAAAAAAGCAACTTTTATGTCTTGTTCGACCATCACCCAATTGCAAGACAAAATTATGTGCGCACTCAAACCGTTGAACAGCCTAAAGCTCAATACTTGATCCATCGAGAACATCCCATTCAACTGACCCTGCCGGATCCTCCTGTTTCTCTTCAATCCCAAGACAATATAGAGACACATGGAGCCAGCCCGAGACCAGCCCGGACAAAGCCGAGCGCACCTCCACGGTCTCGACCAATGCAAACGACCAGCCACCCGGACCCTCCCTCCCTCCCCTCTGGCGCAATAGTAAACAGCAATGCCACCACTGAACCACCAATACATAGAGAGAGTAGAGACACAACCCCCCCAACGTACGGACCAGTGGGCAAAACGGCCCGGTCTAGAAACGAGAATACAAAATGGTTGGGATGAAACCATCACCGGCCGGCGGTCTGATCGTGGGTTAGGGTTATACATCTACATGTAGCTACATACATGTAGTTTGGTAATAATTGCTTCTTTGCCATATTTATTATTCAATTGAGGACACCTGTACCTACTGTAGAGTAGGTACTCTACATGTAGCCAAAGCACCTTTCTGGCCGGTCTTTAATTCTTTCACACGATAAGCCTGTTCTACCCTACTGTAGTGTACTCACCCTGCCAACATTAGCTTTTTCACTCAGTTTAAGAGTATTTCCCTACAAAGTTTTCTTAATAGACGGCAATCATTGTGAGTACTCTAGAGTACATTTTTTCGGACCGGTGAACCCATTGGCGGCACCACACATCACACATCACTACATGTACGTACGTACGTCTCGAGTTCTACTAAGAAAAAGAAAAATACCACACGCTCGCTTAGGCGTGCACCAATCACTGTCAATATCTACCTTTTTTAACTATCCACTCTAGTCCCTTCCTTTCTGCTCTACCGATAGGTAGTAGTAGGTAGAGTATGTACTCTACTCGGGCAAATGCGAATACGAGCGTGGAGCACCCGATAAATTGTCACATTGCGATGAGCGAGCGCTCTGGAGTATAGTACAGTCTAGTTAGTTACCTCCGCTATAGAGCACCGAATGCCAATATGTAAAGCCACAAATCTACTATTGCAAACAGGTTTTGGTGATCCGAATTTCAATTTCGCGTGGAAAATGATGGAATTTCATCTGCTGTACCGAGTAGCCTGCTATATGTATCGAACGATAAATTTTGGAATATGCAGGTTCGCGGAGGGAGACTGTGATGCAGGGTCCTCGTTACATGTCAAGTCAAGTCAAGATTCTAAAGTGGGGGGGGATGGGGGATGGGGGGATCTTTTAAGTAATGGAAACGAGTATGTATGTAGGCCCAGGTATCCTTGGCGGGTTGGCTCTACTCTAAATGGCCGCGGCTCCGTCACGCGGGGGAGAATCCCGAGGGGAGGAAGAGTCGAGTGATGGCCTGTGCAGTAACCACAACTACACACTAGCTAGCTAGGGTGAGGTCCACCCGCGAACGAGGACCAAACTTCCAGAAGTTCAACGCCATGGCGGGAATATAATAGGCAATGGTTAATTATGTAGCTACAGGACTGCACTGTAGAAATAACTAGAGTAGGCCGCTGTTATTTTGATTTCCCTACACATCAACAAACAAACCGGTCCCATCCCTCGGCACCTCTCCCACTCAATCTAAAAGCGCGAATACGGCAACCTACACGACACGCACCCCATTAGCACTCTCTCACCCACTCCCACTCTCCCCTTTCCCCTTCCCCTTTCCAACCCCCCAGGAAGAAAAGAACTCACCACTTCCCCCGCAGCGTAATGACCGCCCAGTCCACGCCCTTCTCATCCGTCTCCTTTTCCACCTTCGTCGAGAACGCAATGGCACTCATGATGCCATCACCAAACTTCTCGTTCAGCACCGCCTTGTACGCCTGCCCGTACGTCTGCACAATCTCATACAGGCGGTAGATCAACGGCTCTCTCGCTGTTCCCCTCTCACCCACATCAGCACTCACTCACTCACTCACTCACTCCCCATCAAACCCCCTCTCCTTCTCACCCCCTTCACCCCTTCACACCACCCACCAACACCCCCAGGACAGAAAAAATACATACGCGGCATCTCCACCGTCCCGCCCCGAAACGGACACCCCCCCAGCTCCGCCTGCAGCACACTCTCATACAGCCCCAGCGCCTTCGACAACTTACGAATATCGTCCTCGTCCGCCCTGGCCTGGCCATAGAAGATGGCGGCGACGGCCACCTCGTCGCGGCCGAGGATCTGGCCGAGGTCGGCGAATGTCAGCTGCGACTCCTTCTTCTTGGCGAAGAGGAGGCTGCTGGCGGTGGGGGTGTTGGGTGGCAGTTTCTAGACAGAGAGGGGTGTTAGCTGTGCTGAAGGAGGAAAAAGGGGGGGTGAGGGAGGGGAGAGAGGGGGAGGTACGTCGAATGACATTGTGAATGTAAGTTTGTAGTATCTATTGTAGTGGTGGTGAAGATGGGTCGAGTCTGCTTCTGCTGAAGAACGTAGAGATGAATCTGGCTGCGGAATTGAGAAAGACAGAGAGACAGAGAGGTTTATGTTCTTTATGCACCCTCCCTCCCTCCTGCCCTTCACGGGCCCGCCAGGTGGGGTTTTTGTTCCGCGGGGCACGGTCGGGATCTGGATAACGTGGATAACGTCATCGTTCATCGGGCGGATCCCCCGGACTTTGCTTTTTCTTGGCCCTGGGAGGGACTAGCCTGTTTTCGGTGGCGGGGAAGGAGGGATGCGCTTTCTTTTCTTTCTTTGTTGGCTGGCCCTACAGAAGGAAGGAAGCCTGAATAGGAAGGAAGGAAGCTATCTACAAAGATGCTCTGCTCAGCACCCACAGAGACAGAGACTTCACTGAAACCCTCTCTAGAAACTGCCACAGAACTATATTGACTGATATACAAAAAAAAAAATGAAATTTTCCCTATTCCCGTGCCTATGCTAGGATATCACTCTTAAATGCTCTCCCCATACCCCTAACCCATCCGACATTTCATAAGACATCTAAAGAAAAATCGTTATACTCCAACACTTAACCTAACCTAACCCAGCTCAAGTATAAAGCGTCTCTGTCAAAGCATTCACTACTCATCTCATTAGCATCCATCCACGTATTTAAAAGGAAGAAAAAAGAAGCGGAATACTCACGTCCCAGCCCCTCCTTCGCAATATCCTCCTCCACCAAAAAGTCCAAAGGCATCTCCACAAGGTGTCCCTTAACCTTACTCAGCAGCTCCTTCAGCTCCCACACGCCCTGCGGGCCCGGCGAAAACTCCGACTTCACCACATGGCCATACTCGATCATCGCCTTCGGCTTGACGTCCTCCGGCTTCGGCTGTCCGGCCGCGGCTGCCTTCGCGGCACGTTCCTTCGTCTCCGCCTCGGCGCGTAGCTTAGCCTCCGCGGTCGGCACAAAGTACTTTGAGTAGAACTCCTTGTACTGGGCCCAGTTCCTGACGCGGTCGTTGGGCACTGCGTGGAATGCCTTGCTGAAGACCTCGGTGTTGGTCCTTGCCGTGCTGTTCCAGAGGTTCCAGAAGAGATCGCCGAGCGGGTCTACAACGAGGCTGTCTTCGTACGAGTTAAAGTCGTAGCAGTTGGTTATGATATGGGGAACTGTGTTTCTGTGATAACCGCGCTCGTCCCGTTCGGGGATGAATATAGGCGCCATATTGCTGTTGTTGTCGGTCATCTCCTGCGCGGGGATGAGGCCAAGGTGCTTCCTAAAGATCTGGCGGCGTAGCGTGGCCGCGAATTGTTTGGCTGTGTAGGGCTGCCCGTTCATGTAGGACGGCAGCTCGGTGGGGTCATTAATGACGATTGCAATCTCCGAGTCGTGGTCGCCGAGCTGACTGCGGTCGTTCAAGTTGGCTGAACCGCAGATGACGGTGCTGTCGTCGGCGATGAGGAGTTTCGAGTGCACATATAGCTCTTCGGAGACAAAGGCGTCCATTTCCCGATCTGGCTCGCCCTCCCACGGGACGTTGCGAATGTCGGCGCCATCGAGCATTACGCATCGTGAGACACTGTCCCATTCGCTGCTGCCGCCTGGCGCCTTTTGCTGGTACCGGGGGTAAGCGTCAGGTTGAGGGTTTCCATAGCCATGGGTGCCTGGGCCGTGGCCGCCGCCAAACCTGTCGTCGTATGCTGCGGCAGCATCCTCATAGGGTACGCCGGACTCTTGCTGGACTCGATCCATCGTGCGGGAGGCATTGATTCTATCGTAGTTGCGCAGGTTGTAGAAACGGATGTACTCCAACGGATTAACGCCTGACTTTGCGATCTGCTCCATGATTGAGAGTTTGTTGTCTCTGCAGATGGACCGGTATTGGAACTCCATAATAGCCCTAGTACCCAAGCTTCCATCGTCCTCGAGATCGCCTGCAAACGCAGGGACAGCTGGCATAACCACGACGACCCTGAACTTCTCTCTCCTCTCTACAGCCTGGAGGATACGTTGGACGATTGCAGCGCCAATCTTATTGATGATGGGAGTCTGCCGGTTGTCTGTCGCCGTGATGAAGAACTGGTTTTCGATGTAGATAAAGTGCTGCGCTGCAAGAATAACCTCAATATAGGCCTGGCAAATGGAGTGCTCCGTCACGGGGAGGTTATGAGACCATTTACTGGCCGAACGGACAATCTGGCACTGGACCCCGACAAGGTCCGCGTGATTACCGCGGCCATAGGCCCTTTCTTCTCTCTGTTCCTTGGTGTAGTATTGCCGCTGTTCGTTGACCGTGATCGGTTCGAGGAGTGAGAATCTATCGTCGTTTCGTATCTTGTACTTCTCGGTGTAGATATAATTCCAGCGCTCGACGAAATGGCGCTGCAGATCAGCCACTGTCGGACCCGTGAAGGATAGTGCGACATCAGTCCATCCCATTCGAGAGGATTCGGTGCGCGATACTTTGTTCTGGTCCCATTTCTCAACAGTGTGGAAATCCATCAACCTATCATCCGTTCAGTAAAATATCCATCCAGGCCTTAGGCAAAATTCTCACCTAGCGTTATTGTAATCCTGCCCAATAAAAAGGACTTCGTTAACATTCCTTGGGTGGGCGTCGGCGATAGGATGGTTATTCGTGTCCCATCTTCCGAAGCACAAATCCAGACCACCCATGAAAGCGATCTCCCCATCAACCAAACACAGCTTCTCGTGGTGCGCCCAGTAAAGCACGACACCGTTGCTCATACCGTAAAGCCCTTTGAGCCCATCGCCGATTGAGTAGTTTCCGCCCGAAATCTTCTTCCAGATATCCTGCTGCACTGTCGGCCTATCTGGAAGATGGTCGGGATGCCTAAACACAGCAATATTTTTGTGTAGATCCTCAAGGTGGTGCTTGGTGTGCGATGAGTTCACTGTGACAAAACCAGAGGCGTCAGAGGGGTACAGGAGCGGGTATTTGGCCTCAAGTGTTTCAAGACCATGAAATGCAAGGGGCAGAGCGATGTTTGTAGCCAGTGAAGATAGGAAGGAGAGCGGTTTGGAGGAGGTGGGAGTGTGCTTTGAGATGAGAGACGAAATGTATGGGGAGAGGACGGGTTTAAGTGACTTACGGGTCAAGGCCTGGGTAACCTCCTTGTATACAATGATATTGACCTTAACACCACGTCTAGCGGCTTGGTAAAGCATACTGTCGAGACGGTATCGGTCGTCGGGTCCTCGAGGCCTTCGAAGATAAATCTCAGGACTCAACCACCCTATCCCAAAAGATTAGCTAGCCCCTCGCAAACGCAAGGAGAGAACCGCATACAATCCAGGATCCAAATGCTTTTCTGGGCATTTTCCAGAGCTATACTGACAGCATACATGTAATCCTTCCCGTCAACATACCACTTGACCGCATTACCACCCCTCACGGGTGCAAAGGAATCAAATCTTTCATCAGTAACCTGTGCTGGTGCTCCACTTTCGCCGGAAGCTCCCAATGATGCAGTCGGCTTATCCGGGTGAGATGCCGGTCCAGGTATCTTAGCGTTATGAGTTGTGTTCACTGGAAAAAATGTCCTAGCATATCCATGCAGTGCCGAGTTTAAGCCGGTTGTAAAGGTATTTAATGCAGACGTCTCAGGCTTCGCCGGGCCGGCCGACGCCCCCGATGAAACCTTTGCAGGACCTGCCCCACTGGGAGGGTTTTCCTGTTGTGCGGCATCGGTTTGCGGCTTCTGAGCATGTGCACCAAAACCGGCAGCTATGCCTCCCAGGGCCGCCAAGGGTATGGGTGGTGCGTTTTGAGGGACAGTTACGGTATGATAAGTGGAAGGTGGCCCACCGTGTGAAGGCGAAGGATTGTAGCCAGATTGCGCACCGTAGGCGGGAGACGGCGCATTGTAGATCGGAGCTGGCGCATTATATGCGGGAGACGGCGCGTTGTAAATCGAGGAACCGTAGCCTGAGCTAGGAGGCTGAGATGGTGGGTTGTATCCGTGGCTACCATGTGCCGGGGGAGCTGGTGAGTGATAGCCGGGAGTACCAGGAGGTGGACCCGCTGGCGCTTGGTATCCTGCGTAAGGCCCTTGGGCTGGTGAGGGTTGATTGTATCCTATATAAGATGCCGGTTGCTCCTGCGGGCGGAATTCATAGCTAGGCTGCTCTTGCGGATGATACCCGTGGCCATAACTTTGCGGTGGAGGTGGGCCCGGCGGTCCCGAAGGCGGGTACCCTCCATAACCTCCGTACCCCGCCTGCGGCGGGGGTGGTGAGGGACCTGGTTGATAAGTACTTCCGCTGTACGCACCATCTCCACCATAAGCATTGGGCTGATAAGAGGGCTGATACTGAACCGGGGGAGGCGACGTCGGTTGATACACATACGCTCCTTGTCCGCTTCCATATCCAACACTCGGAGGGGATGGGGTTTGGTACGTTTGCGGCTGACTTCCATACGCCGGCTGCTCTCCGTAGCCCGGATGGCCGTATGCCTGCAAATTTGGCCTCTCGCCGTAACCATGACTTTCCTGGTGCATGCCGTAGCCACCGTGCTCGCTGGGGAATCTGCGCTCACGCTCCCGTGAGTCGGACCTCTCCTCATACCGGTGTTCACGGCGCTCCTCGCCGTAACTACTTGACCTCTCTTCTTCCTGAACATATTCATGTCGGCGATATTCATCTTCACGGCGCCCATAACTACTGGGGTCGCCGCCGCTGTAGCCCTCCTTCTCCCGGCGCTTTTTCTCTTTCTTTTCTCTTTCGCGCCTCTCTTTTTCTTCTTTGTCGCGCTTCTTACGCTCGTCGCCAGAGTCTCCTTTCTTTTCTTTCTTTTCTTTGTATTTTTTCCCCGAGTTGTGGGAGTAGTCCTCCTCGTCTTCGGAGTTTACCCTGTAACTACCGGCGCTTGGTGATCTGCGGCGAGAGCTCGGACTGTAGTTTTCGTGTCTCCCCATGATTGGCAATTGTCTTGTGAGACCAGTTCAATGGAGAGGGTGTAGGGGAATATGCGGTTACTAGCAGTTGTCGAGATTAGAGTGATCTAGAGAGATTGGATTTGGGTAGGGGTATATATTTAATGAGATGGGGACGCGAAATGGGGAGATGAGGAGATGAGGAAGAGATGAAGGGATGCGGGATGCGAAATGGGAGATGAGAGATGAGAGATGAGAGATGAGGATGATGGAGATGATGGGAGATGATGATTATTAGAGACTAGAGAGGATAGATGGAAATCTCGCAAGGGAGGGAACCACAGCTCTTTTGGAGTAGTGGGGGGAGGGATCTGTGAGGGAGAGATAGGATAGAATGATGGGAGGGGAGGGTGGATGGATATACTCTAACACACCTGTCACCAAGGTCAAGTCTACATACAAATGACGTTACCACCACTGCCAGTTCTGCTGGGCGAAAGAGAGAGGGAGGGAGAGGGAGGGAGGGAGGGAGGGAGGGAGAGGAATGGAGGGAGTGAGCAGAGAGAACATTTGGCATGGCATGGAGTAGAGTACGTATTCTTTCTTTCAGCTCCTGCAAACGCCATCTCTTTCTCTCTCGTCTCCCTCTCAGCTCCCGGAAATAGAGCAATATCTCGGAAACAGTACCTACAACCGATGCAGTAGTAAGCATACAGTCTGAAAGAGGCACAGAGCCATCCGGGTACAATAACTTGTAAGGTAGAGCAGAGCATACCTACTCTACAATACCTACACCAGGCGATCTAGAGGATCAATCTCATCTCATGTCTTCACACAGATTCCTGGGTGTGACAAGCACTCTGAATGTGTATGTAGATATACCTCTACCCAAGATATTGAAACACACATGCCATCCCGACGTTTCAATTCTTTATTTTTTCCTTGCTCCAGGGATGACGTTTCGATCCCCCGCAGGATGCTGGTACGAGACGTTCGTGCCACCCCAACCGGGCAAAAGAGAAAATATTGGACAACAGGCATAAATCCTCCGTGGCCATCCAGGGACATTGGCTCTGCATGCCCGAGTACGTAAGCTTCATGCTCTGGATGCAAAAGAAGGAAGACAGAATTAAAGACTTGGAAACAAGCTCTGGAGTCTGAACGAACAGAACGAATAGAACAGAAACAGAGTGCGGGTTGGATAAGCCTGTTGTTATCTTATCTGTCTTCTCTGTCACGGTCGCCACACGATACGTGTTCCCAGTCAGATGAGATTAGTATTTACTACATGTACCTACTCAATGCCTCTCCGCTTTTAACGGTATTTGAGTTGAATCTCATAATGTGCCTAGCACCTAGCGCCTAGCGACGAATCTCTTAGGAGCCATCTCAATCTGCTACTCGGGAGGCTTAAACTCCAGATGCCCGACAAGATCGTTGCGCATTTCTGGATCATGGAGCAGATAAGCGAGTTGTTTTTGTGCGCACTTAATCCTGCACAGTGATTGCTATGGGGACCGCCAACCACCACCAGAATTGAGGTCCTGCGCCAAGTATCAGCTAAAGTACTGCGCATAAATAAGACAGGTCCCAAGAAGACTCGCAGCAATGATGGATGGGCACGCGACGCCATCTCAACGTTCAGGAGGATGTTTGATTCGGTACACATACCTGATTGGCAGGAAACGGAACCTTGTAACTCTGTCGCACGGAAACCCTAACCCTATACTCGTACTGGTAATTAAGATCGAGAGGATTCGTGGCCTTCAAGGAAATATATCTTTCTGCACAGAAAACTTCTTAAACTCCCCGTCAAGACACGAGCTAGAAAAGCTATGGGACCATCAAGCTTTTTTTTTCTCCCTCTCGGCTCCTTGGGCGCATACTTATACCACTTTGAACCAACCTTTTTCATTCTACATACTAGGAATTGCGGGCAGTGGCGCATCTACATACAGTGATCGAGGGTCAAAAGAAGCGATGGCCCAGAAAGCTCTTATGACTAAAATGTTGAAGGCACAATTGAGTCATTGCTAGTTACACGCATCTGCATACTCTCCGCCAGACGCGATTGGAAGATCGTAGGGGTACATACATACAAAGAGAAAACACTGGAGTACGTACAGGCGAAATCCCTCATGGAGCTGGCTGCCGACCAAATTCCCATACACGGGGCCTCTATAATCTCATGAACCCTGTCTAGAAAGTGTCTGTACGGCTCGCCCCACTCTCTGCATTACCGAAAGTACAAAATGCGACTGATAATATTCCCGAGTGATAATGTATGACGGCAACAACACTCACACACCCACACACACATACCTATACCTATCAACCCCCACACCGCCCTTCTTCTACTTGCCCTACACATGCTATCTGTCACATACAAACTCCATGTAATCCCTGGTTGCGCAAATGCTTAACCCCCCCCCCCCCCAACCCCCGCAGAGCGGATATTTTCGGCCCCACCCGTCCGCTCGACAACTGCCGTGTAACCCATCACGCCCCAATCCAGAACCCTCCATTCCCAACGGGGCCGTCTATCTCGACCGCCGGCCCACATGTGTATGTGCTGCTGCGGCAAAGGCACAGATAGATATGGAAGAGGGATAGCGCTGGAGTTGTCATCGCGCGGTTTTGATGACGGTGGGCACTGTGGGTTGGGCGGGTGTGATTACGCGGATAAGGTAATGTGTAAGTGGGTGGGTGGTAATGATCGAATCGGCACTTTCATGGGGCTGTTTTGATAACTCCCCAGGTTGAATGGACGGTGGGGATTGGGAGAATATTTTAAGAGTACCCACAGCTAGAAGCCGGTTATGTTATAGGTTCGTTTTTGCGTTCAATGCTCGAGTGAGGGTGGTGCTCGAGTGGTCCGGAAGAGACACATCTATTGTGAAAAGCACACCATAATGAGAGCCACATCGATCTACCAAATCACCCCCACTCTCCCTCGAAATACCTGAGGTAGAAGACATGGATGTGTATCTCCCGATATCATATCTCCCCCGCGAGGGCCGACATATACAGGATAATAGCTAGCTAGCAGCCATATCAAGTTCCTGTATAAATACCGCCATAAAGCCCTGGATTCATCCAAAATAATAGTGCTTCTACCATACCCTGGGTCTCGCAACTCAAACTCACAAAAGCAAAAATGGGCTACGCTACCGCCGTGCTGATTGCCCTCCTGGTGTACCGGCTGGGACTGTATTTATACCGCTATACGCTGCACCCGCTGGCGAAGTTCCCGGGACCACGGCTGGCGGCGGTGTCCTCGCTGTATCAGATCTATTATGATGTGAGCATGTCTGAAATGTTTATAGGCCTGGCAGATAGATACTAACGTGCTGTGTGCTAAAGATTATTAAAGACGGTCAGCTTACATACCATCTCCAAGACCTCCATAAGAAATATGGTAAGAATACCCCCAATCATGATAACAACCTCTTCTTCCAAATATCTTCAAGCTAGCTATTTACTAACCTTCCACAGGCCCCATAGTCCGCATCAGCCACAACGAAATCCATCTCTCCCCACCCAGCGCCTACCACGAAGTCCCTCCCCCCCCCCTCCTCCCCGCCCTCCCTCCCCCAACAACTAATACCTCTCTAGATCTACCGCCTTAACACACCCCTCATCAAGCACCACGGCTTCTACCAGCTCTTCAACCTCTCCAACTCCTCCTTCGGCACCGTCTCCAACGCCGATCACCGCCGCAAACGCTCAGTGCTCAACCAGTCTTTCTCGCGGCGCACAATCTTTGAGCTGGAGCCGCTGGTGCAGAGCAAGGTCGACAGGCTGGTGCAGAGATTAGAGGACGAGTATGCAGGTGTGGGAAGGGAGGTGTGCGTGCATAATGCGTATCAGGCGGTGACAATTGATACTGTGTCGGATTTTTCGTTTGGGATTAGTTATGGGTGAGTATTTTCTTACGAATAAGTGTTACATTCAACCCTCGTTCGATCTTTTGTTAGTAAATAAGTAAGTAAATAAGGAGATGATACTAAATATCCCCATTGACAGCGTCCTCAACAATGCCGACTTCCGCTCTCGCGCCATGGAAGCCTTCGACAAGCAACAAGAAGCCTTCCTCGTCTTCAAGCACTTCCCCCTCCTCGCCCGCCTCGCCGGCAACATGCCCTTCTGGCTCGCAAACCTGCTCATGCCCGACGGCGCCGGCTTCCTCGAAATGGAGCAAGACTGCCGCCACCAGATCCAGCACCTCCTCTCACCCGCCGCCGACACCCCTCCAGCCAAGGCTGGCCATCCAACCATTTTCAACCGCCTGCTGGAGGCATACCCGGACCCGGACGAGAAGACGATCGACTATCTTGCGAAGGAGGGCGTGACGGTCGTGAGTGCGGGGACGCATACGACGAGGCATGCGCTCTGTGTGGGCACTGTGTATGCGCTGCAGAAGCCGGAGGTTGGAGAGCGGCTGCTGAGGGAGCTGAGGGAGGTGATGCCTGGTGTGAGGGATGTTGCGTCGTTGAAGGAGTTGGAGAGCTTGCCGTATCTGGTGAGGTGCTATATATCAAGGATAGGTCTCGGGGTTAGACTAATATGTTGCAGACGGCGTTTATCAAGGAGTCTCTGAGGTTGTCCTACGGCGTGGTAGGCCCCTTGCCACGAGTAGTACCAGCAGAGGGTGCAACTATTGCAGGCGCATTTTTCCCTGGCGGTGTAGGGTCCCTTGGCTGCTCATAAATTCTCTCATACAACGAGTGCTAATATAAAAATATATACAGACCGTAGTAATAATGGACTCCTACATCGTCCACCATAACGAAGACCTCTTCCCCTCCAGCCACGAATTCGACCCAACACGCTGGCTCGTTCCCAACGCTAAGGAGCTCGATAAGTACCTAGTCAGCTTCTCCGCCGGGTCGCGACAATGCCTCGGGATGAAGTAAGCCACCCCCTTCCCTTCCTGAAGTAGACTAGACAGTGGGTGCTGATAGTGAGAAGCTTGGCATGGGCAGAGCTGTATATGGTGTTCGCGAGGGTATTTAGAAGGTTTGAGATGGAGCTATATGAGCATGAAGGAGAGGGGATAAAGATCGTGGAACATTGGTTGCCGACGGTGAGGGGCGAGAAGGTGAGGTGTACGTTGAAGGTTAGGGAGGTGTAGTGTGGGTATTTTAGGTGAGTGGAGTATAGGGGCGTTTGGTAGTCGGTATATATAGTGCACGTATTTGAGTGTAGGTATTGGTTTAAGTGTTGTATGGGATTTTCGTAATTTGATTATTAGATGGAATCATGGGACATCACTCGGAACTGTGAATCGGTGATTTTGAATAGCTCCGAGCTAGAACCATCTACAATATCTGGGCAGCCGGCGTCACAGTCTTCAACAACCTCCTCAGAAAGAAGACAATTTGATAGATAAATGCCAATCATCACAAGAATCCAGCACTATATCGTAGTCCAAATATTCAATTTGCCAAGCACGTATATTAATTTTACACCTAATCCTATATATCTATGTGCCGCCAAGTTTAGAATACCCATGTGATTAATTAACGAACCACAGCCCCTAGGTGTTAGTTCACGGGTTATTTAAGTAAGTCGGTGATACAAATTGCATGGAAGACCCTACACTTCGGGATAATGCTCGTATTGCCATATTTTCGGAAGAAAGTCTATTTAGCCCTTACATATCAATTCGTATCACCTATACCATTAATTCCCGAAACCCTCAGGTGCTTATTTTGAGTTGTAAAGTAACTTATTTGAAACAAAAAGAGAAAACCCCACATAAATTAAGACAAACCATTAGACATCTCACTGTTTTAAATGTGAACCCAAAACAAGAACCCTCCTAGCCAAGCCCGGCTTCAAAAACTTTTAGTAAACAAATATAAAGAAACCCTGAGGAAAATGTAAAATCATCTACTCTGGAATTAGTCCGCTTTAGTCGGGGACTCAGTCAACGGTAGTTCCTTCTTGTACCCAGCGCCAGCACTCCCCGACTTTTCGTCCGGCAGAATTGCATTCAGCGAGCACCCTACAAACGCAACAATGACATATCCAGTCGATATAATCAAGTTAAGACCATCATAGAAACTATTCAATGCTTTGCTCTCGGTTTCTGGGATCAGGAAGATGATCCAGTTGGGCACGATCAAATCAGAAAAGCCAAGCGTCAGTGCTGCAGTGGCAATGAACCTATTTCGACGGTTCCAGCGAACTGTGGAGAGAATTCTGAGGCCAGAAACTATTACTGAAGTGAATAGGAAGGTGGTCATGCCGCCAATGACAGAGGGCGGGAGTACAGTTATTGCCGCGCCGAATTTTGAGCAGACACCGGCGAGGAACAGAATGAAACAGGCTGCATATCCAGCACGACGAGAAGCGCAGCCACTTAGTGCTATCACACCCTACAGAAGAAAAAAAAGGAAATATACGTTAACAAATGCAATATGATACGTTGATTTGGGGCAGAAGCAGGCCGACTCACATTGTTTTGTGCAAAGCAAACGGTTGGTGTGCTAGTGGCTAGTCCGGCCAGGACACTCCATAGCGCATCTGCTGTGAGTCCACCTTGGATTCTCACGTCCAAATCGGGGTTTCCCTCCGTCTCGACATCAATTCCAGAAACCTCAGCTGTTGCCATAATGTCGCCAAGACAGCTGATAGAAGTAGTGATACAGCAGGCTATCAATGGGAGTACCAGTGACCCATCAATTCCAAGCTTGAATGTATGCGTCCACATGAATGTCACTGAAGGTGCTCTATTGATTGGAGCACTGTCTACAAACCCTGTCGCTGCGGCAATAACCGCACCCACGAGCAGGCCGCAGGCAACGGAGCAATTGCGAATGAGGGGGGCACCGAAGAGCTCGACAATGAGAATGGTGATGTAGACGGAAAAGCCAAGGCCAATAAACGAGGGTGATCCCCAAAGCCGAGGTTGAGGTGCAGCTAGTGTAAGAAGTGGGTTAGGTTTTGACTCAAAATCATGGGAAATCACTTGCAACCTACCAATGTTTGGACAAAGCTGGAAAAATCCACTTTCGGGCCTGTTCATGCACGGCCCGCTCCCACCTGCCCAGCTTTTAGCACCACTGGCCACTAGACCAGAGCCAATGCATACCATCACCATCCCTACAACAAGATTTGGGCACATCTTCATTAGAACCCTTGGTTTTATCAAGCTAATTGCGATTTGGAAACACATGACGGCTGATATCGTGCCGATAAGCCTCCCATAAGCGTCGGGACATGGTAATCTTCGTCCATCTTCCCCTATCTCACAATATCCTGATGCATACTGTTGCGCAAAGTATGTTTGGGCAATTGGTATAACAGAGAAGGCTTCGCCAACGACACACATCATGCCTGTGCCTATCCAAAACCCAGTATTGAAGATTTTGAACCGAACTATTTGGAATAATGAGAATACTCCCGAGAGGATCAAGGCGGTGGACACCAGATACCCCACCGTTTCTGTGTCCAGGTTAACCCCTGATGCGCCAACAAGAATTATTGGTGGGACAACGACTACATCAATTATCAGTCCCTACATGTATGTATATGATAAAAGTGGGAGTGTTTCATAGAAACAAGAGTTTAGTAACATACTGCCACCCATCATTGCCAGAGAGTGTTGCACCCCAAGGAGAATTGTTAATAGCAGCGGTATCCGATCATTAATTCCATAAAATGGCTGTACTCGATCCTTGTACTTCCGGTTAAACGGCGGTATGTCTGGCGTGAGAAGCCATACGTAGCTGTGTTCATGGATTAAGCTTTCGTTCTAGAATAGGCTACGACAGAAATGAACTACTCAATACTGACTCATATCTCCCAATCAACCCTTCTTTTGTTGTGCAAAGAAACAAAATCTCCGCCTTGGCCCTTTGGAGCCAACTGCCTTCTGAATGTGGATTTGATAATGTCGGATCGTATGATTCGATTGCTGATGAGCCAACTGTCTTTTCATCTGGCTTGGTATCAATATCGTTGGAGACTGATGTTGACATTTGAAGTTTCTGGCTGCTCCTAGCTACGAGTTGTGTTCTGTCCGTATGTCAACGCGTGGAAAGCCGTTCCCCTTCAACCGGGATATATCGATAGCATCAGAGAGCAAAGGGGCGCCAATCCAGATATATATCCTTTATTTTGAGGTAGCTGGAAAACTAGATCACGATGGGAAATCTGAAACGGGGTGACGAATACAGTTGGGGCAAGGGAAGGGAAGAGGGGAAAGATTATTGCTCGATCTGCTCTGCACGACCCCATCGCCTATCAGATTTAATATGATCAGTTCGCAAGGCGTATACGCACCTACTGACTGACAAGCTCCCCGGATTAGGCATAGATCGCGAACAGATGTATGGATGGAGTTAATGGATCAATTGATGGACAACCATTGCTAGGTACATGTATCTAGCTGGGTATTCTGAAACCGAATGAGGAATCAGAGTAGAACCCCCACGAGATTTGTTCTAGCTAACAGTGTCACAACGTTACAATCCCACGCAGCCCATCCAGTCCGCGATAATCTCTATAATACGGGTACATCTACCCAGAAACACTATCTGACATTGTGGAGGCGCTTCAGTGCATGGAATATCCGTACACTAAGTACTCTGGGGTGGAAAACCGGCAAACTAAATTTACATAAGTACATATATCCACATGTAATCAACCAGACGATTAATTTTAGCGTGCCCCTGTGCACCTGGTTTATTTCAACTCTAGACTAGCATCCCTTCTCTTCCGTCCTTCCTTCAACATCCAAAACTACCGGCTCATGTCACACGTCAGACACCAAGACGTTAAAAGGCGAAACTACTGGTTCGTGTTATAATAACTGTTGTCTACTAAAGGATGTGAGTAATCAACCCCACGTGCTCTTTGTGCAGGTACACAACTCCATTCACGAACCATACCGGTTTCCTGACGTTTTCAAAATGGACTGCTATTGCATGTCATACAAAATAGTGGATTTAGTGCCTTTTTAATATGGCATTCGATATCGATAGCAGTAAATACATGAGATAAATCAAAGAACTAGCTGATGCTCTGTCCAGGTAGATAAGCGGCCGTGCGCAGAAAATCTTCTTCGTTTATAGATGCCTCCAACAATCCTACGATAGGCATGGATCGAATGCAAGGGCGGAAGAGTTATTAGCGCCATAAGCCGCCGCCTCCCTAGCTATGGAAATCTGAAGAGCACTCCAAGAAGCAATTATTATGAGTTCCCCAGAATTCTCGTGGAACCACCAAGTGCATGCATGCACTCGTATGCAGCTTAGGGTATTAACTTATCTTCGGTTCAGTACTTGTTGCTGGTTTAATTACTCTGATATTAACCGATATGAATGCATACGTACTCACTAATCAATGATAACTAATAACTCATGTTCTCCAACTTTGTCTAGGCAATTTGACGTCTTTCAACGTAAGACAGAATAAGCTTCTTTGTCATCCAGGATTTGAATCACGGGAACCTGGCTACCCGGTTTTGTCGCACCCACATATCCAGGAAAGGCAAATCGGCCCTGGACCTAAGAACGGGGTGTACCACGTTTGGTGTGATTTTCAACCCAGCTCTGTTTGTTTTTTCCCTTAGACTCGGGAGCTGTTTCAGATCTCGGCCTCTCCTGAGAACGCCGGTAGGGTCGAACCAATTCGGATTGGCTGGCACCCAAAAAGAAACCGAGGAATAGCCGGTTAACTTCGTTACATATGTATTGTACGCACGTGTGCAAGGTTGCGGTGAGTTGATGGGGAAAGCTTTGGGTGCATAGTAGGTATCGAGGTCAAAGAACAGGGGAAAAAACGTGCTCCATCGATGCAACGTCCCATTAACAGAAAATGGGGAAAAATAACAACATTATGGGATCTGACTGCCAAGAACAACACGCAGGTCCCAAAGAAGTCTTTCACATTAAGAGAACTTTTGGCCAACCCGCGAGGGTCATCAAATTACAAAGACCCACAACAGGCAAGGAGTAGATTCTACCTCTTAGGGGGTAACATGCAGGTACGATCCCCTATGTACCTAACGCCATTGAGAATAGCACTGGTTTGTTCGAGTGATAGGGTATGACTTCAGGTGAGCTGCCAGAGTTTCGTAATACTAGTCAATACTCACGATCGCTGTCCCCCCCCCCCCCCCAATCATGTGGAATTGGATACAATCAAAATTTTAGTCATTGTTAGGAGCAGCTTGGCCTTGCGCGTGGCCCATGCCCGGTCCATTCCATAATCAAAACCCCCACACATTGAACCCGTGATTAGGATTATCTACTAGAGTACATACCGTTGAAGCAGTAGCATTGGTGATCTTAAAGGATATTACTAGCTCCCTTCAACGTACCAAGGTAAGAGATATATAACTGGTCCGGACGTATCTCCTTCTTCTCCTATTGGTGGAGCTGGTGTGAAAGGGATTTTATGGTGCGAGAAAAAAAGGAAAGAAGTAAGTGGTTGCCCAGAAAAAGCATCCTAAATCTGATCATTACATGTATTTCCACCTCTTTTCTCGGCCGGGAGCAAATTATGACGTGTTGATACTCTACCCGCCCTATGAGTCTATATTTCAAAGTATTAACGTGTTTAGCTGATGGGATTCTTTTAATGGCTCTTTGATCTGCAGTGCACGGGCCGAACCAAATCCCGGGGAAGTGAACGACGGCTCGCAACAGGCCCTTCTCCGCCTGATTAGTGCAGACCAGATGGACACCACGATAAAGTGTACTAATGTACGAGTTACACATGCCATCCACGGCCGTGCATAGCAATATGCATGTACTAGATATGGTAGTACTTAGCTGGGGTAAGGAAGCAAAAACTCATGTGATGTCTATTAGATATCTGCAGTTCATTAGGACTTACACCTATGTACAACCCAAACATAATTTTATGGCGTCTAAAAACAAGTGCCTAGTTCGTGAAGGGAAACCCTTAAAAATACCTGATTGGTCGGCGTTGAGAGCATTCGGGTTGCCGCTCGAAGGTGACTTCATGGCAGTGTAAGATAGGAAGGAATACATACCTGTGAGCATCTCTGTCATAATAACTTGTGCCTTCATGAGAGCCGAAATTTTTAAACTGGGTGTTACTGCGATGAAAACCGCTACCAACCGCACCTGACAGTAAGTGAATGATATAGTTTCGGAGTAGTGAAGCACTTAGGATGAAAAGTTTGTTCCCAGATGATATCTTTGATTTATTTGTCTAAAATAAGTAGAAAACATCCGGATTTGTACCTATTCACCCGATTGACTGTATAGGATTGACTCTGCTATGTGCATTTAAATCGCGGAGAAGTATATTATTTACAAAGTACCTACTCTCCTCTAAAGTACCGCGAGTACATGTATCTGCATAAACCCCTCGTGATGGCACCAAGAATCACTACCTATTAAACGATTAATGAGGCGCATAACTACGTACATATACGTGTGGTTATGGTTTGATTTTGCGGTAAATAGCTGACAATAAGGGCAGCTGAAACTGGGCGCGCATAATTGAGGAGCATTAAGTACGCAGTGTCTCATTGCTTTCTTTTGGTGAGTGAATTACAAAGACACTACCAAGATATAGGATAACTGCCTTTATCGGGACTAACGCGGATCGTGAGGGTGTTCAGTGGTCTAATACGAGTGTCTCAAACCTCTATCTCACACTTGGATCTCTCGCTTCCCGGGGATATGTCTTGATGCTGAAGCCTACTATAGGTCCTAAACCTGTTATAATAATTGTTTACGATCATATTGTCAACACTCATATTTTCAACCTCGAATGGGGTTAATCCTACGGCTATTGTAGATACATGAGCATGGCGTAGGCTTTCCCTAGTGATTGCTATCACTATTGGAAGAAACAAAGGTGGGGGCATATCTGGTACGCTGAATCCCGGAGTCCTTTTTTTATCATCATGATGTTTTTACAAACTTTTTTCCCCAGCTTAAGGAAGGTGTGACAGACACATCGTCGTTTAAAACGTCCCATGCAACTTTTTCCATCTAGGGCTTTATGTAGCGATAATTTAGATTTGAGCTGGGTACTGGTCCGCCCACTGAAAGTTCGCCAAACGTTTCATGGGTGACTACCTAATCGAACATGCATATGAACATTGGGAGAGAGTTTTTTATTGGGATTACTTGCTGCAGTAGCCGTTTAGTTACCATAACAAGGCGCCTCGACACTAGGCTCATGTCACATCTCATATTTGAAGCAGGTAGAAAGCCAGGATACGTATATACGCCATCGAATTCTGTCCAACGTATAGGTATGGCTGACTCTCTGCTCCTCTCAATGGTACGTAGGGTTTTCTGATGCAGGCGAGTTTTGAGTGGGTGTTCTTGATTAGTTTATCATGAG